TTCTTTCATATCGGTAGCTCGTTGGCCTAATGGTTAGCGTGCCTGGCTTCCATAGTCTAGGTTAGTTGATCGAGACCCGTCCATGTCGAACTTTTTGATTTGCTTGTTGTCAAGATATAATAAGTAGGGCAAAATCCAGAAAAAGTAGATCAAAAATACTCCAATGGAGTATAAAATTGTCACCAGGATTCCGGAATGAGACGAATGTTAACTCGTGAAATCTCGGTAGATAAGGTAGGTCAGAAAATCCGGATTAATCCGAACAAGGTTCGGGAATTTCCGTCATAAGAAGTAGGTCAAAAATACTCCAATGGAGTATAAAATTGTCACCAGGATTCCGAAATACGACGAATCGAATCGGCAAACTTCGGTACAACCCAATTGAAAAATAAAACTAATTACCAACTTATTACCAACTAATTTACAACTAATTATCAACAATTCTGCTGGCAATTGGAATTAAAGTTAAGCGTTAATTAAATCAATGATAGTTATGGCCTAATTATCAGTAGCAAGTTCAACGTAAATTAACTTACAATAATGCTGATTTATGATTTTTAGTTGATAATTAAGATAAAAAATGTTTGAGGGTGATAGTAAGTGGTAAATTAAAACGTTTTTGTTCTGAAGTAGATTATTGGTTGATAGTTAACATATAGGATGATTATAATGATAATTAGTTGTAAATTAGGCCCATGATTTAGAAATACAAACCCCCTAAATTTAATTTCAAGATGGTGGAAAAAGAAAACATGTGAGAGATATTTCTCTCATAAAATTGAGAATAACAACGTGAACGGTGCATATTCTACCATGAAATTTGGTCAACATTATTATAAGGGTATGTAGAACATGAATACAATGTATGTTAAATCTTATTCACACTTCTGTCTGAAATGTTTATGAATTTAAAAATCTTTTTGAATCAGATCCTATAATATTAATCCTAGAATGCAATTTAGGTACTAACATGGGTTACCTATATTTCACAAGTAATCCAAATGTGCTCTTCTAAATAATGATTGTTAGATCAAAGACATTTCAAAACATATTTTTGATTATATCTGTTACGTCCTTATTATGTAACATTATAGTCTAATGTTTGTGTTCTGATTTTAGTTGTTGATGGCAATAATGATGTTTTCACATGCTTTTCATGAATCTTAAAAATTTGCAAAATAGAATAGCTTTAAAAAAGAGGGGGAGAAACCCCAGGGAAATCGTATGTCATCAATTGAATCATGGGGTTTTCCCTCCTCTTGCTGTGAAATTTCAATAGTTCAAGTTCAATGTTGTCTGTTCTGAAAGATCCTAATTAAGATGAATATTCCGTCACAAAATAGTTCAAGATGAAGCAAAAATCTCCGAGTGAAGGGAAGCAAAAAAAGAAGCGAGTCATTTTTGAGATGTCACAAATCTGACTTAAACCTAACTTTCAACTAATTATCAATAGTAAGTTAGGTGATAATTAGAGATTAACTAACATCAAACTTACAACTAACTTTCAACTAATTTACGTAAATAGCTCATTTGCATATTGATGGTAGTTAATCGTTAATTAAGTTGCAAATTAAGCGTTAATTAAGTTGATAATTAGCTCATTTGCATGTGAATTTTTACACCTAACTTTCAACTAATTATCAATAGTAAGTTAGGTGATAATTGGAGATGATTTTCCATAGGCTTTTTTCAATTGGGAATAATGAAGTGCATAAAAATCGTGAAACAGGTGTCAGGGGCTTCCCCTCATCTTTCCATAAATGGTTCCAAAAGCCTTATATGGATCTATCACGTGACATTCAAAATGACGTTCCTATATGGTTCTATGGGCCTTATATGGATCTTTCGAACACGTGACCAAATCAAAATCAAAATCAAAATTTTACCTTGACCATTGGATGGGATTTCATAGAAAATATCAAAGAAAACATATTCTCGTGATCCTTAAATCACTTAAATTCGATCATTTTATCTTCACCCCTTGATGGAATTTTATGAAAGAAGTTATGAAAACACATCATCATGTAAGGGTTTTCACCTAAATTAGCTCGTTTTATCTTGACCCTTCAATTGAATTTCATTGAAAAATGTTTCATGAAAAATATCATGTTATGATTTGTATTTAAATAAGACCGTTTCATTTAAATACTTGCTGGATAATATTTCATTAAAAAACGCACTTTAAAAATATTTCAGGATTTGCCTTAATTTATCAATGTAATGTAAGTATTAGATTGACTCTCAAATAGGGTTCTATTTTAACTTTTTTATTGAAATTAATACTAGGCAGGACTCACTCTCTAAATAGCTAATAAAAATTCAACCCTTGGATGTGATTTTTCGTTGAAAAAAAATATGACAAGTCCAGAATCAAATGATTTGTGCTTTAATGATGGCCTTATTGCTGTCCAAATGGACTCTCCGTAACAACATCTTTGCATTTGGAAAGATTTTAGTCTTGTGGGGCCAGGTCTTGGGAATAGTGAGCATGGGGTAGTTGTGTGGCCATGGAATAGTCTTAATCTACTGTATCTTTGGTAATGTTGGCTCATGTGGAGGTGGACCATTGTCATCATGCCAGTAAAATCCCCCTTCAACAACATCTGACTGGATTGAAACTATGATTGAATAATGAGCATCATTATGACAGGTATACCCTTGATATCTTTGTGTCGATGACTTATAAATGAGACAATGGAGCGTAGTTACCATTGTGATAATACATAAAACAAATTATTCAGTCTTACATAAAAATAATGTTAGGTCATTTGGAGGAATACAGCATGTAAAGAACTCTACAAACCATCTTTCAAAGCTGCTAACAAAAGGGTGCCCCACCAACCCAAAACAATCATCACCATAGCAACAGCCATAACAATACTATTGACACTAAGCCATTGCCCCTGGTCTTCTTTAATAGCTTAATATTTTCTACATCATCTGTTTCAATGTGATTGAATGAAGTATGAATAAATGAGAGCAGTTGGTTACTTACTTTCTGATCGGGCCTCGTACAGTGTGTCTCAAAAAAATGTTACACTTACAAAAAGTTCAATATCTTTCATAATTTTGACTTTTCCCCTAAAACATACTTTTGATACCAAAAGACAAATCTTTCTCGAATAATTTGACACCCACAGGACAGCTTTTAGTGCCCCATGGTAAAATCTGACTTGCGCCAACTTCTAAGTGATTGGATGGACCAAATGATGAAAGAGAAAGTTTCTTTAGTCATTTTGTAATTTTCCTATTTGTCTTACCTATGATCATTGGGTCAATCCACATAAACATGTGGTCCCCTCAACATGTCCCCCATAGCAAAACTGAGGTACCCATACCCATGCGCACATGCATTGTAATATCACACTGATTCCCTCAATTATTTTTGCAGGACCTCATTTAGGTCAGTTTGTGATGCTGTAAAGCGCTTTCAGAGTTCCTTCAAAAAATCGAGGGTGTAAAGTGGGATGACCCTGTGGACCAATCCATTGGGTAATTCAATGCTTTCTTCTGATTTCCAAAGAGTTCTACCAAACGATCTGCCAAAGACCTTTTCACCATCCTGTTGCCATCATACGTAACAAAATTGAACACTCTGACAATGAAATCTTACATATATTTCTATCCAGGAAGGAAACAACTGGATCATTGATCATAGCAAGATATCACTGTCCACAGCATTCACACCAAAAAAGAATCGATCACCACATGTCTAACCACTGAGAAATTGGCGCAAATCAGGTTTCACATGCGTCTATGAAGTCTTTCATGTGCAGCCAATCTTTGACGGATTTGAATCTTATGGTATGGATTTATTTGAGAAAGACTTGTCTTTTGGTATCTAAGTATATTTTAGGGGAAAAGTCAAAATCATGAAAGATATTGAACTTTTTGTACGTGTAACATTTTTTGAGACACACCGTATTTAAAGCCCCCGATAAATCGGGCTACGTATACCGCCGTGTTTACATTAGGGGATTAGAAGAGTTTATTTTTACTTTAGGTATGCAAGCAATATCAATATTTGGCCTTCATGCATGTACTTGTGTGTACAATCAGCATGCCCTTCAATAGTATATAAGCCAGGCTATTCAAGTACAACATAATGTACACTATTTATGTGTGTACAACATGGGAATACAATTCCCTGGGAAACAAAACACAAATACTTTTTATATGTTCAAAATGAGCCATTTGATTGATGCATACACTTAATACCTTAATATATAAACATCTACAAAGTATATCTAATAGTCATTTTCAATTCCAATGGTGAAACTTGCCTGGTTACGATTATATGGGAAATCAACACGGGACGATAGTTGTTCACCTTCCTGCCTTACCTCTGAAGCCTGTACCCTGGAATCTCTTTATATAGGTTAGCGAGAGCGCTGCGCCTGCGCAGTTTTAAACTTTGGCGCACACTTTAAACAATCACAAAGTTTCTTTGCCAGTCTGTCTCATTGTGTCAACTATTATTATGAAACTACCAGCAGATTACATTGTGATCCTAAATGATTCCATGTGTCTTAAACATTCGATTTCAGCTAAACAAAGTAGATATTAATACCAAACATTTTGCAATGCAATATCTAATGAAAGCCTGATTGTAATTGGACATCATATCCATTCTACAGATTCTGATAAGAGGTGTAGACCAGACTTGGTACTTTGATGAACAAACAAAATGCAACCTCAATTTTAAAATGTATGTTTACTCCTGTGTCTTCACATTGATTGATCAATACAATAAACATGAGTACCTATACCTAGATACCATCCAAAAAGGTGCATTCACCCCAAATAATCTGCCAAACCAGGGGTTTAAGCAGGATATCAATAAATATGGAATAACGTCCAGTTGAATCAAAAACAGCTCAATAAGTATAGTTCTTAAAAAGTTGGATGAGGTAGTAGACTCACCTGCTTCATGTCTGACTTCACGCCGTTTTACAACAGTATCTCTAAAATTAATTGCTACAATGAATTGTTTGTTGTAGATTAATTCTGCCTCTGCTGTGAGTTTTAATGCAGTAAGCCGATGGGAAAACTCTGCAGGCGATGAATTTGGTAACTATGTTTCATATCCAATGCATAATCCTGAGACAGGAGATTTGACAGATAGGGGAGTATGCCTACAGTACAAATGTCCTGGTTCGATACTTGCTATCGCGGACAGACCACCACAGATATACAGGGACATATCGACTCACGTCACTACCATGATTGCACCAGCAACATCATGTAGGTAAGAATAGATGACTACATCAAATATAGGATTGAAATCAACAGTTCAAAGAACCAAATACTAGAGAGACCATTCCAAAGTGTATGCATCACCATCCATTTATGTAGTGAGTGTTTCGAACCATACACACTATCGAGTGAGTGTAACACCTACCCTAAAGTGACTATGTAGTTGTGTGACAACTCTTTGAGACCTAAGTCGATATGTTTCGTCACTCACAAAACACCAGCTTCCTACCCCAATCGATTCTGATATGCATTTGCTATGTTCTCCCTTGGTGCCACGGGTTTCGGCAATGTCTCAAGGTGTTTAATAGTCTTTTGAGTCGTTATAATTTCAAAATGTCCGCCATCATCTTCGGAATTCATTCTAAATCAGATTTACGAACGTTGCCGGAGTGAATGAAAATCCAGGTTCTTTGAAAGGAAATTGCGACATGTATAGTACAGTTGCAGCATTGCTTTGCTGATTCACTAGTTGACGCAGCCAACCTCTTTTTGGCACATGAACAAAGCTCCATTTTCCATCAAACTTGGTCCAGCTACTACTTGATGAATATCCTTCAAATAGTATCCATATGGCATTGGCAACAGTGAAAATGAGGGCAAAATATACCCAAACTTAGCATGAAGGCACTAATTTTCTGGGACATACACTTTTTCCTAAACTTTGATATCATCAAAAATAACACAAAAGACTAAGAGTCTCCAAGCAAAATGAGTGCTATTACATTGCTTATGTTCACAGACACGAATAGTATAGACCCTATCAAACAAATAAAAAAGTACCGATAAACATATAAATATTGAATTAATTATAGAGCGACTGTAAATCCGAACATGGTGCCTTTTATAAGAGTGACACAGTTTGGCTTCACATGGACCGCCGCATTTGATGAGTCTAGTGGCAATGGGATAGCAGACGGTATATATTCAGACAGGGGTGAAGATGCGACTGTGCTTCGCTTCTGCAAAACTGGAAGCAAATCGATCACGGATGACATAATGATACCAGATACAGGTGCTGCAGTGGAATTCAACTGCATGTAGTACCTACAGCAGACAGGCCATTGTGTCGACTATGTATTTCCATACGTTCCCATCATATTGTAATTATATAGATTGAATTTCGAAATGATTGTGCCTCTAAACATCCATACACCTATCATGGATAGGTGTCCATGAATTTATGCACTTAATAAATGTTTACCGTTGTAAAAGGGTAGGAGGTCCTATCAAATTATGGTCCTACTCTCCATTGATTTATATGGTGACCTAACTACAACTCTTTCCCTTCTTATCCTAAAAACAATCAGGGCAAGTAAGGGCCGTTGGAAAAGGGGACCATAATCCATGGGGGACCATCATTTCTTTCACACCGGTGCATAATTCCGTATCTGTATCGACATTCCAAGATCGCAATTCAGGATGATCCAGTAGTATCAATATTAAAGCTACCGAACCGATTATCTTGAAACTTGGTACAGATGTTCCCTTAACATTACTGAGTAATAACACCCTTAAGATTAATGATTCAACGATGAATAAATCCTTCAGATTTCAGATAATTCAAAAGTATTGATGTGGGATAACGCGGATATCGATTTGGCAATGTTGTATTTTCATCGGCGGGGTTTTAAATAACTTATATCAAGTGTTTAATTGTTTCAAGCGTTTAATTGTTGCCAAAAGGTGTAAAAGATCACTATTTAAACCAGCAAATTGTTGTAAGTTTTTAGCAAAGTCAACATGTTGGCCTGCATAAGTATCTATTTGGCTATAGTATTCATTATGATACTATTAATAGTTTTTCACATACATGCCGATTTGAAATTATGAAACTGATGTAATTTATTCACTGATTTTAAAAAAATATAGACCATTCATCTGTTGTAAAATTTAGAATGCAAATTATGTTATATCTGTCTTTTGATTGGCTGGAATGTGACATGCCTAACTATATCTAAATATTAATGTTGTGTAATCCATGTTTCGTAACTATTTATTGAATACACAATTCAGGAGTTCATAAAACAAACTGATTATTCATATACAAAACTTGAGCTATAACTGCTTGGACTTTTTACAAAAGGGTTTCTCATATCCGTTGATTTCAAGGTAGAGATTTCCCTGCGCCCCGGTCTTACTGGCCATATAACCCATTGTGTTTGTCGCATTACTTTCACACCTACAACAGAAACAAAAATATCTAAAGCTTCACTTTGAAAATCTGGATCAAAAACTCATTCTACAAGATCGGACTATAGAATGCATTCAAATAACCCAGGGATCTCCGCACAATACGATTCACCAGGCCACCCGCCTGATTGAACATTTCCGGCGCCTAGTTGGCTATAGAATACATTAAAATAACCTAAGGACCAAGGAATGGAAAAGTGTTACATCTCATCTGTTCGTTATTAATTACAAAATGATCATAACTTGTTTTAATGAATCTATTTATAGTTGATTGTGAGTAACGTCACATCTTGTTTGAACATCACTTTGAGTTTTATTACAAAAGAATAGCGGAAGTCGATTTTCCTCTGGAATTTTCATTTCAACAAATTCATTTCAACAAATCAAGAACGAAAGAATTGTTTAGCGTTCCTAAATTCTATTGAAATTATGTTTAATTTATCGCTCATTTTTTACATCCCAACTATTTTCTTTGACATGTTTCATCCCCTGGATACAAATATTTCCCTTTTGGAAAGTCAGTTACTGTAAAATGTTTTTAAATGCTCTTGAAATTAGCCACATCATGATCCTGTATCTTAAAAGCGGTAAATAAAGGTGCATGTAGAAATGGTTTAATTTAGATTTTAATATTGATAAAATATTGAAATATCTTCGCTATAAATTTTCACATTTGGTATAGCTTACTTTTTGTTTACGAATTCTTCCCAGTTGTTACATTGTCTTGCTGTAAAGTCACAACTCTGGCGTATTGTTTCTGCGAACAACAACGGGCACAATGCGTGCGTCTCATCGCCGTTGTTTGGCCAAAAATCCACATGACCCCGAGGTTCAGCGGAAAGTCCCGAAGTGTGCAAAACGTCAACAAATTCTGCATCGGTTTTGTGGATGCTTTTCTTTGCGTCGCTGTTATCGAACCCAAGACCGCTAGGATCCAGACCTTTGAATGTAGATCATAAAGAATCATTCATTGTCAATTAAAGTATGTTTGTCTATATATTGCATTATACATGTGAACTAGCAAAATAGTTCTAAGCTCGGGAACAGAATGCTAGACATTAGTATTGTGATCTTATCCAAGGTTTAATCACTAGGGTGTTGCTGTCAATTGCCCTAACAAGATGAGAGAAAACCCAGAGCTCAGAAATTACCTTTGTTCGATTTTTGTTACATCTAGTTTCTAAATACCACACGTCGATGTGATATTATAATCGATGTTAACATATGCGGTACATCTTTCTTTGATTTTTACGTGAAAACAATCATTGGTAAATACGCCGAAAATGAACATTATATAATTCGAAGCGTTTCTACAAAATTCTGAATCCGCCATTTTTGTTTTCGTTAGCTCGACCAATCAGCGATTATGGCCATCTGTATATAAATTTCCATTGCTGTCATAGTCATTTGTGAACTCTGGGGTTTTCCCTCCTCTTATTTGTAACCGTGTATGGGTCGAACAAAAACAACAAAATTTATTGATAAAAAGATGGCGTAACATATGAATAGAGGTACCCACTCACATGTTATTCTCGCTATTTGTTGGGTGGTGTATTGTTTCCCTACAAATGCAGCAACTTGAGCACCAAGACTGAACCCTGCAATTATAAAATCATATATACTCCCCTCTAAATGTTTGGCAAGACCAGATTCCCTATTTGACCACATTAAGCCACAGATTGCAGAACTTTGAATAGAAAATACCTCTCAAGAAAGTGAAAGGTCAAGAGATATTTTCAATTTAAAATTCTGCCATTTGTGCATAAAGCCTAAGAAATAAGAAATAAAAAGACGACAGTATAATATAAAATGGAAAAATAATTCATGGTTTACATGTATAACGTTTAATTCTATATTTTTGGATTGATTGTGGTTTTGCTTGTATAATGTTTACGTGGCGTGGCCTCTTGTGTTTTTATCCTTCATTGGCGTATATTTTTCAAAATGAGATGTTTTTAACTCCCTAAATTATAAGAGCCTAGAGGTCATAAGTTTACTGCATAAAAAACTTGTTTATCTAAAATACTGGTGAACAAATGGTTTGTATATAAAATATGAACTGTTTTGCCATAAAATAAGGCAATAGGTCCTTTGGTTGACTTTTAATCACTGTAGATACGAGGGGTGATCCAAAGGTCTTGGACGCCTCGCTCTAACTTTGTTTTTTTTTAATGAAATGCACAAAACTTTCAAATAATAAAGATAATCATTTCAACAACTTGTTGCACAAGTTTCATCAAAGGGGCGCGAGAGTTGGGTTATTGGGTTGCGATATAAATGAAAACAACCCAATAAGTATATTAAAGATTAACCTTCCTGTTATCTCAAAATCTTCTTGGAACCCCACCATTGGATTAAATGAGAACTTTTGGGGTATTATACGAAGCAATCTTATAGTCAATAAAATGTTTTACAGGGTATTGTTGTTTTTGGGATGAAAAACATAGCAAAATGCATGAAAAACTCTCTCGATTCATTTTACAAACAACTCGCGGTCCTTTATTTTGGGTCCTTTTTTAACTGAGTTTTTTTTTAATATGTGAAGCCCGCTACCATACAAATCACGTCACACCGTTAACAGGGCAAACATTATTAAGGATTGTTTAATGAATGTATTTCATTCGTGAGTAAAGCGGCACAAAAATATGTTGTTGAAAAGTAAATATGTGAAGATGATGAATGTAGATGCACTCAGATTGCATGGAAAATACAATTCCTGGTTTTGGGTCATGTGTACCTGTATTTTTCATGTAACAGTTGTAACGTGATTTGCGTGTTTTAATTACAGTTGGCTTTTCTTCATGAAATTGATACACAAAGTAGTTAGGTTGTTCATCATGTAGTTTCAAGTAATTCTATCAAAAACAACAAAATTAAAGCAGGGCGTCCAGGACGTTTGGATCGCTCCTCGTATCTACAGTGATTAAAGTCACTGAATGTTTTAATATTCATTTAGCGTCCTGCGGTTGGTCTAACCTAGCTACAGTATTTTGACTTTGCAAAACACTTAAAATTACCTATAAAGTGAAGATCCTTCAGTTTCAACCCTCCATCTTGAATCATGTAGTCAAGGAAGCCTTTTATTGCCATGGCAACATCAGGGACCTCTTCGACTACTTGGAGATAATCGAGGTTTGACGACCAGTCGACCCAGTCAAGTCGAATAACGTTAACATCCTCCTGAAATGGTACAAAAATATAAAAGAACGAAAAATGAGTCTCAGCAACTCTTTTAAACAAAGCATTGACTTAGCAAAATGCTACGGAATCTGAGCACCTCATGCCATATGCAGGTCACAGAAGACATCGGCTAAAACAAATATTGACAACTTAGAATTGTGCCTAAGCAAAAGACGTTAAATTAAGGAAAAACGGGCCATTATCCAGGTTTTGCCAAATCGGGTTCCACTTTCTAAAAAATCCACAAAGGATTCACATTTGAGCAAAATGGTCCAAAACCACAAGTTTGAAAGTGGTCAGATAGATGGTGAAAAACTGTCGATTTGTAAAAATTTTTGGTCAGGAGGGTCGAGATTAAGCTGCTTTAATATTACTACATGTGACTCAAATATTGATTAATATTAATTGTGTTCAGAGTCCTACTTTTATCTAAAAAGTCACGGAGAACCTCAAAACGTTGATGACCTACGGCATAAGTATAATGCTGTAGTTAGATAGACGAGACATAACAACATACAAAATGTCACCACCTCCGTACCCTGCAGAAACTAGTAATAAACTACGAAGCTCTCTTTTAAGAAAATCGAACGAATGCTAAGAGTACTACTTCTGGCACAGACGCCGAATGGCAAATACCTACCGTCGAACCGGCTGAATACCGTCCACAAAAAAATTGGGTTGGAGACCATGACGATATGTCACCACTTGTGGTGATGACATGATTTAAGAGTAAATTGATAAGGAAATTGTAGACAAAATGTCGGTTGAAAGTCATCAGTTACATTTGATAACGTAATAAAATACATAGTCAATAAAGAAGAACATATTACGGGCTGTATCAGTTCATATAATGTACATTTTCAATTAGTGCCTGAATCATATAGCTAAACATAATATTTTTGGAGATTTCTGCAACCTTTCAACGAGTGCCTAAATATAACTAATGGTTTTCATAAGAAGTACTGACTCTGCACCTTTTCACAGTGCCTGAATCATAAGCTAAACATAACTAATACTTTTGAAGAAAACTGCACCTCTTCAATGAGTGTCTGGATCATATGGCTTAACATAACTTAATATATTTGAGAGAACTGAAAACTGTCTATACATGTGTATGTGTATGTGTATAGATTTTCAAAGAGTGCTTGGATCGTATTTATTATTTCTTAAGAACAACTGTCTCCGTACCTTTTCAATGGGTGCCTGGATCGTATTTATTATTTCTTAAGAACAACTGTCTCTGTATCTTTTCAATGGGTGCTTGGATCGTATTTACTATTTCTTAAGAACAACTGTCTCTGTATCTTTTCAATGGGTGCCTGGATCGTATTTATTATTTCTTAAGAACAATTACTGTCTCTGTATCTTTTCAATGGGTGCTTTGATCGTATTTATTATTTCTTAAGAACAACTGTCTCTGTATCTTTTCAATGGGTGCCTGGATCGTATTTATTATTTCTTAAGAACAACTGTCTCCGTACCTTTTCAATGGGTGCCTGGATCGTATTAATTATTTCTTTAGAACAACTGTCTCTGTACCTTTTCAATGGGTACCGAGATCGTATTAATCATTTCTTAAGAACAACTGTCTCGGTACCTTTTTACGCCTGGGTCGTATTAATTATTTCTTAAGAACAACTGTCTCTGTACCTTTTCAATGAGTCCCTGGGTCGTATTGATTATTTGTTAAGAACAACTGTCTCTGTACCTTTTCAATGAGTCCATGGGTCGTATTAATCATTTATTAATAACAACTGTCTCTGTACCTTTCCAATGAGTCCCTGGGTCGTATTAATTATTTCTTAAGAACAACTGTCTCTGTACATTTTCAATGGGTACCGAGATCGTATTAATTATTTCTTAAGAACAACTGTCTCTGTACCTTTTCAATGGATGCCTGGGTCGTATTAATTATTTCTTAAGAACAACTGTCTCTGTACATTTTCAATGGGTACCGATATCGTATTAATCATTTCTTAAGAACAACTGTCTCTGTACCTTTTCAATGGATGCCTGGGTCGTATTAATTATTTCTTAAGAACAACTGTCTCTGTACATTTTCAATGGGTACCGAGATCGTATTAATCATTTCTTAAGAACAGCTGTCTCTGTACCTTTTCAATGGATGCCTGGATCGTATTAATCATTTCTTAAGAACAACTGTCTCCGTACCTTTCCAATGGGTGCCTGGATCGCATTTGTTATTTCTTAAGAACAACTGTCTCTGTACCTTTTCAATGGGTGCCTGGATCGTATTAATCATTTCTTAAGAACAACTGCCTCTGTACCTTTTCAATGGGTGCCTGGCCATGGGTCGTCGTATTAATTATTTCTTAAGAACAACTGTCTCTGTATCTTTTCAATGGGTGCTTGGATCATATTAATTATTTCTTAAGAACAACTGTCTCTGTACCTTTTCAATGGGTGCCTGGATTGTATTAATCATTTCTTAAGAACAACTGCCTCTGTACCTTTTCAATGGGTGCCTGGCCATGGGTCGTCGTATTAATTATTTCTTAAGAACAACTGTCTCTGTATCTTTTCAATGGGTGCTTGGATCATATTAATTATTTCTTAAGAACAACTGTCTCTGTACCTTTTCAATGGGTGCCTGGATCGTATTAATCATTTCTTAAGAACAACTGCCTCTGTACCTTTTCAATGGGTGCCTGGCCATGGGTCGTCGTATTAATTATTTCTTAAGAACAACTGTCTCTGTATCTTTTCAATGGGTGCTTGGATCATATTAATTATTTCTTAAGAACAACTGCCTCTGTACCTTTTCAATGGGTGCCTGGCCATGGGTCGTCGTATTAATTATTTCTTAAGAACAACTGTCTCTGTATCTTTTCAATGGGTGCTTGGATCATATTAATCATTTCTTAAGAACAACTGTCTCCGTACCTTTCCAATGGGTGCCTGGATCGCATTTGTTATTTCTTAAGAACAACTGTCTCTGTACCTTTTCAATGGGTGCCTGGATCGTATTAATCATTTCTTAAGAACAACTGCCTCTGTACCTTTTCAATGGGTGCCTGGCCATGGGTCGTCGTATTAATTATTTCTTAAGAACAACTGTCTCTGTATCTTTTCAATGGGTGCTTGGATCATATTAATTATTTCTTAAGAACAACTGTCTCTGTACCTTTTCAATGAGCGCCTCAATCATGTCGTCGAATGTTGGCAAATCCCCGAACCAGCCATGAGTAACAAGTTTAGTCGGTACATTTGGGTTGTAGCTGGACTTCAGAAAACTGCTTTTATCAATCAATTCACCAGTGGGGGTTCGTCTGAAAATATATACAAATTTATTGGTAGATTTCTACATTTTGGTTGAAACTGGACTTCAGAAAACTGCTTTTATCAATCAATTCACCAGTGGGGGTTCGTCTGGAAATGTATACAAATTTATTGGTAGATTTCTACATTTGGGTTGAAACTGGACTTCAGAAAACTGCTTTTACCAATCAATACACCAGTAGGGGTTCCTCTGGAAATGTATACAAATTCATCGGTAGATTTCTAGCAAGTCCCCCTTGACCACTTACAGATATCAATACTTAGTACATTTATATAAGTCTCAGGTACCAGATAGAACGCCCGTGTTTAAAATTGCATAGTGTTCAACAGGGGAAGGGCTAATTAAGGACTCTGAGGAGTGCGGAAATAAACCCTTTGAATTGCCTATGGACTTCGAGACTGGATTTTATCTATCCCACATCATTTGAGACTGAATACTCTATCTTTTATGAGTACTAATATCTATAACTATTTTTGATGTTATTACTCGTTGCAAGATCCTGGGGAAATCGCTTATTTTACGCCATTTTTAATATTCATCCTTTTACCATTTCGCTGTACATTAGAGTTACATAACCTATTATATATCATTTTGAAGGGTAACCCCTCATCCTTTTGACTATAGCATTAAGATGTATTAGAAATCTAGCATAACGCAGCGTTCTACGGTTTTCTATGCGAGGAAACTGCAAATTAACGTTGTAATAATGTAACGTAATTCCTTGTAAAAATACCTTAAATCATGAATATTTCGGTAAAACGTTGAGCAAAATGCTTCAAAATTTGCTCCTACATTCACTGGACCATGTTAAATTATGACGTCATAACACATTGACGGTTACAATTCAAATATTTTGTATAGAACGCATTAGATTTCTTCGGGGAAAGTGTAAGATTTTTTGGCGTAAAACACATGGGGTAAGTTAACTGCTTCTAACTTTTTTATTACTAGACAAAAGAAAAAGATTTTTGATATGGACAATATTGTCCTGGCGAAATTAAAGAATATCTCCTCAAAATATATACTTATGGGCTTTTACCCTGCGTAAAGCCAGATACAAAAAGTGGTACAAGAATGTACAAGAGCACATTTTTACATTATTTTTGCGCATAGTCTATTTTGAGGGGTATTTTAATGGATTCAGATATAATATTTTTAAAATTTGACTTGATTTTCAAAATATTGTTCTTGCCAAATTAATGCCTGTGAATTTTCAATAAGATTAATAATTAGTAAAGCACCATACTTTAAAAATAAAAAAGTGGTACAAAAATGTACGTTCCCTATTTTACGACGTAAAGGAGATTCTTAGTCAGTCTTTTGTTAAGATCGTCCTGTTATTATCAGTCGTGTTATGACGTCATAAATGATATCCAAAACACTTAATGTTTATATCTTATGTTCAACTATACTAATTTGGCTGTATATTCACTTTACTACTTATTAAAGACGGAGTGACAATGAAATATTCTGTTATCATATACTGGTAATGCTTTATACGATTACAAAACAAAAATGCCTTAATTCGTCGTCAAGATATTCATCATGTTCAAGCGTTCCATATAAGGAATACACGACGCGGAACACATAATACATAGAGTTCCTTTAAAGCTTGTATTCCAAGGTTTCTAACGGTATATAGAATCCTAATACTTCAACACACTTACAATATCTTAAAAGCACAATTTGTTTTTACGTGTTGTTATTTTTGTAATTTTTGATAGTTCTCGGGTGTTACAGGGAGTTCCCCAGGATCTTGCGACGAGTATATGAGTATTGGCTATCAATTTTTCAATTTTTTCTTCAACATGTATTGTAATGACTTCAGTATGAATGAAATGTCCCTTGGTGTTCTGGTCCTGGATTGTGATATTGGTTCTCGATTGGAGGGTGGAGGGGGATGTTAGACATTGTTTCTTTTCACGTTAGATCATGGTTTTGGGACATATAGGGTCTACTTTTCTTATGACAGATTTACACTTACAGTTTGCTTTTCTTGTTGGGTTTCCTTAAAGTTTTTAGTCACCCTTTCCTTTTGGCATTTGTGCTTATTTATCCCATACTTGGACGTGTTACGGGTACATAAAGCCGGTGTAAAAGGGTAGGAGGCAGATATAATAGCTTTACGTCCCGCTCTAAGCGGGCAGATATAGTATATCTGCCCGCTACGTCATAATCGCTGTTCCCGTATTGGTTCTTTTTTGTAACGTTCGCATACTGTAAACGACAATGGAGAAAAACGCAGACAATCGCGATCTGTTTGATGCTTTAAAGAAGGGAAGGAGCAATATGCCCCGTTAATAATCAAATATTTGAACGGGAAATTCCGGCTACGGACAAGAATACAAAACTGGACATGAATATTTAAAAATAATTCCACGGTTGGTTGCAACAATTGAACAATGTGATTGGTATGGGATAAACAGATCATCCTATAGTCTGTTCAGGATATTCTCTATATATTCATTGCATATAGTGTCATTAAAACAGACTTCGTATAGCTAATTTCTACAGCTTATCATTGCTGTTAAGGGGCATAAGTTCCGTTTTCAAAGACTCTTACAAACAAACATAAAATATTACATTGAATTTTTTTGTAATACCCAGGGGCGGATCTTTGAAGCAACAAGGGGGCCCAAATTTCTGGTCTGAGAAAAAAATTGTTGGCCCCTTAAACCAAAAAGTGGGCCCAAATTTTGAAATTTTGAGGCCTATTTTCTTCAAAATTTCGCCTTAAATGGAAAAATAAGGTCTTAGAAGGCCCAGTAATGACCAAAAGGCTCACTTTTTTGGCCCTTAGGGTCTTTTTGGGGCCAATTTTTTCTGGGCCCACCCAAGCCCCCCCCCGATCCGCCAGTGATACCCCATCTTCATTCGCTCGGCCCGTTTAGAAAGCAGTGAAGATCGGGTGTTCAAAGATACCAAGAAAGTGATATTCACTAAAAGTTACCAATATAGTGATGTTCACTAAATCTGCATGATACTTCTCAGTATTTTCGTTTACTTTCCAAACTGAAGCGCTACACACAACTCTTGAACTGTCTTGTCGTCTGACTCATCATTTTTATCAGTATCCAATAACTATCCATGGTGAAATCAAGAGTCGGTTATACTAACCTTGTGTACAATTTGTAGGTAACAAGTCTGGCCCCTTCTTCAAACAGGAACCCTGGAGAACAATTTCAAATAGTAAAGCAAGATTATTCTGATTTAAAGATTTAAAGTAAATCCAAGGGTAATCAAATGCAACAGTGAAGCTTTTTTGGCCATAAAAATATGATTACTGACTTGATAGATGGCAGGTCAGAAGCTTGTTCATTTGGTACTTCCTGTCATTTCGAACGGCAATTTATAAACGGGTGTCGACTTTTGGCAATCAATCGAAGATACCTCAAGAAAAGCCGGAGATTGCCGAAGATTGCCGAAGCTTTTCTTTGCAAACGAAGTTGGCCGAGGGTACCACGAATGTGAAGAGGACGTCTCTAATTGGTCGAAAATATAGGCTCGGCATTCTCCGTCAGATTGAATCGGCAAAATTCGGTTGTAAGGCTTACCTTCGGTTGTATGGCTTACCTTCGGCTGCATGGCCCAACCTCGATTGATTGGAAAAGATGCTGTCCCATTTATAAACAATGCTTTATTAAAACAAAAATATGCTTTATGAATCAAACTAAATACAAGGTGCTGTTCTAATACGAAAGAAAATTCACTATCCATTTTATCGTCCGCAGGATGAAATTGTTGTCAGCTTGACGGAATGGAAGCGGCGGCATTATTTTTCTTATCTACACATTTCGGACACACCGCTTGAAAACTTGATTCCGGATTTTCATGAGGGGGACGTTTTCTTTGTGTGAAAACATAGAAATGATTTGTTCAATGGCATTCTAGGTAAATATTAAGGCCGCTATTTTTCCTGCTTCTAAAATACGATCTTTTCAACTTATTAACTTTCAACTTATTTCGACTTATTAAGTACCATGAGAAAATGACCTGTACTGTGAGAAGGTCAACCATCTCTTGGAAGCCCATGGTTCAACTGAAGGTCATAAGTATATGTAATATATCACTATAAAGTGTCCAAAGTTCTGCTTACCTTCACTGGCCCTAAGGGAACAAACGAGGAGTAAAACACCTAAAGTCAACATGCCCACGATGAGATCAGAATCAAATGTAAGAAACTGATCATCCATATGACCAAACAGATGGTCATAGATAAAGTTTTATCTATAAAATTGAACCATGTTATCTTAAGGGAGCTTTACTTGATATAAATTGTTTCAATAGAGAGATTTCGCAACTCACTTATAGCATGTATATAATTACTGTATAATATAACTTATGAAGCGTTTGATTACGTCATCGTTTATTGCGCAGCACTATGGGAGCTCTATACGTCCATAAGTGTGGTACTCTTTACTTCATTTTTATTTCATGAAATAAATTCATGTTTGAAAAGTGTGGTATTCTTACGTATTGACGACGATTCATGAGAGTATTTTGGAGGGGGTGTATGTTCGTACACACCCGCCATAATCTGGCAGTTAAAATACATTGGGGTATATGGGTTGCCACAATTATTATTGAGGGGAGTTTATTCATATCATAGAGATTTGCGTTTATGGGAAGCAATAAGTATAACATGTAATCTGAGCTTGCATCAATTTTCGCTAAAGGGCAGACAGTTTAGACCCCCCCCCCCTCCCCTTGCAAAAGCTGGCATCTGGTCTGTAGTTTTAAATCGTTATTCGGATGGTGGAGGAGGGTTTTTCAAAGCCAAAGTTATTATCGATACTTAAGAATTCCGAGTGCAAACCTGATTAATAGAATCATTCAAGTCGTGGTAACCAGGACGGGATACAGCGTCTACTTGAAAACTTAAAATATCAAAGTAAATAGTCCTTATGGTTGTGGTTATATTGGGTAACACTGACGAACATTACCTTTGATTGATAACAGTGAAAGTTAGACGAAGCAAATCTAAAGGCATTGCTTAGAAATGAAACTTTCAAAGTATATTGTGTTAACCATGTCAACTTAAACAGGGTTTTTAACCCAAAATAATTTCTTTCTAAAATTGAATTTCCAGGTCGTGAAATCCGAATTGAAAATTACTTATTATGGGCAATTTGTGCAAGGTTCCATTTTTGTTTTGGTTGTTGGCGCATGCGCATCGAATTCTCCAATTTAATTGGTTCAAATCATTAAAACGCATGCGCATCCAGGGACGGTCGTAGCCAGGATCAGAATTATGGTGAGGCAAGTTTTCAGCCGAAATATTTTACAAGAAAATGAACAATTCGGTTCTTCTCTCCAACCTCTTTTAAATATCTTTGATCAAGGGTAAATCATCATACCATTATCTTTCATTTCATGTTTTCATACAAAAAGTAGCTAGATTCCTACCCTAAATGTTTTTGTCTCATGCATAGCATAATTACGCGCATGTCTATGTCATTTTTCTGAAAACTTTGGCTGCCTTTGCCTCCTTCCGCATTAATGAAAACCCGAACCAAGCAAGTAAAAACAGAACCTCACGCAGATTGCCCAACTCAAACTACTCCACAACATGAATTCACATGTAAGCTTTCATAAGCGCATCTCTTTATATCAACACTTTCCCCCAAAAAATGCGTTCGGACTTCGGAGGCTGCATCAACACAGGATCCGATGAAGATGGTGATATTGTCATTCTAAAACTTAGCGATAAGTTGATCACCTGTACCAGAAGTCAAAAGAAAGATGGCAATAGTGAGCATTTGTTTAGAGAGCCTCCTCTCTGACAGATCTTTAATTTTTCAAGGTTTTGATCTTGTTCATTAATTTTCCTCGATTTATTTAATAATTGTTATTTAAAATAAAAGGTAAACTGCACTTTAATAAATTGCTAGAAAACTGTCCCAATCCCCGGGATGCAAATAGACCGAATGCAACCTCGTATCGTTAGCTGCTATAGCAAAGCCCGATCTCGAAGGATACATATATCTTTCGACGATATAAAGTGACCTGCTGGACTGCCTATTCAGATAATCACAACAGGAACTTGACATCATTTTCTTGAAGATGACAGATGCACCCATGTTCATGATAACAAAATATTCAATATTCAAGTTAGAATTGTCTGAAATTGTTTGCGATAACCTACCATATGTGCTCATTTGGGCCTCATATGGGCCTTTGTGGTCATTACTGGGGCTTTAAAGGCCTTATTTTTTAATTTAGGCCAAATTTTGAAGAAAATGGGCCTCAAATTAAAAAATTTGGGCTCACTTTTTGGTTTTAGGGACCCAATTTTTTTGGGCCCCCCTTGTTGGTTCCCAGATCCGCCCCTGTGGTAGGCTTTGCAACGTTGTATTAGCTCATATATCATCCATTTTCTCATATGTTTAGCATATTTCCCCTGGGCCTGTTAGCCAGCTTCAAGGAATTATATTGCAAGCAATTTGCGACTCTTGTGCATAATTTAATCTCAGAGGCTGAGAAAGTGAGCTAGCAGTACACGGATAACGAAGTCAGTAATCTCCGAATACCTCGCATAAAATCAGTTTAGAGTCGTGGATATCAAAACTGTAGGAGGGACCAAAGCAGTTGATGACTGATTTTCCCGAAAAAATATGGATACATAAATACTAGTGATAAATTAATAGCTGTACAGCTATGCTCATACGATACGGATTACCCACGATTCTACTACATATACGTTGTAGTTAGTAACGAAAAGGAGGCATTTAATGTACGGGAACGAATGTAATATCAGGTTCCCGAAATGCTGTGCCTGTTCTGCACAAGATAACATAAGACAACAACTGTGAATGTATGAAGTATACACACATGTGTATGAGCTTATTTCTTACTAAATCTAGCTACACATGTATAGTTAAGACAATTGGACAATCGAGAACTGCGATCGCCATTTTTTAAGAAGGAAACACCCCGGATGCAAACATCTTACAATCTAGCTACATGTGTATTACGAAAATGGAACTGCGTTTATAGCTAACATAATGAGACTATTTCTTAATTAAATCTACTAAGATAATATGGCTATTCCTTGGAAATAGAACACTTGGGAAATTGAACACTTCGTGAAACTGAACACCTCGTGAAGACCACACACATTCTAGACTATTCGAAGAGTATTAGCATGACGTCTTGGAGATAATTGGATTACGGTATATGATTGTCTTCCCAAAGCTGAAGGAATGTGAACCTGGTATATAGAGCTCTGTGGTTTAGTTTATATAGTTTATTATATTGTCACATGATACATATACATTAAAGATACAAAACTAAAAAACAGACTAATTAACACAAATAGCACCCTTCAATATAGTAACAAACATTCTAGATTTGATACAGTTCATGATAGGCAGTATTCCCTATATGAGTTTCGAAATAGACTATACAGCCTAGCCAGATTGGATAAATCAAGGGGAAGTGATTCTATAGTAGACACTAAAATGCTATCCAAGTGTCTTATTTGAAAACACAGGATTAAAGATTGGCGATGAAAGTATTGGATATAAATCATTTACGGATCATAAGATAACGGAAAATTGTGATTGACTATGAAACACAACAAGCAGTATTAAAACTATGATGATTCACAACCGAGAAGAGTACAAACTGACTTCTTAGAATCGTTGAGGTTTGCCTCCATTTTTAGATAAAAATAAGTGGAAGTGGTCCTCGATAAGATAAAAAAAATTAATTATTAAATGACTTGGAGAGTTTATGTTTATGTTTCTTTATTTCCTCCGTTTTATTGGAGAGCAAAACAATTTATACATGCATATCACATTACAAACATATATTACAGAAGAGTAAAGGGTTATTAATATTATGATTATCCTTTCAGGCTCCACGAAATTGCAACAATAGTATTCCCTCGCTATAACTGTAGGCTTAGAATACCCTTGAAACACTTTCCCCTTGGATGTAATTTAGAAGTCGGAACACATAACTGCGCATGGACATCACAGGGTGTGTATTCTCTGTACAATTCGTGGGACGGCGCATCTAAAACATTGTTTAAGTTTAATTTTGATGCTCTTGTGACTCTCGTGATCCTGATAATAGAAACGGAGAAACCGCCAAAATTATGCTGGCAATGTGTCTTAGGGGTCTTTTGCGCCAGAGGAGGCGAACTATTTTTATCGCCGCAACCTTTATGATAACAGTATCAGGATATTTCCTATTATTTAAACCTTCAATGAGAAACACTCAAATGCACAGGCGGGTGCTTTCGCAGGGACGACCGGCGTTCCTGGAGAATAAATCTAAAGTAGAAGTTAACCAAACGTGTGTTCATCCCCAAATGGATCCATTCGATCCGTCAATCTATCAATTTTACCACAAGGAATCGCCGCTTCAATGTGCTAGCGAACCGAACTGGATCAGCGTCTTAAATGGGACGGTGTTATTCGAAGACAGTGCCATAAAAAAGCACGGTCAGCTGACGTGTTCCCTCTGGCCCATGATTCGAGACGACGATTTTAACACTGTGTATGGAGCACCGATAATGAAGATAAAATCAGGATATAAATTGAAGTCAGATTTTTTCAAAATTGACTGCAATGCAAAGGATGGGGAAAAATATGTGAATTTACATTCCGGAATCTCATTCAATGCGAACCTCCATCGCCGTATCAAGAGAATGAAACAGCCTGAAAATAAACACCCCAAACTTGACGTTCTTATGTTTGGATTTGATTCTGTATCTCGCATGAGTTGGATACGCAATCTCCCGAAGTCTTACAAATACTTCACGGAAGTACTCAATGGGGTCGTTCTGGAGGGTTACAATATTGTCGGCGATGGCACACCACAAGCTTTACTCCCGATTCTGACGGGCAAAACCGAGCCCGAACTTCCGGAAGCGCGCCGTGGAAAACCCGGAGCAAAAACAGTTGATGGTCATCCGTGGATATGGAAACAATATAGGGAGAAAGGATATGTTACTCAGTGGGGAGAGGACGGCGGCTTTATTGGTACATTTCAGTATCGAATGCTCGGTTTTATCGATCCCCCAGTTGATCATTTTTACCGCCCGTTCGAACTGCTTGTCGGAAAACATGGGACTCCTAGCTTTTGTCTCGGCTCTCTCCCGAGGCATAAAAACATGCTGAATTGGATATCCGGCATGTATACCATGTATAAAGACAATCCAAAATTTATGTTTATGTTCCATTCTGAGTTTAGTCATGAGGCAATGAATGCACTGCAGAAAGCAGATGATGATCTCTACACGTGGTTAAAACACATACACAAAAATGGCTACCTAGACAATGCTCTTTTAATCTTAATGAGCGACCATGGTGCGCGATTCCAGGACATACGCAAATCTATACAAGGAAAGTTGGAAGAAAGAATGCCCTACTTTGGTTTGAGATTTCCAGAGTGGTTTGAAAAACGCTATCCAAATGAGATAAAGAATCTGCAGATTAACCGACATCGTTTAACCACGCCGTTTGATATCCACGAAACGTTTGAACAGCTATTAGACATGTCCAAAAATAAGGAGTTTACTACATCGAATCGAGGAATTAGCCTCTTTCAGGAAATTCCTAAAGCGAGGTCGTGCCAGGATGCAGACATTGAACCTCATTGGTGCGCTTGTCTAAACTGGGTCACTGCGTCAAACGAAGACCCGGATGTTGTGAAAGTTGCAGGGTACCTTGTCAATAAAATTAACAAAATCACAGAGCAACAGCGATCGGAATGCGATGAGCTTCATCTTCATCACATTGTTAATGCAGTCATGCTCAAACCAAACGATAAAGTTTTAAAATTTAAAAAGAGTGCAGACTATGACGGGAGAATTCCAGACTTATCTGATGATCTGACATCAACGCATATTCTCTATCAGGTTACCATAGTAACTATGCCCGGTGGGGGCCAATTTGAATCAACTATCATGCATTCCAAAGAAGACGATTCCTTCAAGTTGAATGAACGGGATATAAGTAGGATTAATAAGTATGGTAATGCCCCACATTGCGTGATGACTCGATTACCGCACCTGCGGCCTTATTGCTATTGTAAGATTCAGAAATAACCGAATTGTTATGTAATCATCGAACTTCCATTCAATTGTTTCTCTAGAGGAATACATTTGTGCGTGCAATACGTCCTGATCAGATCTCCAACAATCATAAGTTCCATCACTGAACAATACGCAAGTGTTAATGAACATGGTTATTTTTGTATCAATTTTAGTTTGTGATTTAGTTTGTTTTTTACATAAAAATTCCTTAAATATTCAGAATCGTGAAAAACTGAATAATGTTAAAATGATTTTTGGCAAAGGGGAGGGTGTTGCCCCGAACCCCTCGAACAAGGCAACGTGATCTTGATAAATCAGAATGAAGAAATTAGGTTAAACCATTATTTCCCTTTAAACCCATACTACGGATGAAGCTAGTCCAACATCACCCCCCCCCCCATCTATGTCCAAAACTAGTTCAAATTAGTATCAAATATAAATTGAGGATATGCTCGTAAAGTTTTGCTTCAAGACCCTGGAACACCCCCCCCCCCCCTCTAGCTAATAACGGTAAAGTAGATAATGAGGGATAGGGGATGGAGGGGGTCTTGAAGCAAAGCTAATGCTCGTTTAACTGTAGAGTTACAATATGTAAGGCTAGGAGTAGGTGCATTGGGTTTAAAGGGATCTAAAAGTTTAACTAACCAGAATCGGGCGCCTTGTAAATTTCCATTGTAAGATTGATTTCAGATTTGAGTTTAAAGTTCAATTCTAGCTTATGTTTTTGTTAACAATATGGAATCACGTTGAACACGAGGGAGGAAGAATGATAAACTTTTGACAGCTGGTTTAATGCAATAATTTGTCGCATTTCAGATCATATAATTATTTCCTACTAATCTGGTTGTATAGTTAATTGGCTCTCAGGATATAGATTAATTTCTCCAGTTCTTAAGTAGACTACCATCATTTATTTCCTGAGCGTTTCATAACATAATGAATAATATATTTAGTCAAATACACGCTCCCCCCCCCATCCTCTCAAACATCTAACCACAAGAAACTAATCAAGATATTAGTTCAAGTCTTTTGGTTTGCTGATTGTGAACATAGTCAGTTATTTATGTCAGGAAATAACAACATTTTTGCCGTCGATTAAGGTCAAGGTCCCTAGCTAGAATATCCGCCATTTTCATTGCAGTTCATTTGGGCAGGGGGGGGAGATTTCCCAAAGACGACCTGTCGTATTGGTTCGTTCGAAAACAAATTTTATTAACAAGCCTCATTTTTCCATTGAAATGGATCTCCAAATGTTCGGTGTAGTTTTATGAGTATTCTCTACAAATATGGATCGAGTAACTTCAATAGTCTTGCCGTAGGTTTGAAATGATGATGAACCATTCCCACGATTTCAAATTTAACTTTGCGCATGCGCAGCACTGAGAGAGATGTCATTTTGGGGAACTTTTCCGTAGAAATCAGTACTGAACAAATTGCTTGGAAATATGAGTTGGAACCCTGGATCGAAAACTAATCCTCATTGTACAATGTTGTACGGTAGCTTATTACCCTCAACGTTGTATTGTTAAATGTCAGTGTTATAAAAATAATATTTCAAGCATTATCTGGAAGGTACCAGGAGCAATGTGTCCATATTTTAGGGCATCATAATTTTGTAATTAATTAAGCACAAATTTGAGTTACTAGATATTTTTCTTATAAATTTAGTACTAAATTGGTGATAAATAACCTGTCAAATCCCGATTTTGCCCGATTTTTTTTTTACAAAATCCCGATTTTCTGTCAAAATATCCCGATTTTTATTATGTACAGTATAACCTATTCTATGTCTATGCAAATGTTTGTATACACCTAGAGTGTTTTGTGTCCTTTAAAACCTGACTTTTGTCTCTTGTACAGCTTAGTTCTCTTAGAATTAGAGAATCCAATAAATAACAAGAAATCTAAATAATTTCAGCTTGTTTGTCCGATGAAAATGATTACTACATTATATTTCAAGTTTGCGAAAGTTTTCATTGGATAAGTAAAGTTAAACGCAATTGGGAGAACCAAGTTAAACGTAACCGTGTAATCAGAGACGTCTCTGGTGTAATGTTATAATCTCCAGAAACTGTTGTCAATCTCTCCATTTATTCAAACGGGGGGGGGGCTTATAACATATCACAACTATTTCCTCATGTCACAACTTCAAACTCAATCGACAATTAATTAAAGGCCAGTGAGGTAAAAATGGTCATTAGGGACCATACTTTTACACGGTTCGTGTACACGTTCTAATTTCTTCAAAACAATTAGGGGGTTTTAGTTAACGACTGAACAGCATTATGAGATAATTCATCAATCCTATTCCATTCTTTAATACAAATGAAGAGGGAAATAATTGTATTCTTAAATGAAAGCCGAGAGGTTACTTAGGTGGTTCAAAAGTTTTGCAGTTGATACCATAACTTCAAGGAAAATAGGACTTTTGCAATGAAACTTGGTACACATATATATATTTATACATTATATAGCAAAATTTGGGACCTCAATTTTGATTGGTTCTTGAGATATGGTTGCTATGGTAACCAGAGTGGTGGGTACCATGTTCAACCCGAAATTACGTTTTTCCAAATAGTTTTCTTGCTTGAATAAACTCTTTGTAAAATGGCAATTAGCAAGTGTAAGTGTCTTTGGGTGGCTATTTTTCTTCAAATTCTTCAATTTTCTAATTGTCTCTATGACATCACAATAGACAAGCGACACGATATTTTCCTTGAAGTTATGGCATCAACTGCAAAACTTTTTGAACCACCTAAGTAATATGAGATTGTGTACTTGCAAATGAAAAAAAGATGCATATAATGTTAAGTATACACTTAGACACACGACGTCGTGGAAACAGCGGCTGTGCCGTTGTCCTTCAGCAGGGAGTAACTCAGTAGGTTTCATAACATAGCCTATAACACTGGTGATCCACTCGATTACGCTGGTTACCAAAACGGTTCGTTTTGGTAACAAAATGTCGGAACATCGAAGGTACGATTTTTCTCTTTTCCTTATTTCATACGTTGTAGGCAGAATTCCCACGATATTTTTTTAACACAAACGTGTATCAGTATCATATGTTTAAGAAAATGTACATATTTGCGAACAAATAGTTCAGAAGACAACAGAATCATCGATTTAATTCTTCACTTAAGTTACATAAACGCGGCATAAACGGTTTATCGAAAAACAGTTAAGATCTGCACTTTTAACCCAAACCGTTTATGTAACTTAAGTGAGGAATTAAATCGACGATTCTGTTATCTTCTGAGCTATTTTTCGCAAACATGAACATTTTCTAAAACATATGATACTGATATACGTTTGCATTGTGAGAAAAAACGTCGTGGGGATTCTGCCTACAACGCGTGAAATAAGGAAAAGAGAAAAAAGGTACCTTCGACGTTCCGACATTTTGTTACATTTGTTACCAAAACGAACCATTTCGGTAACAAGCGTAATCGAGTGGATCACCAGTGTGCATAAGCTAGATAGAGAGATAGCTAGAGGAAGGGTAATTTAATAGCTGTACTAGAACAGCCAGATTTTATTTTAACTAATCTTCCGTTGTGGGTCTTCCATAACGATTTTCTGAGAGTGTTAATTTAAAGAATTCGGCTTTCCCTTTGCTTACAGTACATGAACTTTCGGGATAAGCTGACTCTACATTAATAATTCAGAGATTTTTACAATATTAGGCCTTAATGTATTCACTCATATAATGTGGTCGCAACACAACTCTGGAATTACCCCCCCCCCCCCGTCTTGTAGTTGTATTGTGCTTATTAGACTCTGCACAGTGTGACAAGGGGAATTGAAGCTGTATTATTTGAGGAAAACTTTAGGATTTTTACAACAATAGGCCTACCATAAAATCTCTATCAATCTCTTAAAAGCCCATGATAATACATGTACATTCTATTTTATTTTACGGTTACCATTTTAATTTGGGAGAATTTAAACAATTTTTCCCTATTTTGGCACATTGAATCCCATTTGATAATTTCACCAGTTCATAACATACAGGTATCATTGATTTTTGGGAGATATTGTATTTGAGATTGTAAGGAATATACATGAATTGGTAAGACAATTGTACATGTTGCTTGCAATTTTGTCACACCCAATAGATCTGATTCTCCCTTTAACTGTTCTTTAAATAAACTTTTCAGATGAAACTACAAGGGTTGTTCAACTACTTGTATGTACCGGTGTAAAAGGGTAGGAGGTCCTATCAAATTATGGTCCTACTTTCCATTGATTTATATGGTGACCTAAATACAACTCTTTCCCTTATTATCGTATCCGTAATCAGGGCCTTAAGAAAGGGGACCATAATCCCCAGGGGACCATAATTTCTTTTACACCGGTATAAAAAAAGCCAAAATAAAAGTGAAATGAATACTATATCAAGTCGTTTGGGAATCGAACCCAATCCCAGGAATGATTAGTTCCATGGTGTAAGCCTTCACAACTTGTAGAATATTTGTATCACATTTCATCACATTACTTTTGACTTTTTAAAAAAATGCTCTCTGCACTGGTTTCCCAAGTACATGGGCCTTCTAACAAAGATAAGTACATACAGTGGCGTTATATTTTTGTTGGTGTACACTAAACTTCCAGCATGATGCATCATCAGAAATCCAAGCCTGGTGGAGTGTGCCAAAGTTATACACCATCATTCTTTCTCATTGTCATGTTACTTGGGATCGCCAAAAATCATAATCAGGTTGGGTGTGCTAGAGTTGAAAAAAATAAACATTATAAAATTAGTTTAGTAGATACAAACATAATAAAAATTGTGAATTTTTCCCTTTTCTGTACATTTCTGTACAGTGACCCCCCCCCCCATAATTTAAATAGAACTGGACTGACCTCATTGATATTTTCTGACCAAAATGATTGTACATGTAAGTAAAAAACAATTTTAGAGTTTTAAAAACACCTAACACATGAAATAAGCTACCAATTTAATTTCTGAGTGTTTTTTGTTTATTCTCTATGTAGTTGAAACTCCTTCTGAGGTTTATCACCAAAAAATAATTGTATAAAATGTTACACTGGGGATAACTTTGGAAAAATATTGAGATGGAGATAACAATTGAAGAATTACTGTCTAAATCAAAATTTTGAAATTCTGCAAATAAACAAAATGAGCTACAAAATGAGTTAGAGAACTCATTTTGTAGAAGTTTAGATCAGGACTTACATGCATTAGGAGTTCAGAAATGCATTAGTTAGGTTATTTCATTTTTGAAAGTCACAAGTTGTGTTATGATTGTCTCAACATGTTTCTTCATTAATCAAAGTAGAATTACAAAATAAAGTCAGAACTGTTGGACTTTTTTGAAAGAAAAGGAATGTGGCATGAAATTTTGAAATTTTTGAATATTGGCGATATTTTAGAAGATTACTTTAACTCATCAAGTCATCATGCAAAAAATCAATTATTATTATTTGAGGAATTCATTTCAGAACTTCACTAGGACATTATGTCTTTATAATATACAAATATCATTCAATGTTGTGTAGGCTTCACTGGCGTATCCAGAGACCAAGGGGGGGTCATTCAAAATGTTAATACCAAAATTGGGCCCAAATTTTGAAATTATGGCCCATTTTTGGGTAATTTGGCCTATAAAAGCCCAGAGAGGCCTATTTTTTAGGCTTTTGGGACTCTAAATGCCCCCCCCCCCTCCCCTCCTGGATCAGCCAGTGCGCTTACACCATGGAATTAAATGATTCCCAAACAACTTGATATTTATATTTACATTTTAAAATCCTTGCTCAAATACAAATTACAATAACTATTCACAGGGGTTCTGCAAGCTTTGGCACCTTGGATTTCCAATGTATGAAATTTTCAAATTTTCGAGGCTGACGTCTAAATTTTTCAACATTTTTTGGCTTATATCTTTTCTTGTGTGTCAAAAAATGCAATTAAAAATAAAATGATATTAGATATCCTTTGAAGTGATCCTTTGAATCATTATTTTTCCTTATACATCCTCTCATTAATCACAATGGCATTTCCCTTGCACAGTTATAGAGGTGATCAAACGATTTGAGGCATACAGTAAATTACACAGACAAAATGTCAGTGTGTGCACTTATTGATAAGCAATTATCTTTTTGATAAATACCCAGGGTTACTGAACCCTCCGAGGAGGACACCGATTTGAAATAAAACGCATTAAAATGGGGGTCATTTTAATATAATATTGTATGAAATCTTTATTTTACAATCCACAGTTAGGAAACACAGCAGTTTTTAAAGATTACGGGTTTTTACTGGTTTTTTCGACCGGGTACCAAGTTTGAAACCAGCATGGAGGATTTACTACCCGGTACCCAGTTTTTTCTACAAACCCATGCTGTTGTCAGGGACTACTGACCTGCTGGGTAAGGTCTATAAGTAACCTGGACCGAAGGATCAAATGAGGTTCTGTCTTTGAGTCCGACTTCTTCTTTGCCTTGGCTTGTACTTGCGTGTGTAACTGCAATAAAAAATAAACTATCAGGCTATTTTTATTCTAAGGAGATGTAAACACCGACATAACTAACAGTGACAAGAGAAAACCAGGTTAGCCCACACAAACATTTACAGTACAAGATTAGGTTCAAGTGAAGACAGTAAAATTTTAAATGTTTGGAACTACTTTGAATTAAAAAATAGGCATAAGAAAAAATGGAAACACATTACAAGTCCTAACTTTTGTATATTTCAGATAGTTATGTATCATGTGCAGCAAAGCAGTATTTGGGGAGTTTCAGCCATGGCAGAGAAGCATCAAAATATAAGAGGCCACAGATATGATAGCTAAACTACAACACAAACTGAAATATAAAAAAGTTAGGCAATGTATAAATATTTCTATTTTTACATATTCTGTTTCAGTATAGTCCTTTAATTGCTTATTTTTTAGATCCAAACATTTTTACCTGTAGGACACGGGCGATATTAGGTGAAATTTCGACATTAATTTTATCTATTTCCTTTCCAGAACCACAGAGACATGAATTTATACAGTAAAATGTTTCTTTATGATCGATTCTTACATATGATAACCTGTGTACAATCATGTGGTAATGATAAGGGTGATATTCTAAATAATAACTAGAAATTCGTCAAAATCTCACTTTACTCTCAGGAAGTGAACTATGGCGCATGCGCACCCGCTAGGTGGGTCATCGTCATCTTGTTTGTTTAATGTTTTTTTTAATTTGACAGACACTTGAAAATGGGATGATATAATAGGATGAAATATTATAACTGAAAGTATGAAGATGCAAAATGGTAAAAACATCAAAACGGATCACGCAGGGTCAATGGAAAAGTAATAGTTAGCTGTACATCAACATCAGTAGGGATGCAGCCCCGGGGATGCAGCCCGGGATGCAGCCCATTTCATTGTTTGAACTTCAATTTGAAGCGATGTCAAACTGTCAAAAGGCTATCAAAAATAAGAAATAAAAGATCATTCTGCATTCTGATACTCGTAGCATCTTTCTGTTTCACCTGAAGCATGCTCTGATATTATGAGGCATCGGGTAGTTCATGGCTAAAATTCTTTAAATTACAAGAGGGCAGAGGCTTGTTGCACAAAAAACTAAATAATCTGAAATATAGAAATGCCATTCGTGTATGAATATACTTTTCCATATATGATTGCACAATGATCTCCCGATTTCTTTCTACTGACGAAATAAAACAGTGAAATGGGCTGTAGAAGAGGTGAAGAACAGGTGCACAACCACTTGTTAAGGTGCCGTGGTACTTAACAGGAAATGAAAAAACAGGAAGTGACAAAACATGCTTCATTTTTAGACATTGTTTTAACAAATATAATAGAGTTCTGTTATGACCTACAGTCAATTTAACTAGTTCCTCATATCATTTACATGACCAGGATTACAATGTACATGGTCAGAATGACCATAAACATGATGAAATTACTTTTTCAGCCCTCTGAAAATGTGACTGAAAAATAGCTAAAAGTAGGAGCTTAGGAAAGGTCACTAAACAGAATATTTTGAATTTTTCAGAAATTGGGCCCAATATATTGCTCTAAATGATACTATCTTTGAAAATGTGATATCATTCATAGAAAAAGTAAAAAAATGAATAGAAAGGTAATCTATTTTCCTTTTTATGATCGCCATTTTTGTTTCAGACAATTTTCTAAAATTTCAAACATTGTATCAGTTAGGGCAATATATTGGGCACATTTTCTCAAAAATTCAAAATATTTGTTCAGTGACCTTTCCTAAAGGGCTACTTTTAGCTACTATTCAGTCACATTTTCAGTGGGCTGAAAAAGTCATTTCATCATGTTTAGGGTCATTCTGACCATGTACATTGTGATCCTGGTCGCTTTGATACTAGTAGTTCAGAATTTTTTTTAATTTCCCTATTTACTCTCTACAGGCCATGTTGAGAATTTTTGAAAATCTGCAATTGCCAGGCAAGTTCATTATCCAGAAAAATGTACATTTGTAACAAGTGATTTGATTGGCCACTGCTGACCTCCCTGATTCCATCAGTGACAATTTCTGTATTAACTAACCATATCACTTGTTACAAGTTTCAACTTGCCAGGCAATTGCAGATATCTATGGTTGTTCTTTTATATGCAGTATTATATGCAGTTCTAAGAAAGATAAAGATTTGAAAAAACAATGACATAAGTTTGAAAAACACTTTGAAGAAGATTTTTGAGAGATTTGGGAATACAATTTGATACCAGTAAGGAGAACTAGTCAACATTTTTGAAAATGTTTCAATCTCACTTGTGCGCCTGTCTCTTCCATAATCAGCTTACCATTACTTTTCCCTTGGCCTATGTCTAGGCGGTCATCACACTGTCACTCGCCGTGCAATTTTACTGATTCAAATAGCCTAAATTGAAAATGAAATAAGAAAGAAATTGAAACATACTTCCCTTATCTAGTCAACCCTAGTCTAGGCTATACTCACAGTTTGTGCATCGGAGTCGGATTGTACCTATATCGTATAGATTCAGGACGGACACGTCACATGCTGACCAGAATAACGTCCCGGAATAACGTGTAACTTGGGGAACCACCAGTAGCCTTATGAGTTTGGTCCAGTCGATACAAATCATGTTAATGATGTGCCTAAGGCATCTTCTGCGCAAAAAAAGGCGAGCTGTTTTTGTTATGTCCTTTATGTCCATACTGGGATACTTTCTAGTGTATAAACCTTGGGCACACAGTAGACAAATAAAGGTGTTTGCGCAGGGAATGGGTTCCATGTTCGTGGATCAACCTAAACCGGAAGAAAACCAAACGTGTGTTCATCCCCACATGAATCCATTCGATCCGTCAATTTACCAGTTCTACCAAAAGGAAACGCCACTAAAATGCACTGGTGAACCTAACTGGATACGAGTCTATAACGGGACAGTTTTATTTGAAGACAGTGCTATCGAGAAATATGGAGAAATAGCATGCTCTTTATGGCCATTGGTTCGTGAAAACGATTTCAAAACGGTGTTAGGAGCACCCGAAATGAAAATAAAATCAGGGTATCAACTGAAATCAGATTTCTTCAAAATCTATTGTGAATCGTCGGATGGGGCAAAATATGTGAATTTTCATTCTGGCATCTCATACAATGCAAACGTTTTTCAACGTGTTACAAAATTGAGACAATCTAATCCAAAACTTGATATTCTAATGTTTGGATTTGATTCTGTGTCTCGCATGAGTTGGATACGTAATCTCCCGAAATCGCATAAATACTTTACGGAAGTACTCAACGGAATCAGCCTGGAAGGTTATAATATTGTTGGTGATGGTACCGCACAAGCTTTACTTCCAATTCTTACTGGAAAAACAGAAACTGAACTCCCCGAAGCACGCCGAGGAAAATCTGGGGCAAAGACTGTCGATTATCACCCATGGATTTGGAATGAATACAGCGAAAAGGGATATGTCACTCAATGGGGTGAAGATGTTTCCTCCACCGGTACGTTTCAGTTTCGCATGCTTGGATTTAGGAATCCCCCAGTTGATCATTATTACCGCACATTTGAAATACTCGTCAGCAATGAAGGGAGTCCCGCCTTCTGTTTAGGCTCTCTGCCGAGGCATAGGAACATGATGAATTGGATATCCGATATGTATTCAATGTATAGAGACTTTCCAAAGTTTATGTTTTTGTTTCACAATGAGTTTAGTCATGAATCAGTGAATGCGCTCCAGAAAGCAGATGATGATCTTTACACGTGGTTAAAACACATACACAAAAATGGCTACCTAGACAATGCTCTTTTGATCTTAATGAGCGACCATGGTGCGCGATTCCAGGACATACGCAAATCGATACAAGGAAAGCTCGAAGAAAGAATGCCCTTCTTTGGATTGAGATTTCCAGAGTGGTTTGAAAAACGCTATTCAAATGAGATAAAGAATCTGCAGATTAACCGCCATCGTTTAAGCACGCCGTTTGATATCCACGAAACGTTTGAACAGCTATTAGACATGTCCAAACATAAGGAGTTCACTACATCGGACCGGGGAATTAGCCTCTTTCATGAAATTCCCAAAACGAGGTCGTGCCAGGATGCAGACATTGAACCTCATTGGTGCGCTTGTCTAAACTGGGTCACTGCGTCAAACAAAGACCCGGATGTTGTTAAAGCAGCGGGACATATTGTCAATAAAATCAACAATATCACAGAGCAACAGCGGTCTGAATGTAATAAGCTTTACCTCCGTCGCATTGTGAATGCAGTCATGCTCAAACTCAATGATAATGTTCTTAAGTTCAAAAAGAGTGCAGACTATGACGGCAGGATTCCCGACTTCTCTGATGATCTGACATCAGGTCACATTCTCTATCAGGTTACCATAGTAACTATGCCTGGTGATGGCCATTTTGAATCAACAATCATGCACTCCAAATATGATGATTCATTCAAAATGAATGAAGGGGCAATAAGTAGGATTAATAAATATGGTAACGACCCACATTGTGTGATGACTAAACTGCCATATTTGCGGAGGTTTTGTCATTGTAAGCTTCAGAAATAGTGTACATTACATTATTTTATTTCATGAGATATAGTCAACAAATACCTAATAATAGTTAGTGAATTAAGAACCATGCATTAAGCTATGAAGACTTTAGCATTTGTATTGCAATTTTAAAACAATTGTGTTTCCTTAATATTAGCGTCAACAAATACCTGTACAGACAGTCAGCATTACTTTTTACACTAGTTAGTGAGTTAAGAACCATGCATTAAGCTATGAAGACTTATAGCATTTGTATTGCAATTTTAAAACAATTGTGTTTCCTTAATATTAGCGTCAACAAATACCTGTACAGACAGTCAGCATTACTTTGTACACTAGTTCGTGAGTTAAAAACCATGCATTCAGCTATGAAGACATAGAGCATTTGTAATGCAATTTTAAAACAATTGTGTTTCCTTAATGTTAGCGTAATCTTTGCCAAGTTTTTGATATAGTTGTGTCATAGATTTGTATTCATGTTTTTTAATAGCGTCAGTTATTCGGAATTCCTGAGAGTCATACATTAAGCTACATAGACATACAAGTAGCGGAAATTTAAAGCAATCAATTCATGTAAACTAAAATACATTAAGCTCTGAAGATATAGCGCTTTAGTATTACAATTCTAAAGCAATCGTGTTTCCTTAATTTTAATTTAATGTTTGGCAAGTTTTAAATGTAGTTGTGCCATAATTTGTATGCATGTTCCCCATTAGTATATTATAACAATTGTAGTTTATTGTCACGTGCCTATTATTTTACATAATTATACAAATATTCAAAAGCCACAGGCCAACAATGGCTTATGAGACAATGTCCATCTCAGAAATATTGCTAATGAAATTATTTTTTTGAAAAATATTAAAGTCACACAATCAGTCAATGAATATAGTATTCATGCTAAGAAGGCTCATTTATGATACATGTAGGCAATGAGAGCCCAACTTATTAATTGTAATATCCATGACATTTTTACTACAAGCATATCAAACTCAGTAGGATATTGTTTGTTGAATCTCACATAAATTAGGTTGCCAGATCTGAGCAATTTTGAAACAATCGCTTTTCCTTAAAGGACAACTGAAATAGCTTTTCTCAACTTGCAGCTACAAAAATGCAGTTTTCTCCATTGTAAGCCCAACGTAGAGTTCTTGCGATAGCCATTATAAAATAAATGTTAGATAACTGCTAACGGTCATAGATAACGAAATAAAACTAACTGATCAATCAAATTGGCCCCCACGTGATAAGTAACGTCATATACAAAATATAGCTTTGTTTTTTGGTTTCTTAGTAATCACAACGTCACGGCAACCATAGGATTGTTGTGTAAACAAATAACAAAACATTTTGGCATTATGACGTCATGATCTAATGGACAAAACGGGCCACGTGGGGGCCAGTGAGAGATCACGTGGGGGCCAATAACGTCACAACCAATTCGAATATTGCTTATTAAGCAGCTATAACGATCGTTAGAGTGAAATAATTTTCACACTACTGATGAGAAAACATGTCCAAATACATTTATCAAAAAATCATATTGATTCCTTCAGGTTAAAAATACCATTTCATATCTGCTTTAAGTGTAAGCGTAATATTTGCCAAGTTTTGAAGATAGTTGTGCCATAATTTATATTCATGTTTCTTAGTAGTATATACTGTTAGTGATTTGGAGTTCACGAGCTAAAAACCATTTGTATTGCAATTTTAAAACAATTGTGTTTCCTTAATGTTAGTGTAATATTTGCCAAGTTTTGAAGATAGTTGTGCCATAATTTATATTCATGTTTCTTAGTAGTAGATCTATAATACTGTTAGTGATTTGGAGTTCACGAGCTAAAAACCATTTGTATTGCAATTTTAAAACAATTGTGTTTCCTTAATGTTAGTGTAATATTTGCCAAGTTTTGAAGATAGTTGTGCCATAATTTATATTCTTGTTTCTTAGTAGTATATACTGTTAGTGATTTGGAGTTCACGAGCTAAAAACCATTTGTATTGCAATTTTAAAACAATTGTGTTTCCTTAATGTTAGTGTAATATTTGCCAAGTTTTGAAGATAGTTGTGCCATAATTTATATTCTTGTTTCTTAGTAGTATATACTGTTAGTGATTTGGAGTTCACGAGCTAAAAACCATTTGTATTGCAATTTTAAAACAATTGTGTTTCCTTAATGTTAGCGTAATATTTGCCAAGTTTTGAAGATAGTTGTGCCATAATTCATATTCATGTGTCTTAGTAGTACTAGTATAATGTTAGTGATTTGGAGTTCACGAGCTAAAAACCATTTGTATTGCAATTTTAAAACAATTGTGTTTCCTTAATGTTAGCGCAATATTTGCCAAGTTTTGAAGATAGTTGTGCCATAATTCATATTCATGTGTCTTAGTAGTACTAGTATAATGTTAGTGATTTGGAGTTCACGAGCTAAAAACCATTTGTATTGCAATTTTAAAACAATTGTGTTTCCTTAATGTTAGCGCAATATTTGCCAAGTTTTGAAGATAGTTGTGCCATAATTCATATTCATGTGTCTTAGTAGTACTAGTATAATGTTAGTGATTTGGAGTTCACGAGCTAAAAACCATTTGTATTGCAATTTTAAAACAATTGTGTTTCCTTAATGTTAGCGCAATATTTGCCAAGTTTTGAAGATAGTTGTGCCATAATTCATATTCATGTGTCTTAGTAGTACTAGTATAATGTTAGTGATTTGGAGTTCACGAGCTAAAAACCATTTGTATTGCAATTTTAAAACAATTGTGTTTCCTTAATGTTAGTGTAATATTTGCCAAGTTTTGAAGATAGTTGTGCCATAATTCATATTCATGTGTCTTAGTAGTATAATACTGTTAGTGATTTGGAGTTCACGAGCTAAAAACCATTTGTATTGCAATTTTAAAACAATTGTGTTTCCTTAATGTTAGTGTAATATTTGCCAAGTTTTGAAGATAGTTGTGCCATAATTTATATTCTTGTTTCTTAGTAGTATATACTGTTAGTGATTTGGAGTTCACGAGCTAAAAACCATTTGTATTGCAATTTTAAAACAATTGTGTTTCCTTAATGTTAGTGTAATATTTGCCAAGTTTTGAAGATAGTTGTGCCATAATTTATATTCTTGTTTCTTAGTAGTATATACTGTTAGTGATTTGGAGTTCACGAGCTAAAAACCATTTGTATTGCAATTTTAAAACAATTGTGTTTCCTTAATGTTAGCGTAATATTTGCCAAGTTTTGAAGATAGTTGTGCCATAATTCATATTCATGTGTCTTAGTAGTACTAGTATAATGTTAGTGATTTGGAGTTCACGAGCTAAAAACCATTTGTATTGCAATTTTAAAACAATTGTGTTTCCTTAATGTTAGCGCAATATTTGCCAAGTTTTGAAGATAGTTGTGCCATAATTCATATTCATGTGTCTTAGTAGTACTAGTATAATGTTAGTGATTTGGAGTTCACGAGCTAAAAACCATTTGTATTGCAATTTTAAAACAATTGTGTTTCCTTAATGTTAGCGCAATATTTGCCAAGTTTTGAAGATAGTTGTGCCATAATTCATATTCATGTGTCTTAGTAGTATAATACTGTTAGTGATTTGGAGTTCACGAGCTAAAAACCATTTGTATTGCAATTTTAAAACAATTGTGTTTCCTTAATGTTAGCGCAATATTTGCCAAGTTTTGAAGATAGTTGTGCCATAATTTATATTCATGTGTCTTAGTAGTATATACTGTTAGTGATTTGGAGTTCACGAGCTAAAAACCATTTGTATTGCAATTTTAAAACAATTGTGTTTCCTTAATGTTAGCGCAATATTTGCCAAGTTTTGAAGATAGTTGTGCCATAATTCATATTCATGTGTCTTAGTAGTACTAGTATAATGTTAGTGATTTGGAGTTCACGAGCTAAAAACCATACGTTAAGCTATGAAGACATAGAGCATTTGTATTGCAATTTTATAACAATTAATTGTGTTTCCTAATGTTAGCGTAATATTTGTCATGTTTTATAATATAGTTATGTTATAATTTGTATTCATGTTTTTGTGTTATTAGGCCTAGTATATTATCGAATTCACAAGCTTTTATTAAGAACGACACATTTAACCAAGAAGACTGCACATGAGCCCTTTAAAGAAACAAATGTCGAATTGAAATAAGTCTTGCATCGATATCAAAGTCTTAAGACACCTCCCCCCCCCCCCCATCTCAACAAGGGGCTAGGTGGATAGAATAGTGCTGAGACTTGATTCAAAACGAACCTAATCGTAATGAGATGCAAAAACTGTTGTTACATCGGATCACAATTGCATTACAAATTAAAGCGGGTACCAAGTTAAGAACCAATGTGCGCCGTTGTTTATGTATCTGAAATACTGGGACCTTCACAAAAATCTCACTTAGCTACATGTATATCAAATACTGCGAAAGTTTTTAATTGTATGACAGAAAGGTATACAAAAAATTCTTTTTCTAAAATGCACAGTTTAAAGGAAGGAATCCTAGGGAATTAATTGATCTCAAGAATACACTCTTCTACTAGAATAATTCCAAAATATCTCCGTGAATTCTGAACGGATTAATTCCCGGGAAATAAAACATTTGATTCATTTTTCCTGACCAGACAATGAAACAATATTTTTGAACAGTTTATATTAATGAAAATTTGAGCGCACGTTGAAATCGAGGAAATTAATCGCTAATTGGAAAATATTCCATATGTATGAGCAACGGTGTGCAGTAGATCTAGATAACATACGAGGATTCGACACGAACTTGTTATTAAGATTAAAGGGTTCCGATAAGCTTCCCGTATAAAAACAACATGGCGGCTCCTGGATCAGTCCATTTTTAAGAAATAAGGGGAGTTCTGTAAAATCCAGTTTAAATTGTCTTTGAGATAAAGTAATCCGTTAATAATGATTTTGAAAATATTATCCATAGAGTGATTGCGTTCAAAGAATATGTACAACAGCCAATATAAATCCTTGTATTAGAACTGCTTTGTTTCATTTGTAGGATATTTCATATGCCAAGCTGTGTGCTAGTACGTTATGGGGAAATTTAGATGTCAATTTTTCCTTATTATACACAAATAGAAGATCCTGAAACTTCACCCATAAATGTAGTTCAACAAGTTAAACCCAATACCACGGCTTTCATTTTTTAATCTGAATGTTCGTGTTGCCGTGGTTGGGTTTAACTTCCGTGCTATGCTTTCGTATGTTGCAAATTTTCACCATCAGTTATTAATTAAACGCGCATAGAATTTCATGCGCTACCATAGGCCACCATTTAATTTTTTTGCATCAAGGGCCGAATAGGCACGGAAGTTAAACCTAGGGCGGGCCACAAGATATGTCAGATAAGAAATAAGGCCCAGACTAGGTTTAACTTGTTGAACTACCATAAATGTGGAATTGATTTGTCAAAATAAAAATCACCCTTTTATAAATGTGTGACGATCTATAATATACTTATGCTATATAACATTTAGAGGTGTTGACACAACGACCTCGAGCCTGTGAACCCTTGAGTATTATTCCGGGATCGGGCCTTTTATACTAAACGGTGAGCAACACCAGAAACGAGCGTTCGATTTGCTAAACGATATGCGTCACCCTTTAACAACATATGATTCAATCAGTAAATGAAACTTGTTTAGGTCATATTACTTCTAATATCAACTGGCCAGCGAAGTGAAATATCGCATGCTTCATCCAATTTCAGTCTACAATATCGATTTTCTGAAAGCATCAAATAAGAATTCCTTTTCCAGACACTTGCCTCGATGCGTTCTAGGACTGTCTATTTCATATTGCAATTTTGGCACTCACTATTGATCAATACGGTATGGCAATTCCATACCTGCCAACGGCCGGTTTTCAGTTTTTTCGTGAAAAGCACATTCAGGAGAAAAACTCAGAATAAGATGAATATGTACAAATATATGTATATGCACCTAGAACTGGTGAAAAATCTGCATTGAGACAAGTACCAATACCAAAAATAAAAGCTTGGCTAGAAAGATTTAATTCGTGGAAATCACCCGGATACTTTAATTTGAGTTAATTCGCTATTTCCTTGGATAAAAAAGAAACTTCGTATTTTCTATAACTAAATAAAATATCAAGAATTGAAATCATGAGAATTGAGTATTCAATCTACATCCATGTCGGGTGGGAAAGCTATAAGACAATCTGTCAAATCTATTCGTTAATTCTTTCTTTTCTTCTTCAAAACTAACGTATAACGGAACGATGACGCGCGGGGACGAATGGTGAAACATTGGGAGCGCGAGGTGTATCGGGATTATGACGCCGTACCTCCCCCCCCCTACAAAAAGTTGCTTACGAGCATTCTGTAAATTTCATTTATATATTACCCATGCCATATTGTACATATTGCCAAAATACATAACGAATAGTTTAGTTTTATGTCGTTAAGCATTAAATTGTACATTCTCTACTAGAATAGTATCTCACGCAGGTGCGACATCATTCCTGGTGTCACATATGCAAGATATGTCAGATATTGCATTAGAAAATGGTGTACATTTATGCATTTATATTTGTGTATTTTCAGGAAGTAACACCAGCTGGAAGAGTCAGTTCTTTCTTATACAGTTATAGGCCTGGTGCTGGTCCCCATATCCGCAACTGTTACCAACTCATAGCAAGATTCAAGACTTTATTGTGTTTCAAGCCAAACAATTGCATAAAACAATAGCATAAATTCTGTATACAGATCGTCCGAGAAGTAAAGATGCACCAAATGTTCAGATTATGCACGAATTATTACAGATTATAAATTGACATTCTGACAATTTATACTCCCGTTGCCATACCAACCACAAATTAACTTATTTCATTCGATTATCTCATTAATCTCATCTATTCCAATCAGTACAATATTTGTTAATTATTTTCCCATATTTTCAATTTAACGCCTAATTTCCTCTATTCATGAAATTATCTTCACGTTTTGATATTATAGGTTTATTTTATTACAATTGATATACAAGTATATCAAAGCAAAATGAAACTGTGACCAGATGATGTATAAAACACAATCCTCAATTTTTATTATTAAAATCATTTTTTCTTAATCCTAAGTCTAAACTTGCACTTATCCAAACAGAGTTTTCTAATTTACTTATAAAGTACACTGGTTGCTAATGCCTGGGTCACATTTGCTCCCATCCATCGACCGATGTAAAAGGGTAGGAGGTCCTATCAAATGATGGTCCTACTCTCCATTGATTTATATGGTGACCTGAATACGCCTCTTTCCCTCATTATCTTATACACAATCAGGGCCAGAAAGGGCCTTTAAAAGGAGGGACCATAATCCCTGGGGGACCATAATTTCTTTCACACCGGCACCCGGCCGATTGAGTGTTTTGTTCAATATTGTATTCAATTTTGAACAAAATGCTCAATGTAGTGAAAATCGGAGCAAATGTGACCAAGGCATTATAGTACAGTATATCTACATTGAACAATAGAAAATTTCCGTTCCATTAACTTCATTTCATTAGGCTTCGGTTTTTATCGTTATTACTGCAATAAGAAATGGAAAACATTTTTCACTTTTCTGATTTTCCTTTCCGATTCTTTTATTATGCTTCTTAAAAGAGAGCATCATCTGCAATGTACTTGGCTTTTACACTATGGATACCCTCTGACTTAACACGTTATGAGAATATTTGGTGTGAACCGTTTTATATTAAATATACACCAAAGCTACATGTAGCATTCACGAATTCAACTGCCAGCTGACGATTTGATTGGTATTTTATGACCAACTCATTTTAGAAAAATTAATATAAACAGTAGCAGGAATTCTTCATATTTAAATGAGTTGGCCATAAAAAGTCATCAAATCGTCAACCGGCAATAGAGTAGTTTCTAAATAGCTTTAAAATCTCGCTAAATCTTGTTTTTTCATGAGATTTTTAGAGATTTGCACTTTTTACCTCTAATGACTTACTTTTCTTTATTTTTGATAGCATATTTGAATTCAGTGACAAGTTTTCTCCAATAATAAGTTTGTTTACACAGTTATGTCGTTAAATCATTTTCCATGACATTTAAAAAAGACTTGAGCCAAATCTCCATTGGTGCAATGCTAAGATTCATTAAAACCTTGGCTTATTCGTATGACAACCAACATTTTCATGTTTAATCACAATATGTACATTAACAGTATCATCCCATAGTATACCATTCGAGTTTCAGACAGATTCAACCAACACTTTTTGACAAATCATGAAATTAAGTGACTATTGCAAGTTTCTAGCATTGAACTGAATGGAGGTGTGGCCCAAGAAAATCAAAGACAAACAAGGGTGACATCTATAATGTCAGCGTTATTCAGCTATTTAGAAACTATACAATTAATATCAGCGGATGCTAATAAGATCCTCAGTACAATTTTTACACTGACAAGATCTAAAGGATCCGAACATTAGCTGCCACGGCCTTTTATAGAGTATAAGCCGATCAAAAAATTACCTGTCTTCCGGGGAGTGTAGACGAAGCTCACTTTTAAATAGGAAACTCAAACTATTTGAAATGGTCTGTATAAATCGATACAGTGTAGACGAGGAACCAGGAAGTTGACGTAAGAAGACTGCTGAACAGTAAAACCTTTGCAAAGTAAACAATGTTTGGACCAGCTTATATAGGTCCATATTGTTGAAAGGTGTTCACATTTAGGGGTTACTACGCTAGTCTTTGTTACCTCAGTCTTAGCAAATAAAATGTGGTGGAACTCCGTGCCTGAGCATGACCCAACGAAAAGATGTGGATGAAGAGACGGAAGAGACGGATCGTGACCTTTGACTTTGCAGTCTCCGGACGTTTCGTTCAGAGTAATCGATTCGTTCGGCGGGCCAATGAAAATTTGTCAATTCCAAAGCGATGCATCATGGGAGATATTTATGTAAAGTATCGCGAATATGTCTATTCCCTCATTAAAAAGTCAGCCTAAAGAAAAATATTCGGGCATTTGGTCATGTCAAAACTACGAGAATGAAGTTGAATTGTAGTATATCCCTTCCAGCTTATACTTGCTTCACTATTTTTAAATCTTGGCTGTGCCGCTCTTGATTTCCTTATATTTCTAACTGGAAATTATTCCACAGATTCTTGCTATTACATCCATGGGCCTTTGAATGCTAACTTAAAGATTTATGTTGGAGACAGGAAGTATATGAAATTCAATCTCTTAGAAACACAAGACCCTGTTAAAACAATTTAACTATATTATAGAATAATAATCTTATTTAAAAGGGGTGTAACTCACAAAAAACACTTTTAAATGGATTTTACTTTCAAAATGCTTTCGAAGAAGACACAAGTGGTCCAGCATTTGAGAAAGGAATTAGAGCATTGTTCTATAAAAAATTGCTTTCAAATAAATGCCCATGCAAAATAGTTGATATTAAAGATACTCCCGAATGACGTTAGACACCAGATAGAGTTTACAGAAATATCTCTTCTACATATTTTTAGAAATTTCAATTATATTTTTCAATGTCACACATTTACATATCATTTACTAGTATGTCACACTAAGACACAATTTCATATCACATTAAGACACAATTTCTCACATTAAGACACAATTTCATGTTACATTAAGACACAATTTCTCATATTAAGACAAAATTTCATGTTACATTAAGATACAATTTACTGTTATGAAGACATCATTAAGGGGGAGATCAATCCATTGGCAATTATTAACATTTTCAAGCAGTTTGCACCTTTTTAAAACTATGTTTTTAACTGATTGGTTCTATAATTTTTCCTAGAATAGTTATTAGGTGATTGAGATCTTGACCTTGACCTTTTACTCGTGGCTGATTTTGACATTTTTGAATTCTCATGTGAGTCTGATTCTGAATCCTGATCATCTTCGTAAGAATCAATATAATCCGAATACATTCTGCCTTTAAATGCTCCCCTTGGGAAGTCTGTAGGGTCATTATGAGTCAATTCAGAATGTTTTCTTGATGCTGCACGTTCTGATGTACTGGATGAGACAGATGGCGAGCTTCTCTTAGTACGAGCTCTAGTATGTCCATTAGAGTTTACAGGTGACATTGACCTTTTTTTAGAGTTTGGTGACATTGACCTTTTCCTATGACTGGGTGACCTTGACCTATTTCTCTGGCTGGGTGACCTAGATCTTTTTCTTTTCTTAGGTGATTTTGATCTCTTTCTAGAGCTTGGTGACCTTGATCTTCTAGATGACCTATTTCGTACTCTAGGAGATCTTGACCTACTACGTTTTCTAGGTGACCTTGATCGATGCCTATAGCTAGGTGACCTTGACCGGTGTCTATAGCTAGGTGACCTTTGTCGATAACTAGGTGACCTTGACCTATGTCTATAGCTAGGTGACCTTGACCTATGTCGTTTCCTTGGTGACCTTGATCTATTCCGATGTCTTGTAGACCGTGAATGTCTGTTATTTTTTGGTGATCTTGATCTATGCCTATAGCTAGGTGACCTTGACCTGTGTCGAAACGACCTTGAACTGTCCATTTGGCGTTCAGGGTTCGGGTCTAAGTGATTGAATTCATTACCAGGATTGCGGAAAACATGGAGAAAATTACAAGTTTTCCCTTTAGGACAACGCTTTGATGCAAACATCCCTGGAAGTAAAAAACATGTTCTTGTATAATGAAAGTCTGAACTGTATTTAACAACACAGAGAAAATTCATAGAAAACATAGACAGTATTGTTGAAACATGCCATTTAATATCTATTTATCATACGGTGGATGTTTATTTTAAATTGCCTGGGCTACCATGCATAGGCTTTATCTAAGGTATGCAAATGCAATATATTTTATATTGTCATTTCACACCTTGCAAAAAACTCAAAGAGATGCCAAAGTATCTGTTAGGGTCAAATGATGCAGCTACAAATAAATGACCAATACAGAATCTCATATTATCTTTCCAATACAGGGATTTCACTAGAATTTCTCACAACAGGCTAAACAAATGCCTGCTGCATGAAATTCCTGCAATACTTGAGAAATAAAAGTTCAAAAATTACCACATATTGCATTTCTCCATTTCTGTATATCGGTGTATTCACACTGCAATCTTTTCCCTCCAAACCATCTTCCATTGAACAGCAGAAATGCACTCTGTGCTTCCATCTCACTGGAATATGAAAATAATAGGAATGGTAATGGTTTAAATTCATAATATTACTGGTTTGCTGTAAGCTACTTTATGCTCAGCAGTTAGAATGACAGAAATGGTAATGCTTGATATATTTTTTGTAATATTTAAAGTATAGAGAAAGACATCCTCTGATCACAGGGCTTCAAAATCCAGAATATATTCTTTCTTTTTACTCCCTGCGATAAGCAGTTAGCATTTCCCCGATTAAGAACTTGCAATCTGATTGGCTATCGCAACATTGCGACAGAAATCATGTATAAGTCATTGCGCATAATTAGATCATGTGATTCAGTTTAATCTGGCACTTCCAAATTGGTTATAGCAGGGGGAAGAAGGAGGGACAGATTCTGGATACTTGCGTAGGAGGATGAGAGAAAGATTGAATGACTGGAACCTGAGAAAATGGTAATAACTAACAATATGGTAACTTTGGAAATCCAATATACAGTAAAACCTGTGAATATTGAACATTTTTAGCCCAGTACAAATGTTCAGTGTTAGTTTAAGTGTTCACTATAGCGAGGGTAATTTAAACAGATGTCAGTATAGAAGAGTATGAGTGGGGAAAGGGTGTTCACATGGGACAGGTGTTCACTATGACAGGTTTTACTGTATAACGGATAAGGGTTGCTACAGTCAGACAGTATCGTCCCCTTATTCTTTGCAGGAAGTGATCATGTACTATGGTTGCCTATAGCTAGGTTTTACCAAGGGGAGAGCTTTTGCCAAGGGGGAGCTTTATTACACTTTTGGCAATTAATTCTATTGAAAAGTGTTCGGAATGGTGAACAACTGCATGAATTTGAAAGAATTTCTGGAGAGACCTGCGGCTTCCCCAGCTCCCCCCCCCTCGGCTATGGCCCTGGTATGAAATACTTACTCCCTATATTGTACATAGAGATTGCCTCGTAGATGGGGCTCATAGTTGCAGCAAACTTTAAACTGGATTATATGCCCAACTTTCTTAAACTCTGGTATAACATCTTCATAAAACTCGCAGTAATGTTGGTAATGTTCAGAATCTTCATACTCTAGAGTGATGTCTGGAATAAAGAGAAATGATGCCTGTGAGCATGTTGCCAGTTATTTTGATGCCACTTATGAAATTGCCAATTTCAATATAACCAGTTATAATGTGCAAGTTATTGGCAAAAACTGGTTACAGGCCTGCTATTCAAAGTACAAATATGTTATTTTTGAAAACAGTACACATACAATATGTGAACAACATTTCTCAAGCATCAGACAAATAAATGTTGATTTTACCATTAAAATGAAAAGGATGCCATAAAATCAACATAAATGTAAACAGAAGAAAAAAACAACATATTAATGTGAACAATTACATAATAAGATGCTTAAATATATATCATATACCATGTTAAACAAATACAGTGTGTACCTGTTTTCCTTTTGTTTTAATAATTATTCTTTTGCAATAATCAATATGTGAAAGTTAATTTACAATAATGTTATACCTGTATACGTTCTGTCAACATTATGACATAAATGGGAATTAATGTTGGCTGGTGATTAATGGCCCAGTGTAAAGTTTGAAAATATAATTCAATCAGTGCAATCATTCAAATATTACTTTTTATAACTTGAAAAATCAATTCAGACAATTTTTGAATAAATGTGAGTTTTGAAAAAAAAAGTTGTTCATCTTATACATGTACTTATAACATTAGGGAGGCTAACATAAGCCATAGTGGTTTACACTTTATATGGGTCCTTTAAGATAATAATTATTATGTTGCAAATCATAAAATAATCATTTATCATGTCACTAGGCCTACACAGCCTATAAAATTCGGCGCCGTTTCGGCATCAAAAAAATTTAGCCCTGTTCCGGCACCGTTCCGGCAACGAAACCAATAATCAGATTGCATTTTGGGGGTGTACCTGAATCGTATTCCTCCATCAGTCCCTCCTGTAGGCTAAAGTGTGAGTACATCCCTGGTATTAGGATTGTGTTACTACTGTCAGGGTAAGGGTGACCCCTAGAACACCTGAAAATACAAGTTTTAAGTAAAGTGAAAGCTGCTGAATTCAAACACCACTGGGACTGGCCAAAAGTGTTCAGATAAGCAGGTGTTCACATTTAAAAAGGTGTTCTTATTGAGAGGTGTTTTTGGATACAAGAGCTGATCAGATATACAGGTTTCACTGTATTATATAAGTCAACTTGAGTCAACACTCATGGCCACCATGTAATTTACCCAGCATGCCAAAAAACCTAATCAGATCTTGCCACTAACATTCCATTTGTGAAACATTACAAGCCAAAAACTAATACACAATCCAAGTAATCATGGACTTGAAATATGAATTAAATTATAACATTCAAAGACCTATGACAAGCTAGGTTGCATATAATAATAGCAAAATAACACAGTGTCACTCCATACAACACGGGTATATGATAAAAGTGAGATACTTCTATAGTCTACATCACTTAAAATAAATTCTGAAATAAGCCTAAAAATGGAACTTTGATAAACAAAAACCATTAATTCTAATCTTAAATTTTAGTAATAAAACATGTCAAATGTCACCACCAGCAATTTGTTTCATGGTGGTGACATAAATACCAAAACTAATTCCTACCTCTCACCAAATCTACAGGCTCCAGTTTTCTGGAAAAATGGACAAATCTGCCTCTGCCTCTCTTCGCCATATTGAACTGGGGCCAGTGGGTTGTGCCATGCGTCACTATCCTGCAGAGGGAAGTTTAAACATTTCTTCATGATTTTGGCATGGTATAAACTATAGGGGGTCTTAGCATATATATAATTACTTAAAGTGAAGGAGTCATCTCAAAAATGTTACAGCTTCTGCCAAGGGCGGCTTCACTTTATAAAAAATTCCAGGGGGGTTTAAACATTTTACAACTTTTGCCCCAACATGGCCAAAATCACTTGAAAATAGCTAAAAATGAAAAACAGCATTTGACTACTGCAACTAATTTTAAAGGATTTTTGGCCAGCAACCTGCAACGGGCCTGACTAATCCATTTCTAAATGCAACATGACCAACATACAAACTTTTCAAATTTTAGTTGTCTTTTCTAAATACTAATTATTGAACAACATGTACTTGCTTTTACATAATACTAATTGAATTAGTTATCTTTTCTTAATACATATTGAACAACCCTTGTGGTAGTTGTCTATTCTAATATTTATTACAAGAACGCTGTGAAGCAGTTACATTTTCTCAATGCATATTGAACAACCCGTGTGCTAGTTATCTTCTTAATACTTATTATTAGTACCCTGTGAAGCAGTTGCATTTTCTCAATACATATTGAACAACACTGTGAAGCAATTGCATTTTCTCAATACATATTAAGCAACCCTGTGAAGCATTTGCATTGTCTCAAAACATTTGAGTAACCCTGTGAAGCAGTTGCATTTCCTCAATACATATTGAGCAACCCTTTGAAGCAGTTGCATTTTCTCAATACATATTGAACAACCTACATATGTTATAGTTTACCTTGTTCTCCTTTGATGTTGCTTCCTTGAGTAAGGCATCCTATATAACAGTGAGGGTAGAGATCACATCTTAAACAATCTGATACAATAAGCAGTTAAGTACACAATAGTTAAGTATTCAGAAAGTAGACAATAATATAGTTTAGTATACAATAATGCAGTACTAGTATTGAGTATAAATACATGAGTAATATTTTAATGTATTACACTGCCCTCTATTCATTCATCAACGACTGAATTTATTTTTCAGATTGTACGTTTTATGTAAAAGATACAAAGTATTTAGCCATACAATCAATCATGGTGGAGACACTGCATACGAATAAGGACACTCGTGCATATGAATATGGACACTAGTGACTGACACAATAAGTGCTTGAGTTAAGGATATATTTATAGTTTACAGTGAAAAAATAGAATGATCAAATAGTAAATCTTTATGAAAAAAGATAATATAAATGTGTTCAAATTTTTTTGATTATAAAATATATGCTGCATTGTTGATTTTTAAGAGTAGAGATTAAGAAACTATATAATTAATATTTTCATTAATAGCATGGTTTAAAAAGCAATCAATTCTTTTAAGTTGACAGGATATGATGTGGCAGATTAAAACCTGTTGGTCTTTCTTTTCTTTCTGTTCCTTCTCCAGTCTTTCTTTTTCTTCCTGCTCTTTCTTTTCCTTTTCCTGCTGCTGCTCCCATTCAATTCGGATCTGCTTCTGCAAAGCACCAATATAGAATTTGTTTTAATGTGGAAAGTTTCATGCTTTGGTTCATGAATAAACTACTGACCTGTTTTTCACAATAAATCTTGCTAGAAATCCTGACATTGTATGTTTTAGAAGTGATTTTTTTTACCCAATACTAAATGATCCCATGTTTAAATCATTTTATATAATTTACATTCTATACGAGGGGCAATCAGAAAGTAATGGATCATTGGCTCTAATATGTTATAGTGTCCTATTGGTTGTCAACAGTCAGGAGAACAAGGCATTAACATGACAAAATGTCACCACCTAAAACAATTTGGTCAATTTAAAGCAAGTTGAAAAAAGACCTTTTTGACCTTGAAAAGGTCATTGAAGGTCAAATGTCAAATCTAAAGTCAGATTTGAATTTCTGAGAACATGTAGATGATTTTGAAAAAAAATTTTAGTCAATTTGAAGCAAGATGAAAAAATACCTTTTTGACCTTTTTTGACATTGAGAAGGTCATTGAAGGTCAAATGTCAAATCTAAAGTCAGATTTGAATTTCTGAGAACATGTAGATGATTTTGAAAAAAAAAATTTAGTCAATTTGAAGCAAGTTGAAAAAAGACCTTTTTTGACTTTGAGAAGGTCATTGAAGGTCAAATGTCAAATCGTAAGTCAAATCTAAAGTCAGATTTGAATTTCTGAGAACACATAGATGATTTTGAAAATTTTTTTTAGTCAATTTGAAGCAAGTTGAAAACAGACCTTTTTGACCTTTTTTGACTTTGAGAAGGTCATTGAAGGTCAAATGTCAAATCTTAAGTCAAATCTAAAGTCAGATTTGAATTTCTGAGAACACGTAGATGATTTTGAAAAAAAAATTTAGTCAATTTGAAGCAAGTTGAAAACAGACCTTTTTGACCTTTTTTGACCTTGAGAAGGTCATTGAAGGTCAAATCTAAAGTCAGATTTGAATTTCTGAGAACATGTAGATGATTTTGAAAAAAAATTTAGTCAATGTGAAGCAAGTTGAAAAAAGACCTTTTTGACCTTCTAAGGTCATTGAAGGTCAAATGTCAAATCTAAAGTCCGATTTGAACTTCTGAGAACATGTAGATGATTTAGAAAAAAATTGAAGTCAGTCTAAACAGTATTTGTTATGTTATAGGAAGTTGTAAGAAATTGTTACAGACGCCGGACGCCAACCTCCAACCTCCAACCTCCAACCACCAACCACCAACCGCCAACCACCAACCACCAACCGCCGTCGCAAAAAAACGGAGACCATAACAATATGTCACCACTTTTCTAAAGTCAGATTTGAATTTCTGAGAACACGTAGATGATTTTGAAAAAAATTTTTAGTCAATTTGAAGCAAGTTGAAAACAGACCTTTTTGACCTTTTTTGACTTTGAGAAGGTCATTGAAGGTCAAATGTCAAATCTTAAGTCAAATCTAAAGTCAGATTTGAATTTCTGAGAACACGTAGATGATTTTGAAAAAAAAAATTAGTCAATTTGAAGCAAGTTGAAAACAGACCTTTTTGACCTTTTTTGACCTTGAGAAGGTCATTGAAGGTCAAATGTCAAATCTAAAGTCAGATTTGAAGGTCAAATGTCAAATCTAAAGTCAAATCTAAAGTCAGATTTGAATTTCTGAGAACATGTAGATGATTTTGAAAAAAAATTTAGTCAATGTGAAGCAAGTTGAAAAAAGACCTTTTTGACCTTGAGAAGGTCATTGAAGGTCAAATGTCAAATCTAAAGTCAGATTTGAACTTCTGAGAACATGTAGATGATTTAGAAAAAAATTGAAGTCAGTCTAAACAGTATTTGTTAAGTTATAGGAAGTTGTAAGAAATTGTTACAGACGCCGGACGCCAACCTCCAACCACCAACCGCCAACCACCAACCACCAACCGCCGTCGCAAAAAAAACGGAGACCATAACAATATGTCACCACTTTTGGTGGGTGACATAATAAAACTACAATACAATACAAAATCGATGCAATACAATAAAAAAATACAAATTATAGCTAAGCCTAATCACCTTACGATAATTCTTTTTATGATAGAAGCACCAAAATTGGTACAAGTGTAACTGAAGGCAATTGAAAAAAATTGGCTCGAGGCAGCAAGTGATCCGGAGCCTCTTTCTGAAAAAAATCCAAGATGGCCGCCAATACATATAGATTTTCAAGAAATTTGAATTATCTTTGAATTAATGTTGTATTTTAGCTCTAAACCAATTGTATTTGTTTAAGGGAATTCTAGACAGTTGCTTGTGATATTGGAACTACTTTACAATATATTTAACTATTAAAACGGGTGTTCAGCAAGGCTCAGTATTAAGCCTTGTACTATTTTATAAGCTTTTATTGAATTACTCATAATTATACATATCAATATGAGAGTCACACATATGATTGAGTATAAATGCTGGATAGACTCTGCACTGAAGGGATTTTAAATATATTTCTTTTGGAAAAAATCTCTAGCCATGTTAAAACATGGTATGTACATAGTCAAACGTGACATACATATAGTAAATCCTGGTCAAATACTAGTTCTTGCGGCTGACCAACCATTGTTTGCTTCCCTGAAAACCATTCAATAGATATACCCTGATACACATGGGGAAGATAAATACTTGATCATGTTTGGAGGTCTCCATATAGAAATGATATTCCAGAAGGTGATTGGCTGACAGACAGCAGTTGGGTAAATGTAATTGCTCAGTCAAATACAGCATCAGTTGGTACTGCAGAGTCCTTCCTAAAGGGAAGCCATATAACCAAGAGCACGTCAAATTACGTTGGCAGCACTCCACATCCTAATGAAGAAAGCTTTCAACATATACCTAGCTGCTGCCGAACTCAGTGATGTAGCCCCCCTATCCTTTGAAGAATGGAAAGGGGAAGGGGAAGACAATTCCGATCCCCCCATTTCAAATACTGGGCTATAAAACAGCGCCTTGAAATGCTGCTTATGATCTTTGTTAGATCCCTGAGAGAGGCAGACTTTAAACTCTACATATCTGTATTGACCAAGATGATGCCCTGGTTTTTTGCATTAGATCATACACACTATTCCAGATGGCTCCCAATACACCTAAGGGACATGGTCCAATTGGAGACAACTCACCCTGACCTGTATCAGCTTTTCAATGAAGGTCTCTTTACAGTTCAGAAGACAGCTAGGTCATTCTCAACCATCCCTATAGACCAGGCCCATGAGCAAATAATGCTCTGATTAAGGGTTCTGGTGGGGCTATAGGAATAACAGAGAATCCTACTGCACTGAAACGCTGGATGATAGCTGGTCCTGCAATATTCCAGATCATCAAAGAGTTTGAAGAAATTTAGAGATGATGTATTTGCTGTTGTGACCACTATTGATAAACTAGGCAATCCATTCCTTGTGTCAGGTGAAGATGTATTTACTTTTGACACAAAGGATGTTATATGTATCAGTAAGTGACACCATCAGAAGTATAGAAGACATTGGCAACCAAAGCTTCACTAGGTATACAACTTAACGTCTTGTGGAGAGAACTGAACCATTGGATACACCCATAATAATAGCAGCAAAATACCCCAAAAAACAAATCAGAAATCTCAAATCAAGAAAATGAGAAACATGTATGTATGGGGATCGGAATTGTCTTCCCCTTCCCCTTTCCATTCTTCAAAGGATAGGGGGGCTACATCACTGAGTTCAGCAGCAGCTAGGTATATGTTGAAAGCTTTCTTCATTAGGATGTGGAGTGCTGCCAACGTAATTTGACGTGCTCTTGGTTATATGGCTTTCAGAAGTATAGAAGACATTGGCAACCAAAGCTTCACTAGGTATACAACTTAACGTCTTGTGGAGAGAACTGAACCATTGGATACACCCATAATAATAGCAGCAAAATACCCCAAAAAAAAAATCAGAAATCTCAAATCAAGAAAATGAGAAATGACTGTGATTTGTTCTCCAAATTATACATCACATGCCAGACAAGAAACATTGATCTTTATGACTTTCTCATGCATGAGAACCAGGAGTATCCACCTTCACTGGCAAAGTATGGTGTCCTCAGAAATGGTGACAAATCAGAGCTTCTTGACTGCATGGAGGATATCGTCCCTAGGGGAAAAGATAGGCCTGTTGTTGTTGCTGAAATAATAGATGGTGCATGTTCAGTACACCTTCTAAAACTAACTACAGCAAAGACCTTTGAGGATTTATGCCACTGATGTTTTCCTTCCCTACATCCAAGGTCAGCTGCAACATGTTGATCGCCTCCATATATTTTTGGGATGAGTACCTGACAAGGAGCCTAAAGACGATGACGAAACAAGCGTGGGAAGGGTGACAGAAGGATATATCTTGGTAACACTGTGCCCAGAAACTGGCAGTCTTACTTGAGAGATGACTCCAACAAGCAAGAGTTGTTTGGTATTTTAGCCTACAAACTATCAAGTCTTCCATTAGATGCATATAAACAGATTGTGACCACAATTGGTGAGAAGGTGATTTGCAATCCTGCTTGTAGTGATACAAATGACTTGGAGCCATGTTCTCATGAAGAAGCAGATACCAAAATGTTTGTCCACATTGCCCTTATGGCTAGAAGAGGGTTTGCCAGAATACTTATCAGAAGCAATGATACTGATGTAGTTGTCCTTGCTGTAGCTGCCTCTGCCCTACTCGGTATTCGCATATGGGTTGCATTTGGAACTGCGAAAAACTATAGGTATTTGTCTGCTCATGAGATGGCAAGAGCTCGTGGACCTACCAAATCTGAATGTCTCTCTGTTTTCCATGCATTTACTGGGTGTGATAGCACATCGTCATTCTTTGGCCATGGAAAAATTCTTTGGCCATGGAAAAAACAATGTTGGACAGTATGGAACAAATATCCAGAAGTAACAGAAGCATTCCTCACTTTTAAAACAAACCCACATCACATAGCAGAAGAAGCTCTATTTCTATTGGAACGTTTCACAACCATTGTGAATTATTGTGTTTTATTATATACCCAATATGTAACACTAATCCTGATTGGTCAATACCTAGTCACGTGTTCCGAAATAGATTTACTATTTCCCTCGGAAAGTTATATTCCCTCAAATGTGACGTCAGCGGGAATATACATTTGAACTATTGCCCGCTGACGTCACAATTGCAACTTCTATTACCCTTGGAAACGTCTGCGCATCATCACTGTGCAGACGAAAAACAGAAAAATGGAGGATGAGCACAAACACAAATCAACTCCGTTCACCATGACAGACGTGCGTGAACGATACAGTATAAGCAACGTGTATAAAGTTCCCTAAGCTCAATACGTCTGCGTAATTTCAAGTGTTTTGATAATCTATCCCGGGTGTTAGACGCGATTGAATTTGTCAAGTGAGAGTCTCAGAGGCAAAAATTTCTGTTGAGCATCTGATGACATCACAGCTTATAATGCTAACAATGGACCCGGGGAGGGGGCTTTCTAAGCCTTTGGCCTTCGCAGAGGAAACGGGACAAGAGTCAGTATAGGGTATATAATAAAACAAATAGTGACTGCCTAATTTCGAGCAATAGTGTAAATGATTTCCCCTTGGGAATATCCTCTACAATGTACTATCCCCTCAGCCTGCGGCTTCGGGAATAGTACATTGTAGAGGATATTCCCTCGGGGAAATAATTACACTATAGTGACTGCCTCAATGGCAGTCACTATTTGTATATTATGGATTATGGCGACGACTTTTTTGAATGGATGTTGACCCTTTGAAATGCCTATGGACTCGGAGACTGGATTTTATCTATCACACATCATTTGAGACTGAATGCTCTATCTTGTATGAGTACTTATATCTACAACTATTTTTGATGTTATGAGTATTGGCTATCAATTTCTAATTTTTCTTTAACATGTATTGTAATGACTTCAGTATGAATGAAATGTCCCTTGTGTTCTGGTCTTGGATTGTGATATCGGTTCTTGAATGGTGGGGGGGAAAGGGGGTATTATACATTGTTTCTTTTCATGTTAGATCATGGTTTTGGGATATATGGGGTTTGTTTTTCTTGACTGGTATGTATTTCTTGCCGAGTTCCATTACAACTTTTGGTCCTTTCCCTTTGGCACTTGTGCTTAGATATTTGTCATTGTTTTCTATGACAGGACAAGTTCAACAACTGATATTAACTCAACCAGAAAATATCTTTACACCAAGAAGGGAAGACAGATTGACAAGATACCTCCTACTAAGGCAGCTTTGGAGCAGCATATTAGGAGATTGGCCTTCACAGGAGGGATTGTTTGAGGCCAAATACTGGATCCTCCAGGATTATTTGAAGTTTGGCTCGGAGGAGGATGATGGTGATCATGTGATTCCACTTTTTGGTCTTCTCTTCAGCAAACATCAATAGCATGCAGAGAACTCATAAAGTGTCAATGCAGCAAGGGGTGTCGTCCTTAGTATTGTTCATGTAAAAAAGCTGGCTGGGCAAAATGCACAGACCTTTGTAAGTGCAGTGGGCTTTACACTGATTAGTGAGAGTAACAATAAAGGACAAAATAGTTGAGATTTGAGAAAGATGGTGATCAAAAATGTAAAACATAGACAATTTATCAAACATAAATTGTGACAATTTATCAAACATAAATTGCCCCAGGATTGACATTTTCGCATTGTAGCACCATCTAACTGGTACTGTAATAACCCCCTTATTTTGGATATGTGGCTGAATATATTCTCTTATACAAGTTGTTCAGTAGAAGTAATATCCAATATTATGTAAGTACTCAGTCTTTGGTTAAAAATTTTTGATGAATAACAATATATGTCATTTATGAACTTAATAGTACAGGTCATAATACTGAACCTTGATTTACGCCGTTTTACATTTGAAACTCAAGTTAAATGTCAGTTCATCAAAAAAGATTCATTTCAAAGCCACTTCTTGAGGTTTCTATGCTGTTTTCATTAATATGTTAGAGGATCTTGAGATTTTAATAGAAATCGGCAAAATCACAAACAGACTGGCGGCCATTTTGAATTTTTTCCAAAACGAGGCTCCGGATCACTTGCTGCCTCGAGCCATTTTTTTTCAATTACAATCAGCTACACTTGTACCAATGTTGGTGCTTCTATCATAAAAAGAATTATTGGGAGGGTTTTTCAAGTGATTCAGCCTAACTATTATACAATACAATACAAGTATGAGCATATGAATGTTAACATATTGCCTTAACCGGACAAGCTGTGCATTAGTGACAATTACACTCACATTTAACATTAGACTAACCTCTTGCTCAATTTTTCGTTCTTTTTCTTTGGCCTCCCATTCTTTCCGTGCCTCCCATGCTTTCTGAGCTTGCCTCTCTCTCTCTAGCCATAACTGGTGTGCTCTTTCCCTGTAAAACATTGTGCATTAAATTATAAGATCAGTCATTTCTGAGCTTCTTTCTCCATTTCAGTAATCTCTGAGTCTCGGCTTCTTTCTCCCTAACCACAACTCGGAATTTACATGTTCAATTGGTAAGCATGTGGAATATTTCATCAAGGTAGAACAAATTGTTGTTTTAGTATGAATAATTGAAGTTTTAAGTGGATGCCCTGAGTAGTCAGCTTCAATGAATGAGTGGGGCAAATTTCAAAAGGTGAGGCAAATTTCAAAAGGTGGGGCAAATTTCAAAAGGTGGGGCAAATTTCAAAAGGTGGGGCAATTTTCAAAAGGTGAGGCAAATTTCAAAAGGTGGGGCAAATTTCAAAAGGTGGGGCAAATTTCAAAAGGTGGGGCAATTTTCAAAAGGTGAGGCAAATTTCAAAAGGTGGGGCAATTTTCAAAAGGTGAGGCAAATTTCAAAAGGTGAGGCAAATTTCAAAAGGTGAGACAAAGCCAAAGATGGGGCATCATTTCAACAACTTCAAGACAAAACTAAAATATTTTTAAGTAAAATTTTGGTAGAGCTTTTGGTACATGCCATTCATACAATTACAAATACCTTTATAAAGACACTTTTGGACTCTTACCTTTTGAATTCCTCAAACTTTATTCTCTGTTCCTCGTGCTTTTCTGCAGTTTCATCATTGTCATCTACCAAGTTAAAAACATTACTTTACAGTCAAAATGTTTTTCTTTACTGTACAATAATGAAAATAGAGTAATAATGCATGAAATAAGCATGATTCTCATGTTTTCTAAATAAAGCATTTACATATACAGAGTATAGGTCGCTATTAGCACGGCCAATTACAGTAAACATTAAGGGGGTATTAATATCACATTCCTTTTCATCATGTGACTGAAGACTGGGATTTTAACTTAACATTAATATTTAGTTTGAATTTGAACAATCATCAGAATGTATTTACTAGTATTGGAAATTTCAAAACATTGATTTGGTGTCATGATTTAGACATAAAATTATGGAAGCTGATATACATTTATATAATTTTATGAAAACCCCACCTTCACAGTTCCCCTTATCTGCCTCCTGTGCTGCAGCTTGCCTCTGCGCCTTTCTCTTCTCCTTTTTAAGAACTGCTTTCCACTGTTTGTGACTAAAAAAGCAGTTGAGAGTGACATTCAAAAAACATTGTCACAATCTTTAGATATCTTTGCTCTCCGACAGTTATGACTTTTGTTCAAAATTTTTATTTTTAAGATTATCAGTAATAAAATATGGACATTTCTACTTATAAGATATCTCATTCTCAAATCTTTCTTGAAAATAGAACAGTCAATTTGCGGATGATCTGAACAAATTCGGAGGTGTTTCTCACAATTAATACACGTTTTTGAATTAAGATCTTGATACCATCCAAATACTACCCTTTCTGTTCGTCTTGTCTATGTCAATTATCTGCAAAAGGCTATTAAGCCCATTTAAAGCAGATATAACAGCGATATAATACACTAGCAAAAGTGAAGAATTTTATGAAACCAATTAAATCCCTATTTTCAACCATGAATAACAATTGCCTGATTGAAAATTCGATCTCAATATTTAGATAGAACTCTAAACTTACATTATATAGTTTGTCTATGTCTATCTCATGGCTATATTACTCTAAATGTGCCTAGATATGCGCAAAATCCTCTTGGAATATTTCAAGTTTGAAAACTTCTGCTCTAGTGCGCCACAGGTGAAATCTGATTGGTTAAAATTCCCGGGAAACTACTTTCATTTTGATTCTTTGAAATTAGCACATCGGCAAAACAAAACACAATCAGTGCGTTCTTTAGATAGTGTAGGGGATATCTAAGACAAATAGGGTCTTCAGCGATCTTTCTGCATTTTTTCGTACTTTATACCATTTGTACAGTCATTTTCTGCACGTGGAGCACAGCACTGTTGGGTGAATGGAAGGGTTGTCCAGTAAAAACACAAGAAAATAATCATTCCCTGGGACTTTGGGTGGTTCATATATCCAGAAATATGAGACCTCAAAGGAAATATAACTTACCCCGTTACATCTTGTTATTACAGTCTTAACATTTTCAAACGCTATTGTCACTGGAACTAAATGTATAGCCTGACCTAGACACAATCCATTTGACACAATAAGCACAATAGAAGAATGTTGAATAATCATGGGTCGGTATATATTATTATTTATCTACCTTGGGGGTCACAAATGAGATTTCAAAGATGGTGGGAAGTTCAAAATTTGCAGCTAAATCATTCATATTAGACAATTGTGGGTTGCGATCGTGTTTTTTTTGGCCGCCATTTTGATGATAAAAAGTAAGGTGAGTATGCACTTTTCAAGAGGTAAGTTCGCATCGAGTCCGCTCGAGTCTGCAGAACTTTTTTTCACAAACTTATCAAAATTTTATCAAACTTTAAAATGATGCAGACGATAGGCGTCTCCATTCAACGCATGACCATCATCTTGACTGATGAAAAACTGCAATTTTACTGATTATTACCCTTCATTTGTAAGGAATATGAATATGATGTTAACTTTACTAACACATCTAAACACCGGAGTCCAATATTCTCAATGTAATGCATTCACTTTCTGATGGACCTGTCATCAAGTTCCATCATATAAGGCAGGATTCAGAGGTAAGTGTTTAAACAGGAAGTTGGGAACTTCCTTGTTCAGCCATCATGAAAATTTCAACAACCAATCAGATCACCTGATTGATTCAATATGGCTGACATCCGGTAGGTGAATTATAACATGGGACTTTTGCTAGTGTAATATGAATTAACTATAATGTAACCCTTAACATGTAAAAATAGATCTATGATTTAAAATTGAAACCTAAGATATACTGGTGACGACTGTCAGGCTACCGAGTTGACATAGCCACTGTTTACCAGTAGTATTGACCGAAATACAGTCCAATGTCAGAAAACCGTGACATCACTACTTAAGATTATCTGGTTGATTGGAAAGATCTAATGTGAGGAGATGGGACGTTCTTGGAGTTTGACATGACATGAAAAATAGCGAAATTAGCTAAAATTATGTAATGTCGTATAATGGCGTGATACATATTCCAAGTCATCTGTGACGTCAGACATGTATTGCCTCATCAACAACTAAACAAATAAATAATCTAGACCTAACTGATTTGTTTAAAGTTTATTCGATCGTTTGTGACATCATAGGAATGATACCTAACCGACAACAAAACAAACAAGCATGTGTTTTCATTCAGCGCCTTGCTTTATGTGTCTATGTCAATAATCTGCAAAAGGCTAGTAAGCCCATATAGAGCAGATATGTGTTTTGATGAACAGTGAATCAGTTATCATAACAATCAACCGATCGTATCAGGGCCTTGGCTAGGCAACTTGGAGATCTCGACTTCGAGGAGTTTGCTGCATTTTCTTGTTCAAGTCCAGTGTCAACCAGTTGGCGGTCAATCGCATTCAGATTATGCAAAACTCTAAATCATCACTTACTGAAGTATTATACACCACTAATATACCACTACTATAGAGTTTTGCATTATCTGAATGCAATTCACTTCTTTCCAGTGTCAACCATGCATAGGAGACAGGTTACCTGAAAAGGAAGATAGATATCATTATCTCTTATCTCAAGGACTGAAACTGAGGCAAGGCTACCCTGGCTGAAATCAGCTCTGAAATAACAATTACTGCATGTCAAGCCGTCATTCAATGCTGATTTTGTAGAAAACAGATCTGTCCATCCTTCTACATGTGAGTTTTTCCCATAAAGATGCTTGATTAAGTAGAAATTCATCAAATTATACCCCTAGAATATCAAAGTTCAACTGTACATCAATCGCGTGAGGAAAAAAAACAAATCCATTCTTCACCTTCTGTTCACAAACCCTTCTTCTTCTTCTTGGAAAAGTTGTCCCTCATTTGACTAACAGCAAATGTGTATGTTTATGCAGCAATATATGTTAGTTTAGAAAATGATTAATTACAATCTTACCTGTACTTCACAGAAACATCCTAAGTATGAAAATATTTCACTAAAAATACATGCTTCCATTTTGTCACATGTTCATAATAATTTACATATTGACCATGTGATGTTGACAGGGAGTGTAAATGCACCTAGCGTACAGGAAATATGTTATGATATTTATTAAGAAATTAGGTATGGTAATCATTATTAATTAAGCATTAAGTATTAAGCCCCCAACCCACTTCACAAAGTTCATGAAGTACCAAGGAAAGACCAATATTAAATAAATTAGAAAAATTTGAATTTCCAAAAAAATCAAGTGGGCGATAATAGAGCCTCTGAAACATGGCAAAAGTGACATATTTTGTAATTTTCAATGCATACTCCCGATAATTATCTATCATTGTGTGCTTTCCACACCATATCAAACTAATATTATCTAAAAATAATGTATGTAATAAGTTAATGAAGGAAAAATTTAATGTTTCAGAGACTCTATTATCGCCCACTTGATTTTTTGGGAAATTCAAATTTTTCTAATTTATTTAATATTTGGTCTTTCCTTGGTACTTCATGAACTTTGTGAAGTGGGTTGGGGGCTTAATACTTAATGCTTAATTAATAATGATTACCATACCTAATTTCTTAATAAATATCACAACATATTCCCTGTACGCTAGGTGCGTTTACACTCCCTGTCAACATCACATGATCAATATTTAAATTATTATGAACATGTGACAAAATGGAAGCATGTATTTTTAGTGAAATATTTTCATACTTAGGATGTTTCTGTGAAGTACAGGTAAGATTGTAATTAATCATTTTCTAAACTAACATATATTGCTGCATAAGCATACACATTTGCTGTTAGTCAAATGAGGGACAACTTTTCCAAGAAGAAGAAGAAGGGTTTGTGAACAGAAGGTGAAGAATGGATTTGTTTTTTTTCCTCACGCGATTGATGTACAGTTGAACTTTGATATTCTAGGGGTATAATTTGATGAATTTCTACTTAATCAAGCATCTTTATGGGAAAAACTCACATGTAGAAGGATGGACAGATCTGTTTTCTACAAAATCAGCATTGAATGACGGCTTGACATGCAGTAATTGTTATGTCAGAGCTGATTTCAGCCAGGGTAGACTTGCCTCAGTTTCAGTCCTTGAGATAAGAGATAATGATATCTATCTTCCTTTTCAGGTAACCTGTCTCCTATGCAACCATGCCAGCTAAAACAGCACTCCGCTTTGATTTTTTCAAGTTTTCCGTCAATTGTTTTATTTTCCTCTCCGATCGTAACCCTGTTAGATTCAAAGACACACTATATGTTGTGAACAAGAACCACTCTATGACACTGATATGAATTCTATTGTTGATATCGAGTGATAAGTGTGTAAATCATTAAAACTTACCTCAATTTTCGAGTCATTCTTTTCACCTTGTGTACTTTTTATGTGTACTCACAAACTGATGACGTATTACGCAGCCATCGTAAAAATTATTTGAAAATTTAAAAACAAAGCAAGAAAACTACGCAATATATTGGATATAGGCGACTCTATGCTTACTTGAAGTAGTTGGTACGTATGAGTTGTAACGGGTGATGAGTTTAGATGCGTTATTTTCAACACAAAGCTTCAAAATGTCTCTCCAGTGAAGTTGTAAAATGAAAACAAAATTTTGCACAACATTGACTGGCAACAATCCAACTGTCATTCATCGAGTCATACACAGAGCATACAGACCCGTAGCTAGCTTTTACCAAGGGGGAGCGGTTTTACCAAGGGTTGAGCTTTTGCCTCAGGGGGGTTGGCTTTTGGACAGTTTTTGCTAAAAAAGCATGCAAGAGTGCTCAATCACAGGCCCACGAAGATTTGAATCCCCCTCCCCCAGTCACTGTATAATGTAAGAAATACAGGCTCACTTCTTAAACATCAAAATCTCTTCTCTAACAGCTCAATCTTACCATGATATGTCCAATGATCTTCTCTAAAACGCGCCATAAACATAAAATTTTAAGTTGAAAATGAGGCAACTGCCTCGTGCCTCGCCGATATTTATAAAAAATTAAGGTCTCATGGAAGTTAAACAGGAAATGACAAAACAAAAAATGACAAAGCCATGCTGGATTTTGAAAATTTTTTGAACCAAGATAACAGAGTTCTGTTTGGACCTCTAGTCAGTTTAACTAGTTCCACATATCATTTACATGACTGGGAACACAATTGAAATGGTCAGAATGACCATAAACATGATAAAATAATCTTTTTAGCCCTTTGAAAATGTGACTGAAAAATAGCTAAAAGTAGGTGCTCAGGAAAGGTCAATCAACAGAATCTTTTGATTTTTTCAGAAAATGTGTCCAATATATTGCTCTAAATGACACAATCTTTGAAATTTAAAAAAATTGTCTGAAACAATAATGGCTGTTGTAAAAAGGAAAATAGATCGATTTTCAATTCAGTTTTTTTTAATTTTTTCTTTTTCTAAGAATGATATCAAATTTGTTTAAATTGTATCATTTAGAGCAATATATTGGGCACATTTTCTGAAAAAGTCAAAAGATTCTGTTCAGTGACCTTTCCTGAGCACAGACTCTTAGCTATTTTTTAGTCACATTTCAAAAAATTTTCAAAATCCAGCATGGCTTTGTCATTTTTTGTTTTGTCATTTCCTGTTAACTTCCATGAGACCTTAACACAAAGACATACATTTTTTTCAATTTGAACCATGAAAATTAATTCAACCTTTGCCTATTTCGGGTATCTAAGAGGCTGTAAGATGAGTCTTACCAAACAAATGTATTGCATTATTTTCCAGGACCAAGCCCAGAATGCAGGTTGCAAGACAGCCCCAGCTTGTGGATGGAAAACTGCCTGTATTTGTTTTTCCAACCTCGTTGACATTCTGTACAGATGATACATCCTCTCATAAACAAATATTGACTCTTTACAATCCATATGACTTTGCTCTCAAATTTAAAGGTAAGCTTTTCATTCAGTTCTTGAATTTATATTCAAATAATGGATGCCATATAGATTGATCTACACGTGCAGTCAAAGCTGTAAAGCTGTATAGCTCTGAAAGTGGAACACTTCAAAGTCCCATTCATGAAAAATGAACCTCTGTAAGTGTAACACCTGAGGTATCAAAAGTGTTCCACTTGTTGAGGTTTTACTGAACATGCAACTATCTTATGGTCTGATTAATACTAATTAATACTTAAAAAAGAACTCAGGTCTCCTTTGAAAATGGGTTCTCGGGTCAGTCTTCTGCGATACCCATGAGGGTTCACTAGACACAAAATTCAAAACTTAACTTTTTTGGAAAACAAGCTTTATCATCTAGTTAATTCCACAATTCTGTGTAAAAGACAACCCATTAGAATTTAACACTTCCGTTCAACACCTCAATGCCTTGAATGTCTTAAGTACAACATGTGTATATTTATTTTAGTATTGAGTACAGCTCCTAAGAAGTACACACTTGGAGACACAGAGGGAACAATCAAACCACATTGCTGCGTTGACATGTAAGTGAGCTCAATCACACCACAATGCTGTGCTGACATGTAAGTGGGCACAATCACACCACAATGCTGTGCTGACATGTAAGTGGGCACAATCAAACCTCATTACTATGTTGACATGTAAGTGAGCTCAATCACACCACAATTCTGTGCTGACATGTAAGTGGGCACAATCAAACCTCATTACTATGTTGACATGTAAGTGAGCACAATCACACCACAATGCTGTGCTGACATGTAAGTGGGCACAATCAAACCTCATTACTATGTTGACATGTAAGTGAGCACAATCAAACCACATTGCTGTGTTGACATGTAAGTGAGCACAATCAAACCACATTGCTGTGCTGACATGTAAGTGGGCACAATCAAACCACTTTGCTGTGTTGACATGTAAGTGAGCACAATCAAACCACTTTGCTGCGTTGACATGTAACTGAGAACAATCAAACCACAATGCTGTGTTGACATGTAACTGAGCACAATCAAACCATAATGCTGTGTTGACATGTAACTGAGCACAATCAAACCATAATGCTGTGTTGACATGTAACTGAGCACAATCAAACCACAATGTTGTGTTGACATGTAACTGAGCACAATCTGAGTGCAATCAAATCACATTGTTTCGTCGACATATAAGTGAACACAATCAACCATTATGCTATGTTGAGATGTAAGTGAGTACAATCAATGCACAGGGCATTAGTATAAGATGTAAGCACTGAAAACATTACAATCTATATTTACAATCTATATTCCTTTATTTCAGAGTCATAAGACACACAGACATAAGTTTACGAAATGAAGGAGTCAAAGACAAGTTCAGGATTCAAGTTATTGAACATGGGAAAAAGTCTGTAATAGGTGAGATGTGTAAATAAGGAGATACAGCTCATCATAATCTCAAGATCTTGTGATAGAAATGAAGTCTTAAAATAGAGCTGTATAATACATGGCTGTCTATTCCTGTTTAAAGTCCAAAATTGGAGTATTTTAAATAGAGAAATATGAAACCCAAGGACATTTTAATTTTAATTTTTATGCAATATTAGGTACACAGGGCTCTCACCAGGAAATATTTAGGGCATGGTGCTAACATCTTCAGAATAACCGTTCAATCTTGATAAATCATATTTATGTTATGTTTTATCCTTTTTACATGTTATTATTGTATATTCAGTCAAGTTTAGACTGGAAACAGTCATGATTTGCCAATAGGGTGTAGAGGGAGCTAAATAGAGTGTGGTGCTGCACCATAGTCTAAAAGCCTGGTGAGAGGCCTGGTGATTAGATAACATAACACAAAGCAAAGTGTTATGTGTCCTTTCATCTTAAATGATCAGCATCTTGTGAGAATTTATTTGTTTCATTTCCATTTCCATTTCAGGTAAAAAAGACATAATTTCAACTTTACTTCCTACTAGAGATAAATCACCAGCTCTTGAAGAAACGTTCCAGCAGCTACCCCAGTCTGTGCAGTCCTCCACTCCTCAGGTCAATGCTTCCAAATATGGTATGTACATTTTACCCCAGTCTGTGCTGTCCTCGGGTCAGATTCCCCATAGAGCTCAACCCATGCTATAAAATTGAAATTTCATTTCTTTTTGGACAGATAAGATTTTCTTTTACTAAACATATTTTTAATTGTATAATTATTAAACTCAGTTATCAAACTGGCACTTTGGCAGTTAAGTTCAAATCTATCCAACAGAGAAGTATTTAATTTCTGCACTGTACCTCATAAAACATGACTATTGCTAGGTTTATATACAGGGTGACCCCAAAAAATACAACCCTCCATTTTTTCAATAATATTCTGAAATGGGAGTTGATTGCTCTCTTTGACACGCAAAGATTTCATTCAATGTGGGATCCTCTGGCAAAGTTTTACTAACCATACTCTTATATTGACAGAGATGGTTAATTGGACGTTCCAATATATATGTATGCTCCAGATGTCGTCCTGCATTTCGTTGAGGACAAACTTGCAAACTTCTAGCAAAATTGTTGATAACATGGACACACTCTTCCTGGGTATTGCACTTATTTTTGACAGTTCCCTCTGTTCTTAACTTCCTTCCCCATCTAAAAATCAATGATATATCTGGGTAACAGCAACATTCAAACTTATATCTAAATTCAGCCTGAGCTGCAACAAAGGATTTTCTCTGAAAGTATTCCTCTACAACAAAAGATTCTTTTCCTTTTGTCCAAACCATACCCTCAAAATGAAAGGACGACATAATCCCACATTGCCTGAACTATCTGGAAATGATAAATAATTATGATGTCTGTTATATTAAGAAAGTTATTCAAGAAATGGAGTGTTGCATTTGTCTGGTCACTCTGTACAACCCAACCCAAGTTGGAGCTTGAATTGATTTGTTGGCAAGACTGAATCCAGGCCCGTAGCCAGGGGTAGCCAGCCCGCAGCCATACTGAACTTTACACATGCATGTTTTTTTGCCAAAAATGTCAAAAAGCCCCCCCCCCCCTCCCCTTGCAAAAGCTGCCTTCTTGGTAAAACCGCTCCCCCCCCAGGTAAATCCTAGCTACGGGCCTGGAATCATGCATGAATTTAATATTTTTCTGTTCCAGGTGCTCCAAATTCTGGTCCAAGCTTCCTCATTGTACTCTCTGCCATAATATGCCTGGCTGCTCTTATGTTGCCCTCACAGGATGAGAAGGATTCTAGACTACCAGTGTATCTCCATTTAAGTCTTCATCAGAAACTTATAGCTGCTTATGTATTAGGTAATACGTTGCTTTATTAAGATTCTAGACTACCAGTGTATCTCCATCTAAGTCTTCATCAGAAACTTATAGCTGCTTATGTATTAGGTAAAGAGTTGCTTTATTAAGATTCTAGACTATCTAAGTCTTCATCAGAAACTTATAGCTGCTTATGTATTAGGTAAAACATTGCTTTATTAAGATTCTAGACTACCAGTGTATCTCCATCTAAGTCTTCATCAGAAACTTATAGCTGCTTATGTATAAGGTAAAACGTTGCTTTATTAAGATTCTAGACTACCAGTGTATCTCCATGTAAGTCGTCATTAGAAACTTATAGCTGCTTATGTATTAGGTAAAGTATTGCTTTATTAAGATTCTAGACTACCAATATATCTCCATTTAAGTCTTCATCAGAAACTTATAGCTGCTTATGTATTAGGTATAGTGTTGATTTATTAAGATTCTAGACTACCAATATATCTACATTTTAGTCTTCATCAGAAACTTATAGCTGCTTATGTATTAGGTATAGTGTTGCTTTATTAAGATTCTAGACTACCAGTGTATCTCCATTTAAGTCTTCATCAGAAACTTATAGCTGCTTATGTATAAGGTAAAACGTTGCTTTATTAAGATTCTAGACTACCAGTGTATCTCCATGTAAGTCGTCATTAGAAACTTATAGCTGCTTATGTATTAGGTAAAGTATTGCTTTATTAAGATTCTAGACTACCAATATATCTCCATTTAAGTCTTCATCAGAAACTTATAGCTGCTTATGTATTAGGTATAGTGTTGGTTTATTAAGATTCTAGACTACCAATATATCTACATTTTAGTCTTCATCAGAAACTTATAGCTGCTTATGTATTAGGTATAGTGTTGCTTTATTAAGATTCTAGACTACCAGTGTATCTCCATTTAAGTCTTCATCAGAAACTTATAGCTGCTTATGTATTAGGTATAGTGTTGCTTTATTAAGATTCTACACTACCAGTGTATCTCCATTTAAGTCTTCATCAGAAACTTATAGCTGCTTATGTATTAGGTAAAGAGTTGCTTTATTAAGATTCTAGACTACCAGTGTATTTCCATCTAAGTCTTCATCAGAAACTTATAGCTGCTTATGTATTAGGTATTGTGTTGCTTTATTAAGATTCTACACTACCAGTGTATCTCCATTTAAGTCTTCATCAGAAACTTATAGCTGCTTATGTATTAGGTAAAACGTTGCTTTATTAAGATTCTACACTACCAGTGTATCTCCATTTAAGTCTTCATCAGAAACTTATAGCTGCTTATGTATTAGGTATAGTGTTGCTTTATTAAGATTCTAGACTACCAGTATATCTCCATTTAAGTCTTCATCAGAAACTTATAGCTGCTTATGTATTAGGTAAAACGTTGCTTTATTAAGATTCTAGACTACCAGTGTATCTCCATCTAAGTCTTCATCAGAAACTTATAGCTGCTTATGTATTAGGTAAAGTGTTGCTTTATTAAGATTCTAGACTACCATTGTATCTCCATTTAAGTCTTCATCAGAAACTTATAGCTGCTTGTGTTAGGTATAGTGTTGATTTATTAAGATTCTAGACTACCAGTGTATCTCCATCTAAGTCTTCATCAGAAACTTATAGCTGCTTATGTATTAGGTAAAACGTTGCTTTATTAAGATTCTAGGCTACCAGTATATCTCAATTTAAGTCTTCATCAGAAACTTATAGCTGCTTATGTATTAGGTATAGTGTTGCTTTATTAAGATTCTCGACTACCAGTGTATCTCCATTTAAGTCTTCATCAGAAACTTATAGCTGCTTATGTATTAGGTATAGTGTTGATTTATTAAGATTCTAGACTACCAGTGTATCTCCATTTATGTCTTCATCAGAAACTTATAGCTGCTTATGTATTAGGTATAGTTGCTTTATTCAGATTCTAGACTACCAGTGTATCTCCATTTGAGTCTTCATCAGAAACGTATAGCTGCTTATGTATTAGGTATAGTTGATTTATTAAGATTCTAGACTACCAGTATATCTCCATCTTAGTCTTCATCAGAAACTAATAGCTGCTTATGTATTAGGTATAGTGTTGCTTTATTAAGATTCTAGACAACCAGTGTATCTCCATCTAAGTCTTCATAAGAAACTTATAGCTGCTTATGTATTAGGTAAAGGGTTGCTTTATCTCAAAAGAAATTAATTCAATATTTTTTAACAAAAAAAGCTTTTAATTTAAAAATAATGTCAAAATTAGTTCTTATGATAGAACATAATACAAAATGATAGACCTATGATATAATGTGTCATTAAAGTCGGTTTCTGGAGCCAAAAATCTGATGGATCGGACAATAATTCCATTCCATGCCAGAAATGATGATCAAATGCCATAAGTTATTCAAAATTATAAACTGTTTGTAAAATGAATTATTATTGTGTATTTTCAGGACTAGTCACAATGGCTTTACTGAGAATTTGACCCAAGATGCTGAATTTTAGTTAAATTATAGTGAAAAGGACTTTAGACTGGGTGTTATTTATACATACATTTGGAAATGTGGTATTTAGGATATGCATGATGCTGTATATTAGTATAAGGCCACTCAAAGTTAAATATATGTTTAACATCTCATCCCTCTTTAGATTGAAGCTATGTTTTAGAGAACCAACAATATTTTCATATGCCTATATATAATATGCACTTGTAACAAATCCTGAATGTAATCCTATTTTCTTTACTTTATTGCTATATTTACTGTTATTGAAAAGCGTATGTCCGATGTACGTTTGGCCCTAAAAGGGCATCAGTATTTATAAAATCCTATTATATGAAAATCCAGATGACAAATGAAGCTTGAAAATTATTATCAAATACCATATTATAGTGTATGCATATATTTTAGCTTTGATCAAAATGTACTTAGTTTCAGTATTAACTCAAAGGCAAAATATCATTTTATCAGTCACAATCTCCTTCTTTATGTTGTGATTTCACTAAATGAATAATATAAAATCAATATAGATGTAAAACCTGTACACTTAATTTTTATTTTCTTTGTTTTTCACTTCGTACCCTCCTAAGATTCACTCCTCAAGGATTCATCAAAGATTTGATTAACTTTGATTTATGATTATTTAACTTTGAATGGCCTTTATGTAACAGTCATGATATGAGAAAATATGTGGAAATGTGATCAGAGTTTTGTGCAGTAAGAAACAAGGATTACTCCTCCAGGAGAGCATTTTAATGACATTCTCCTTTAGGAGATACTATTCAATTGGTCAGTAGCACAATATTTATTGATATATCAATAAAATACAGTTTGTTGTGATAATTGCATTGTTTGTTTCTATGAAGGAAGCACCGTTATTTTGATTATTTGACCCCTGTTTGTTTGGTTTGATACATTGGAATTAAAGATGTGCTGTCAGTGAGCAGGGTCAACTTTTTTTGCTTGTTACAATTATAGTCTCACAAAAATGTATATTCATGTAACAGGGAGATAAATGACAGAAATGTTCAATGTACAAAAGTAGTGATCTTTATTTACAATTTTCATAGAATAATCATTGAGGTTATACCAATACAGTCATGAATACACGTATTAAGCTTTTAATATCTTTGAAACCCCAACATAAGTGAATCTCACTTGACTTCAACCTATGAATGTGCCAACGGCTCAAACCCGACCCCCCCTCCCCTTTCAATAAGTTTTCACTGGTAACTGAAAACAATGCATGGTAAGGACACATATACGGATCATTGCTCTGAAATCCCATTCCGATGCTTAAAACAACTCTCGCTATTGCATCAAGGACAGAAATGGAAAAGGCGTGGCTTACCACGATGCTGAAACTTGGAAGACAGGGATAATAATTCATACCCTCGGACAGACAGACAGACAGTTTCGCAGTTAATGCTGATGGGGTCTTGTTGATTCCTGGTATTTTATGAGACGTTTATGGAATAAATGTCACCTACTGGTACTTCGGGTAGTTAGTTTTAGAGGCAGAAAATGTACCATGAGCGTAGAGTTTAGTTCTAAGGTAACGATGATGGCGAAGCTAGGGCAAGCAAATGCGAAGAATACAGGAAATGCAAAGACTACATTTCTGAATGAGTAGCTGTTATTTGATTGCCCCATTCTGATTGGACAGGGCTCACCGTGGGGCTAGATCAATGATTATTGAAAGAGTAGATGAATCTAGATCTCCCAGCACCTTTTTAGAAATAACAGTATTTAGGGTATGTCAACGATCACAGTCCTATCAATTCTAGAAATCTGTGATTGTCATATGTTACATATATCCCTATACATTCCTCCATTCTTCAGAAAGTTATTGTTTGTATAGTTCCTGTCATTTTCTTGTGTATTTGGCACTTCAGGATCCACCCAGAATATGGCACCGTCAAAGGAATCTCTCCGTCCATTATTGTAGTCTTCTCTATAGCCGGGATGTTGATTGATAACGTAGGTCAAGTCCAAGCCTACAAAACGTGTTCAAAAGAAAGTGGGTTTATGAATTAAACCGTTTTCCTCGGTAAGAAAGAATGGTATATGTCACTGTAACCTACAGGGTTTTAAAAATCAAATGTGTTTGATTTTACTAATCAAAGTGATTATCGAAATGGATGTGCCGGTGATATAGTAAAGCTTTTAATTGACCCGTCTGTCAGTACAGCCGTTAACTCGAATGTGAGGGCTACTTCAAAATCGTGGCAAAACCAGCCTACCATGCCATTTGTGCGTTATTTCACATATAATTTATACATTTTGTGCTTTTCAAATCTTTTACCTTTCAATGAAGCAAACGAATCGTTATTCGTCTGCGCATAGATATTTAACGTCACACTGTCCATGCTCGTGGATCTTCCCCTAGTATTGTCATTTGATTCATAGTTCGAGACGCTTTCGCCATCCGATTCGTAGCCTTGAAGATCTTCCACTGACTTTGGATCTTGCCCCAATGGAGCCGCCAAGAATATGCGAGATGATGCAAGTAGAGCATTTGAAGCGGAACTCTTCGGGCGGCGTAATGATTCTAAAATTTGAATAAGTATTCGATTATATACAATATACATCAATTCAAACAATAATGTCACTTATTGATTATGGTAAGTCATAGTTTCAGAACAGAAATAGAATCAACTTCGGACGGTAATTGATATTTAAAAAAACGTCTTATAATTTTGTGGACAAACAGTACAATAAACGTGCATGTACACTTCCCTCAAAAAGTTTTGAAAACACCAATTCCCATATTGGATCACATGTTCAATTATTTTTGAAATTTTCAATGGACTACCTAAATGGGAAGATTTCTAAACATGTGGAGGGGTGTGTAAATAGTTTAATACGGATATTACAGTATGTCTAATCAATGGGATGTCAGGGTTGCAAACATTTGGAGGGGGGTAGATAGTTTAACAATGGTATCATTTCCTACTCTATAGGAAGGCAGGATTGCCAAATTATGGGGGGATGTAAATAGTTTAATACGGATATTATGTCTTATTCAATTGAAAGCCAGGGTTGCCACATTTTTGGAGAGGGTGTAGACATTTTAACAAGAACATCATGTTAACTTACTTGTGGCCTTTACATGGCAAGCTCCAACTGTTTCCTCATCGACACCATGTTTCCTACATACCCCTCTCAGTGCCTTGATCTCCGACTGTATAAGAAAACAATATAGATATGCTTACGATTAATTAAAAATTGATTATTCGTAATATCCTAATCATTTACACTCAACTCAAAATTGGGTGAAAATGAATAAAATACTCGTATGATCAGCTAGGCCTGTTAAAGTTCAAGATACACCAATGGGCAAGGGGTCATTTTCAAAAATAGGCATCATTTTTAAAAAGTATACCTTTTTAAAATATTGATAAAATTTGAGGCCCAAAATTATTTGCCAACCCCTTTAGGCCTTTCTACTACCCTATGAATTTCCAGGGGATATGGTTTATTTTACCACGGGCTTTATTATCCATTTACCTTATATCTGAGCACCTGTCTTGCTATCGACACTGTTTTCTTCTCTGCCTGTTTCTTTCCACTGGCCAACATCTTGATCTCGATCTTGTACTTTTCTTTAAATACCATTATGAAACCTATTGTAAAATACAATGGACTCAATTTGAATATTTTTTAAGTAGCTGCAACTAGCCGTGTGGGCTCACCGTTATTTTGGGCATCATCTTCAGCCCTTACCCTAACTTTAACCCTAAGTCTCAAACCTTAACCCTCACCTTAACTTAACCCTAACCCCTAACCCTGATGTTAACCCTAAGCCCTCAACCTAACCCCAGCTTTAACTCTTAACCTTAACTCTAAACCCTTAACCCAAACCCTAACTTTAACCACAATCCCTAACCCTAAACCCCAACCTTAAATCAAAGCCTCAGTCAAATTAATATTTGCGCTACGGTGGCCGTAGTTTCATAAAATCGATATAGGAATTCTACATCGTAGTGTATATCCATATATTTAATGCTGCATATTTCTCTTAATTTTGGAAAGCTACGACCGTCGTACGATACAATAGAAAGAGTTTACTTTAGCATATTCTTTAACTATACAAATCTACGCAATTAATCATATTTGATCGATTCTAACACGGTTTATACCAATGTTTAAATAAAAAACTTCAGAGAAGTGTGGAAACTCAGTATTTCGTTCTAGTAGTAAGTTTCTAATCCACTCTATATTTAAAGCAGGCCCGTAGCCAGAGGGGGAGCTAGTATAGGCCCCCTGGCCAGAAATTCTTTCCAAATCATGCAGTTTTTCACCATTCTGAGAATTTTTCGCATGATTTTTAGCCAAAATTGTGAAAAAAAGCTCCCCCCCCCTGGAAAAAAGCTCACCCCCTGGTAAAAGCTGGCTACGGGCAAGTAAAGCACATTCGGCAAATGTTGGCGCTTACAATTTACTATTCGAATGACCCTCCAAGGAAGAAGCAGTACCAGCAGCAAGGCGGCCTGGACTTCACTGTTTGCCCAAACGCCCTCTATCAATATGATGTCCAATAACCATGACGTGAAAACAACAAACGCATCAAATACCTAAAAAACAAAGTAGGTCTAGTTCAAATATCATTTTGATTTGCACAAATTTTCGAGGTTACCTGGGGATTTTTTTTATTAATGTTTGATATGTAAAATAGAAATGGGGATCGGTGATGATCGGGACCGTTACTTTGTATTTTAATTTGCCTTTTTATATTGCCTACACTGTACATGTATATTTTTTTAAATATTCAGGTTTAGGTTACCATGCTAACACCAGGGATAAATAGAACCATCAGTCATTCAGGGGTCTTTGAAAAAGTTTAAATTCTTAGCCAATCAAACGCCACGTTAAGTGCGATTGGTCAGTAGGTCGACCAATAGCTTCGGTTCATGTTGATGATTCAAATTGGGTAAGACTAGACCCTGGCTCACCGTGTTCAATTAGTCTTAAGTTTGGAACCCCGGGAGAACTAACAAAATTGTCGGTCGGAGAAGAAATCATATTTAATTAAAATTTGAAGTAAGTATGAGATTAACGAGAAAAAATATGGCGACTGACTTAGTATATGGAAATCATTGGACCACTTGGATAAAGGCGTCGAGGTAAAGAGTTTCGTGCAAATGCGCAAGATTATCGAACATTTAAATGATGCACACGACTATCCTGCAGCATTCAAGACCGTGAAAAATCGAACAGTCCTTCTCCCCACGGAGCGGCATTTTTACTAAGTCACGTTGAATGGTGACGATCTCCAGGGATCTTTTATTCCGAGGGAAAATATGATATAAGTAGTTGTACTATGGGATAATATAGGAATATCCTATGGCTTTGAAAAAATATCACTTATATCCATGAGTGGATATTGATATCTTCGCGATTGAGCGCAGCGAGTGAGTGAAGATACTGATATCCATGAGTGGATATAAGTGATATTTTTGAAAAACCATAGGATTGTCCGTTTATCCCATGGGGAATTATTATCCAGAGAACATTGAATAGTCAGATAAATGTCAACAAGATTTATTTATTTCAACATTTTGATTGCAATAATTCAACAAACGTCATAAACATGACGTAACAGGGTGGTTTGTATTTAATGCAAACGCCGTAAAAACTAGATCCAAATAAATAAAAAAACATATAAAGAATCGTTTTGCTGAATTAATAATAAAAGATTGAAAAAATCAAAACCATCGAATATCACTTTTGAAACCATCGAATATCACTTTTAAAACCATCGAATATCACCTTTCAAAAGTGATATTCGACGGTTTGGGAATTGTTTGCTAAAATATGATATCTTCATCCACGTATCAATTATATCTTCACGTGATATTCGATCTATATCCTTGTAACCATGGGATAAATTTAAGATATTTAATGGGAGGGACGGAATATGAATTTTATTCCGAGGGAAAATATGAGGGCGATAGCCCGAGTGTCAATATGATATTTTCCGAGGCCAATATCACATTTTCTGACCGAGGGCGATAGCCCGAATGTCAATATGATATTTTCTGAGGCCATATATTTTCTCAAGGAAAAAATTCATATTCCATCACGACCATCAATAACCTATTTATTCTATAATCATTTTCTAAAACTTATTTATATCTATTTTTGTATGTCATCACCCGGGATCTGATACGGGATTTTTGCTGATACGGGATCCAATACGGGATTTTAGCTGATACGGGATCTGATACGGGATTTTTTGAATAACATTTATATTCCCTGTTATTTTCCCAGTGAAAACTAGTTATATTATGGAATAAATAATTCTGTACTCTTTGATACATATCATGCTTTACCTAAATAAAAACACAACTCCTTTTCTGAATAATTTTTAATTAAGGGAGACCGGGGTAAAATGGAACACTTTTTCAATGTTTTACAAGACGTGTTATCCCACAAAATGAGTACATGCGGCATTAAAACTGCAATTTCTCAAGATGGCGTCCGACACAGCAACCTATGATGACGTCATTACAAACGCTTGAGAAAGGTCCCTTCTTAATGTCCCGTTTTGCCCTGGTCTCTCCTATGCTATGAACTGCAGAATCGCGCTGACACAAACTTACCTCTAATTTACTGTGAAAGAAATATTTTCCAAATGCGAACAACCTTAGTATTTTCTAAAAAAAAAGAACAAGGACAATTTTAATCAATAGGAAGTTTAAGCTTGCACTGTTTTTCACAACCTAAACGCGAACGTAAGTTATTTAGCTATTTATTTGTTTGGGCGATTGGTCATACGTATAGGTTGACGTTTCGATTTTATATGCAAGCTTAAATTCCCTAATTTGTACCACAGAACGTCATATATCAACCATTTTTTCAAGACAGCTGTCATCATATTCTAAAATTGCAAACCTATTAATAGTTTTCACAAAACACGGGGTCCGGAACTTATCTCATATCATTGTTGAAAAACCTCAAAAATCTATTTAGGCAAGGCTTAGCTTGTATTCGCGAATGTAATGAACTAACGCCTGTCGGCTACCGAATTAACCTACTGTTTTACTGGAAACTCATTTAAATATGAATAGTACATGCCACTATTCCATTCATATTTAAATGAGTTGGTCATAAAATACTAGGTTAATCCGGTAGTTGACAGGCGTTAGTTGCATTCGCGAATTCAAGCTTAGTTGATCAAACGATTATATGATAAAGCGAAAGCGAAACTGAATTATCATAAGGCTACAGTTGCGCATGCGCACCTCAAAAACCATAATGGAAAGAACGGTCAAACTGCCCAGATGAAAAGCATGCGTGAGCTCGTGTAACAAGTCGTGGCTATGATCACCATGGTGATCGGTATTGTTTCCACACAACGCTGAAGCATTACCAACATTCCCATCATCAATCAATTGAAGTATATCGTTCATATCAGCGCGCCCATCTTCGAGTTGTAGTTTGTTGTAGTTTCCCTGGTTTTCTGACGATGAGGCATTAGTATCCTGGTGCTCGTTATCTACAAGTGTAATAAATATCAATCCACGTAAAAATGTGTAAGTCTATCAAAGGAAACTTCTTTTAGAGTTATAAAAAAGGTTGCAGACATTAAACGTTTAAGGACTAACCTTGTATTCGCGAATGCAACTAACGCCTGTCGGCTACCGGATTAACCTATTATTTTATTGGCAACTCGTTTAAATATCAATAGTACCTGTCTATTCTATTCATATTTAAATGAGTTGGTCATCAAATAGTAAGTTAATCCGATAGTCGCTAGCCGCTATTTGCATTCGCGAATACAATGTACATTTATTTCTCCCTTCATAGTATACATATACTTGCCCAATCAAGTGTAACGTATAAATAAGGAAAAGTGGTTGCAATTCGCTTCCTGGAACGGCAAATGAGATCAAGGGGAACGTGATCCCTTTTAAGGGCATATCATTGAAGGATTTAAGTCTTGGAGTCAGTGCAATGTAGAATGACCATTCTTTGAAGGTATTGCTTTCCAAAATGTGCACGAGATACGCCAGTATCGAGTGTTAATTTTAGGAAACAACGCCTAACATTTGACCTACATAAGCACGTAGCTTGTTTCCCTATGATACTACAGGGTGTGCCAAAACATTTTGCAACTTTTTTAAGAGCCTAGAAAAGTATCATAACATTAAGGCATTGCCATAAAAAATTATTTACATAATCTTAAGGATAGGCATATTTTACCATTTTACCATGTGACTTTCTATGAATTTATGTGATCAACAATAACACATTCATTATGTTCATTAAAATCAGCTACAATTTTGGATAACTGTTTAACCTATGTCTAGTACAAGTTTATATTAGTATCTAGTAACGATGGTATTATGTTATTCCATATCTTGATCATTTATTAAACAAATATCCTATGCATCTACATTTCACCAAGGAAGGAGGGGTAGAACGGGTCAATGGCGCGATCCAACTATTCTTATGGTAGTCCCTTCTACTTCTGCAGAACTTAGTTGATCAATAGTTTGTGGGGGATTACCTTTAACTGCAATAACCTGTCCTAGACATAGGTTAGACATGTATCAAAGATTGTAGCAGATTCAATGAACATAATGAATGCGTAATTGTTAATCACATAAAATCATAGAAGGTTACATTTTCTAGGAAAAACGGTAAATCTCGGACATATGAACAATTCACCATTGATAAAATTGAAGACAGCTTTAGCATTTGAATGGTAAAATATGCCTCTCCTAAAGTTTCTGTAGATAATTTTTTATGGTGATATCTTAATGTTATGATACTTTTCTAGCATTTTAAAAAAGTTGCAAAATTGTTTGGCACACTCTGTATTTATAGAAATTTACTCAAATGTGAACTGGCCGGACACACCTTCTCTTAAAACTGTCGAATACTATGAAACCATACTATTACACGGGTGTTAAAACACGAATATACCATGAGCACATGCTTTGAGGATCCGCGTTGTTTGAACCTACCGCCGAGCACACTTATACATTAAGCCCCGTTAAACAGTCATGATACCGCCGAGCAAGCTCATTGCGTCATCGGGTCTGCTTTACCCCCGTGTATTACACCGGTATAAATATGTTTTATTTCATTTACGTAATTATACTCGAGTATTAACTTTAGATAAATAGGAGAATTTTTAGAATATATGGATGTACCCTTGTATATAAAGTGTATATACTGTATATAAATTCCCAATACCAGTGTTAATGCTGGACGACACATTCGTTTTCTGCAGTTGTTGGTTTGAATTCGCTAACGCTCTTCTCATAAGATGATGGTCAGTAGTCCCCGTCACGTGATCTATGAGGTCATTTAGACTTGTACCATGGTAACACACGAAATCATCACTGTACCTTTGCTTTAGTGCCACAGTTAAAGATTGAGTACCAATGTCAGTTTGATCCAACTTTTCTAAAAATGAATTCATATAGGCAAGTGTAATTTGGTTAATAGGTAACAAATATACATATTCCGCATTATTATATAACTGTCATATTCCTCACTCTCTGATTGGTCCATCTCCTACACGTGACTAAAAAATAACAAGCTATATTCACATGACTTTTGCTGAATATCAAATGATATTCACCAGTCACGACTTAGTTCAGAATAATTTTAATTAACATATACCCAGAAGTACATTGTTATGATTAATTAGACATCAATAGTTTTTTATTTCATTAATGTGAGTGTGGAAAATAACAGTAAATAATGAAACAAAAATTTAATTCTATTGAAGTGAATATGGCACTTTCAAAAGATATACGAAGGGCTAGTGGAATATCACTTGTGAAAGATGCACAGGTATTCACCTCAATACAATAAAATATTTGGATAATATTCATCTTAGGAATATCGCATATTTAATTACCAATGAGAAAGCGTTACAAATACGTTAACGGAAGATACGAAATCATATAGAAGCAATTAGTTTTCGAGCAGCTAGTTTCGAGCAACTACTTGTTTTGAGTTTTTTATGAGTTGCACTATTTCACTTTCGTTTATATATATGTATATTACCTTTAATTACCGTTGTCAGTTGCTTGAAAAAGATTCACATATAATAAATCGAAATGTTGCAAAACTAAATCATTGTGTCTGTAATATATTACATGACAAATATAACTTTACTAAAATAGAATTAAACAAATTACAATTGTGACAGGTTTCGAATGTTCTAGTGTTAAATTAGAACAACGGGAATCGTTAAACTGTCCTTGCTACTTCAGATTGGTGCTATTGCGTTCATAAGCTTATATATTATATTTGTAATCATCTTAATTATCAAACCCAGTAGCATTCGTATCCATTTCTTTCCTTTCTAATATTTAATCTGAGTAACTTGATCACCCGGCTTGATCACTAGGTAAAAAAGAGAAAATTAGATACTCGTAATATTCCAATTTAAATGAATGAATCAATTAAGGATTTGGAGTTAAACTACCTCATGAGGAGGTTCAGCTACTCGTTTATAAGATAATAGCGAGGCTAATATACACGTTCCAAAGAGAACGTGTACAGTACGTGAACGTTCAATATTATGACCCCCAGGGATCACCGTCCCTTCATAACCTTCTCAACTGAGCTATTAAATAGTACGAAGGGGAAATCAATCCCAGAGGGTCATAATTCTACACGTTCGCGTACAAGTCCAACTATGACGTCATTATATCTATAACGTTACGATTACAAAATGTTTAGGACAAGGGGTTTAGGTTACTCGAGTCTCTAGCTTACAGCTAGACGAAACTTCATTGATTTCGTATGTACTGTGCTACACGCACCTACACGCACCTAGAACTCATTTTTAATAAATTTTATAAATATTTTTAAGAATATTAATCATATTTAGGATGAAGCGTTGCTTGTCTGGATTTAGATATTTCAAAATTTCATTTCGGAGTTTCAACACATGGTGAAATTTTCTCGCTGTAGCTAAAAATGGCTTCCGGTTCTGGACGTGAATAACATTTGAAATTATTCTCGCTTAAAGAAATCAAATATAACAATAGATTCAGACGGGGGTGTGAGCTGGTGTTCTTCAAATTTATACATAAAGGTATATTTCATATTATTATGCCATATTTACTGTGCGTGTGACACAATGATTTACAATATTTATAATACTAAGGCAGCTCAATCTTCCTCCTCAAAGCCGGAATATAGAGAAGGCTTTGGACCGAAGTAAGGTTTAGGAACTCTGATTTTATCCAAGTTTCTGTTCATGGTCTCCTGACAATTAACATGTGGGCACCTTACCTCTGATTATAAGGAGGTCGCATATCAACTGCCCTACGACAAATGACACGTCACATATGGCCAGGCAGCAGACGACAATTAACGCCGGATGGGTATGAAGAATATGCCCAAGCCGGTCCCTAAACCTTTAAGAGAACAAAAAGCAACATCAAACATAAAACATCAATTTATATACTAATAAACCGCTTTCCCTTGTGAGATTTGGGGAAAATGTTACCAGAGATCCGTTCCTGCACCAATCTTCGGTAGCATTCGTAAATTTAACTGTCAGCTGTCGGTTAACGGTTTGATTGCTGTTTTATGGCTCATTTAAGTATGAATAGTACATGCTACGGTTTACATTCATATTTAAATGCTTTGGATATAGAATAGCGGTCAAATTGTCAGCCGACAATCGGCAGTTGAATTTTCCAATGCTAGTTTAGTAACTATTTTATGAATTTTACAGAAATACAATGAACTTCACAAAGCAGTGGACTTATGAACGTCTGTTACTAAGAACTGTACAAGAACGGACCCCTACTTACTTGACATTTTTTATTGTGTTATGACCCATAGACATTATAAATAAAAATATATACCATGGCAGCACTTGTTAGATCACGACCCTTGAGTCTTTAAATTCATTCACACACGATAATGTCGTGCTGAAAAGATTTTTATAACCAAACTAAATTACAATTGCCAGTTAACCATCTAAACATAGAAAGGTATTTTTGGCATACACTAATTTTCTTTTGAGAGTGTTCTGTCAATAATGAATTAAAATTATATATAAATAAAAAACCTTGGCAGTGTATGGTACACAATGTTACACTGGCGGATCGGGGGTCAAGGTCTGTGCCTTTTTGGGCCTTGTGTTTTATTTTAGGTCAAATATTCAAGAAATGGGCCTTACATTTGTAAAATTTGGGCCCAAATTTGGATTTTAGGGGTAAAGTATTTTTTGTGCAAGATATATTTTTTCAAACTTAAAATATCTCCCTTGTTGGTTTTCAGCCCCTCCCCTGGTCGGTTTCTACGTCCAAATTTGGAAGTGTGGGCACTGGGTTTGCGCATGCGTACTGGTGTTTTGAAAGCAGTACATTTCCGAACAGGTTCAAAACTCAGTCATATCTTTATTATACCTGGAATATAGTTTCAAAATGTGAAATTGTAGTCAACCCAAGAGCCAACTGTCTCGCTAAAATCTAGCAGAAAAATGGGAATGCAGATTTTTTCGATTGAAACCGAAAAGTGAACCATCAATATAAAAGTATTATATTGTCTTTCAACCCAAATTTTGCTTCGTCTATTCGAATTTTTTCTTCGCCTATTTTGAGATCCAGGTTACCTCCTTATCAACCAATAAAGTTTCATGAAGAATAGATTCCTCAAGATTAGGAAGAAATTGAGCAAACACGATCGTATAAAACACAATACAGTTCATAAAATCGGTAATGTACATATTGAACGGCATTACCTATATGAGCATTTAACTCTCCAAAATTCATTGTGCGGACTCATTTATCCATTAAATATTCCTCGAATTGTTTTGCCAATATATCGACTTATTTCATGTCTTGGGTTATTATTGTAGCTTAAAAATTTATATTGGGCACAGATTCACGTTTGGTATCACTTCGCAGGCTAAAATAGCTAGAAATACAGTAAAATTAAAACTTAAGTATTTACGACAAAAACAGCTACAAACACTACTTCTAAGATGCTCGCTTCGGAAAATAACGAAGGCAATCTCAACACTAAAAATCCGAACGATGAGGCAATTAGTAATCAAGAACAAAATGAGTCACCAAGGAAGAAGAATAAAAAACCGAACGGAGTGGATCATTTAATATCTGGTTATCAAAGATCTTATGCTGGTACATCAAAACCCGATATTCACACCCAAAGAGAGAGTGTAGAACGGTTGACTAAAACCAGGAAAATGAAGGACGCGGAGGGACATAGCAACAGAGATAAAAGCATTGTCCATAGTTACCAATGGAGGGCGTGTGGGGATCGCAATAAAGGATTCGTTGCGTAATTATAATACTTTTGGATTTTTTGGGAAAATAGATTATTTATGTTAAACCTATCGTAGAAGACATCTCAAGAAGACTAGGTATGCTTTAGCATGACTTGGATGACTTAAACACGACACGGAATTTTTACATAAATACATAAGTACGATACGTACCTATGATTCAGGATTTTTTACATGACTCACAGTAGATACTTAACACGACAGTGAAACTTTATCATGATGCCTGGGCGATAGAATGGGTTTGGCGCAAGAGAGATAATGCCCCAGTCATATTTGATCCACGGCAACCGTACGGCGGCCGTAGCTTCCCAAAAATCTAAAGAAATATGCAGCATAAGGGATAAGCAGTATACGATAGATTTTCTATATCGATTTTGTGAAGCTACGGTCGACGTACGGCTGCCGTAGAGAAAATGTGACTGAGGCTTAACAGAACATTGGAGCGAAACACACGACATAAACATTTCCAAATAATGTTTTTTCACAGATTATAACAATGAAAAATGTTAAAAAACAACTTTGATGCTGTTTTCAAACGAGCACTTACTAATTTGAAGTTAAGCAATTGTATTTCGTTACCCCCCTATCACACCAAACTCGTTCTTACCCGTTCTTGCCAGTCCTACGAAAACGTCGTAAAACGGGCTCAATCTGGCTGTGGTCGGGAAATATGTCTGAAATAATTAGCTTCTTCGTTCTTAAACAGTCTTCAATACGTCCATCTCGTTCGCAGTTCGTTCAGGTCGCACCACGTCGGTGTGCAACGCCGTAGAACACGTCCCTTAGTCTAGAAGGTCATCATGACCTGATAACAGAACGGTATGGTCGCAATCGAATTTTGAATCGATTCAAAATTCTAAAATCACATTCCCGTCTGAGAACGTTCATAAAGTTCGTAAATAGACCTTAGAAAGTTGCAGCTACGTTCATTCCGTTCGCACATAGTTTAGAACCAGTTTTGAAGAACGCAGTGGCAACTTGTTTGGTGTGATAGCTATATTTTTGCTAACTCGTTCATAAGCAGTGTTAAATACGTTCTTAATCAGTTTAAACCCGTTTGCAATTAGTTCTACCTCGTTCTCAACACGTCCTCAGACAGTTCAACTCGTTGTTAAAACGTCCCTAGTAGGATTGAAGTACGACGGTTCCGTTCGTAGTACGTCCAGCTCGTCGTTAGTACGTTGTCACTCGTTCTAATTGTAGAACGTGACGACCACGAGAACATTCTGAGCATTGTCTAAGTTCTAGAGGACCTACCCGTTCGAGTACGTTCGATGAAGTTTGTAAATAGATCCCAAACGGTTCTTAGTACGTCCAGCCCGTTCGTACACAGTTGAAGCCCGTTTTCGAGAACGTAGTGAGAACTAGTTTGGTGTGATAGTAGGGTTAGATAATACAAAATGAATTAATGTTAACATGAAAAATATAAATTGATAACGATAGATAATGTAGTTTTTTACAGACGACGACCGCCGAATACCAATCGCCACACCGTCCACAAAAAGTTGAATACTAACAGTATAATACCACGTCTGATAAATCTATGCATGAATAGACTAGATGCGAGTAGAAATGATCTTGATTTACGTCATTAAATATTCAAAATTCAGTCAAAGTGATGTCATATTTGAAATCTACATGTAAAAATACATCCAAAAATATGGTTTCAAAAATTGTTTATCAACTTTGAAAACTTAATCTTCTTTGAAAATGTGACTTCTAGTTCGGGTTGACTCACCATAGACCCTATGTTACAAAATCACAAAAGGTGGAATATCTTTTGTATTGGACAGATAACATTTTCTTTTACTGGACATATTTTAATTTGCATAACTATTAGATACATAAGGGCTATATGAAAATTGAACCACTAAAACAGATGTAATTTAAGTTAAAGGGAACTCTCTACTATACCCGCCATTCTATCTGACCCGAGCGAGCCACCTGGTGGTGAAACTGGTAACTACCTACTCGCATTTGCGTTATTGTATACATCAATAAGCAAGAAAACACTTTCTGAAAGTCTGAAAGTAACTTGATTTTGAATCATTTTGTCTCTGTCCCTGATTTAACCATTTTGACACAGGTGACAAAATCGTTTCTACGTGCACGTTCCAAAACATTTTATAAATAGTTCGGTGTGTGAGAGCTAAATGAATATTGAACTTGTGGAATATGCACAGGTGTTCACCGAAAATATAATGAGATATTCATTTTATTATTCACTTTTAATAATCCACACTCTCAAGATGTTCACTGATGATTTTGTGATATCTGAATGGAAATTACCATGAAATATGATAACAACGTTCTATCGCAGGGGAAATCCTCTGCATTTCAATTTGTGGCGAGTTTCATAACCATATTAAATAACCATACTAAATAAGATAAGTAAAAAGTTGACGTGAACAATGAATGTGAAATATCATTCTTTGATAATTGGATAAATAAGTTTTGATGATTGAATTATTTTTCTATAACGAGATAGGACTGATTGATTGTTTGTTTAAGTATCATACTCATCTCCAATGCAATTGCTTTAAATACGTTTTTAAAAATGAAGATAACGATAAAGTAGAGGTTAAAGTGATAATGATGATTATTCGGTCATTTGAAAACTCCGAATTTTTTAATAATAAGTTTGCACTTAGGACAAGGGCGATGGTACATCCGCCAAGAATAACATATTACAGGATGTCCAAAAATACAGGACCGGAGAAAAGCTGATTAACTCAGTCAATCTTGCATAATCTGCCTTAAAATTTCAGAATCATTTGGTTCATTCAATGTGGATTTTGTTGTGAAAGATTGACGATAATCTGTGCCTATCGAGTCTTCTCTCTATGTTAAATTGTGATAGAGGAGAAGTACATACCTACTTGGAGCATGTTTTGTGATTTACCGTAGTTTTTGGACACCCTGTACAATACTAAAATTTGTATACGAATATCTCATGTCGATTTAGGTATTCAAAATCCTAAAATTCGATGATTTTTTAAAAAATGTGTCTAGGTTTTGTGAACTTATGCACTGAAATAATACTATATACAGTACTATTATCAATTTAGGAAGAATATTTGTTAGAAGTTATCGCAAAAATAGAACCCGTTATTTTTAAGTGTAGTATACTGTCCTAACAATTGCAACTTTGAAAAGAATCAAATCAAGTTGCTCAAAAGTGCGAGTTATGATCTGAATCTTCTTTCTTTGTCATAATTTACCAATTAAACTACATGTATTGTCATTCTGAATAGCCTCATATATTCATCATCCTAAAGTGTCAATTAGTGTACAAATAGTGACTGCCATTGAGGGAAATAGTGCAAAATATTTTCCTCAAGGGAATATCCTGTCCACTGACATGTTCCCGAGGCTGCAGGCCGAGGGAACAAGTCAGTGGACAGGATATTCCCGAGAGGAAAATTTTTACACTATTTCCCGAAAATGTGGCAGTCACTATTTGTTTTATTATATACCTGATAAGTACTCTGTAAACAAAAAAACAAAATGAGAAGTCTTTTCATTTCAATATCAAATGTTCACAGGTTCTTATTGGCATTTAAAGGCATTTTACCTTTCAACTCCTATAATCTCAGATTTGGGGGAAGATAAAATGTACTATTGACTGGTCACATGACCTAACTGGTGATTAGTACAATTCATCTTCCCTGAAAGCAGGGATTTAGGACTTTCCAGGGAATTAGTTCATCTATTCCATGTCATGTGACCATGAATAAGCCAATGAGCATCTAGAATACATTTGAGGTATATAATAATTTAGTTTAGTTTAGTTTAGTTTAGCTTTATTGTCATTTATCATCATGGTAAGCCACGCCCTCTCTATCTCTATCCCTCTGCGATGCAACAGAGAGAGATGCTATGAGTATCAGAATGGTCATTTATATAGTGTTAACAATAGTCAATGCAACATAAAAGAAAATTATTTAAAATATATAACCCAGGTCACTTAGACTTATCAACCACTTTAGTAAACCTCATTAGTAAAGATTAAATTACTCAATCTACTTGTTAAAAAAATAACAAAACATTAATATTTGAATATTTGAACAATACATTTTGATCCCGTGACATATGTGTCGAATATGTGAATTTGTGTTGCTCGATTCGAATTCTCATGAGGTGAAGCGAATATTAGAGAGATATCGCAACTCACTAATAGCATGTTTATTATTCCCATATAACTTATGAAGCGTTTGATTGCGTCATCATCTGTGGCACAACTGTATACGTCCATAATTGTAATATGATCGACAGACGACGATTTATAAGAATATGGAGTCTAAGCTTGCAATGTTTTTCACAACCTAAACGTGAACGGAAAATATTAAAGCAATGCATTTGTATGGGTTACGTATAGGTTGGCGTTTTGATTTTATATGCAAGCTTAAATTCCCTAATATAACTATTATGGAAGAAGAGCTGAGCAATAAATGATGACGTAATCAAGCGCTTCATGAGTTATGTGTTATACTGAAATAATAGAATACTTTAAGTGAGTTGCGTAATCTCTCTATTACCACGTTAATGGTCAGTTAACTCTGAAAGTTTTCATGAAAAAACATGCCGGTTCATCCTCTGAACGCAAGTCTGCGTATAGCCGTATACAGACATCAACAATTCAGTTCAACGACAGTAAGAAAAAATGTAGAGAGTAAAAATAAATTAACAAATGGTGTCATTTCAAAATTAGGCCTGGAAGTTTGGTTTAAATTATGAAACTCTCTAGATTAGAACTTGAAAACATTTTCCGACCGAAAATATCACGTGATCGTATCAGATTCAACAATAGCTCCATTGATAAACAAAATGTTGTCTTTGTTCTAAAAAGCCTCAGTGGCAACATTAGAACAACGCGCAAAGGCTCAGATATTTAATCATTTCAATAAAACCAGTGATAGAACAAAATTTGATCCATTGATGTTTATTAGAAATGGCAAATCTTTTTATTATGCAATGTGCTAATTATCTATATTCAATGTTAATTTAATATGTTCTTCTTTGCAAAAATAGAACCTCTCGAGCACTTTTTAGCTCATTTAAATTATTTCCAATTATCTAGATACGGTATCTAATTATTTTTTACGATATCCAATTATTGGAAAACACTTATAATATAACGTGATATTAAGTTAAAAGTAAAGAGACTTACCTTTGAAATTTAGATTGTTTACGTGTTATGTTTCTTGACGTACCCATTTTAGCTGTGGCCTTTTGTAATAAGATCAAGATAATTCCAATAAGTGTCGACTAAAATACTCCTAATCAATGCAATAATAAATCTTCAAAAATGTTCAATAAATTGGGCTATAAACTTCAAACGACTACTGCTGTTTTTGTCTTTTGTTTTATAGTTGCGCATGCGCATGTTGTTGATTTAGTACCATCAACAATATAGCATGCAAACGGTGTATGATTTTTCAGATTGTACCAAGACTGCTTCACTCATGACTATTTCATATACACGTTACTCTACACCGGGGCAACTTATCCTTAAATTATTGTTTGTCTTTCTCCACAGCACATGGCCTTTTATGTGATAGAGGAGCTGTACCACTTTGAATCATTGGGTATGTTACAATGAGCGACATGGCAAATCCAAATAAATCAACTGTTCAAGTGGTTTCAATGCTTTGGTCGGAACCTACAAAATACCATACCATTTTTACCTTGTTAAATGTTAATCTAATGGGTCCAAGGCAAGACCTAGCTCCTTGGAATCGTTCCAGGCCTGGGCCTCAGGTTCCAGGTATATTGCTTGGAGGTCTTATTAGATTAAATACTGGATTTAAAATCGTTTGGTATAATGAATTGTGAATTGTACTCAGTAAACGCATTTGTTGCAGATCGCCATCTAAATTATAATAATTTCTTCAGGATATGTTAGGCTTAGATCTAACAAACGAGAACAGTTGAATATGTTGCCGTTGTGTATAGTAGTGTGAAATGATCTGATAGCTTAGCAAACAAATGATTCCTTAAATGATGCACTCTGAGACTCTGATTCAGAACCGAAGGTCATTAGATGTGATATTGTATCTTTATTGTATGTTCGCCGATTAAATTCTGAAAAACTACACGGGGCCGGTGGATAGTTATCACGTCATCAACGTTTTGATGGGGCGCGAGAGTATTATGAATGTCTTTCGATTATTAAGACAAAAAAGGGTGAAATTCATATTCATAAACTGAATTCACAGTGCTGTTCGTCAGTTTCGCCGCATAAGCATGGAATCTTACTCTTTTACAAAAATCGAGAGCAACATTGCCTCAAAGACAATGGACTGACATGTGGTATGAACCGATCTGATGATAATGACCAGCGTTTTTGAATCAAGGTTAAGAAGATGTTATTAGATTAATGATTATGATTCTTCACTGACATTATGATATCGATTGATATTGATTCAATAATGTTTTATTTGCTGTTAGACTAATAGTTTACGTATCTCATAACTGAAGGACCGATATATGTATCAAACTGCTATGGCCTTATATGAGAGTATTGTAGTGTTTTCCCAACTATAAATTCTTAAAGAGTGACTCGGATGAAGTTGGGTTATCAAAATCCAGCATCGTCTTCCAAACTGGTGTTTTTAATTTTCTTAAATGTTTCTTATTATATTACCACATTTACAGAAGATCAATTACAAAATTCATGAAAATGATACAATTTTGCTTCCTGTTCATCTACAAAAGTTTAGTTATAATATGCAGGCCCGTAGCCAGGGGGGGTCGCATGGTTCCGGCGAACCCCCCCCCCTGGCCAAAAATTCTTTCAAAATCATGCAGTTTTTCACCATTCTGAGCACTTTTTTTTAGTGATTTTGGCCCTTTTTGGCCCAAATTGTCAAAAGTGAACCCCCCTGGAATTTTCCAAAAAGTGAACTACGGGCCTGATATGATATGTAATATGTATGATATAAGTTGTGTATAACCATTTGTTTATAGTCTATTATATCAGTCTATTTTACTTTATAGCCAAAGATAAGAGATATAAATTCTTTGAGTACTGCCTGATACTAGAATTTAATCTTTATGAGATTTAAATAACAGATATTTGTAATATACTTCTACTTATCAACTTAATATAGTTTATCAATTATTGAGTGTGAATACCCTTGTATTTGTTCGACTTCACTTCTTAAAAGAGAGCTTCGCCTTAGTTTATAACTAGACTCTGCGCCCAGAGTAGAGAGTAGAGGAACTGAGAACTTCAAAATAAAAAATGATAAATATCCTGTCGTTGTTTTTTTAAATATTAATTTAAATCGATCCAATTATATGGTTAATAAATATACTCCTAAGAGGAACTGAAACACATCATAATTGCCATACGATCTTAACGATCTCGCATGCACCTTTCTAGAGATGAGGGAAATATGTTTTGACTAGTACTTCAATCTACTATACTTTACCCCTAGAAATGCATAAGATATTCTGTTTGTCTAATTGCATTGTTTAGTATAATTTTGAAAGTACCTAATTAACATCTAACTTTAAACCGATAAATCATTAATAAGGTACCCTTTGTATTTGTTTGACTTCACTTCTTAAAAAAGAGCTTAACTACACTCTGCACGCAGGCCGCAGGGTATTAATAAGGAACATCCAATGAAAAACAAATAACACAATTATTACTAATAAGCCAAATGGGTTGCTCATGAACACCAAATGCAAGGTATAGTAGAGTGACTTATGGTTGGAGAAGGATAGATCTTGAGTTCAAGAGTGTTAATTGTTAAGTGTTAATTTATATCAATTGAAATTAAGTAACGCATTGTTAAAATTATCGTAGTCGAGTCAATAATCAATTTGGCTATTTGAGAATGGGGCTATTAATTGAATTCACAAAAATAAGCAAACACAAAATTAAACTAAAATATTAAAAAGGTTTACTGTACTGTTGAACGCTATTTGAAAAAACTCTTGTCTGTGATTTTTGTGAAGGTTGTCTTACCCTTCCTTGTGATTTGCACTTATAATAGAACTAAAATATGCAGGCCCATAGCCAGGGAGGGAATGGGTTCGCAGTGTTCCCGGGACGGCGTTCGAGCGAACTTTCCAAGTGATTTTGGGCCAAAGTTATCAAATATTGTGGATGAATCTCTCCCGGGGAATCTCTATTTTGAAGAAGGTGTAGTCATATGACATCAGCCGCTTTGCTGTCGCGTCAAATTTTCAAAATGCGGCAATGTAAAATATAATTTATGGAATGTTTGCTTTTTGGGTCACCTCATTCTTACCTTCCTATTTTCTTGAAAATTAGTAGGTCGTTATCAGCATTGTTTTGAATGAATAATCACTTCAATTGAAATTAACCAAAAAACAAAAAATAATTTCAGGATGCATGGTTATCAGAAACCTTGAAGAATAAAACTTTTAGTAGATATGTACAGGGTGGGCCATAAAACGTCCACATTTTGTTTTTGCTATACAGCGTTGTTGATATTATAGACAAATGTATAAATCATATATCATAGAATGGCAATTTAATTTCCAACAAAATGATGTATAAATCATTCCATATGAATGAGAATTTTTCTTAAAATATCATTTCGATTACCCCAGGGGTCAAAACTATAATTCACCAATTGATGGATACAGAATGCTAAGAACTGACCAGACAGACATAACCCCTATGTCGGATTTGGTATTATAATTCTGATTAAAAAATTGAGATATTTATTCTATATAATGGGTTATGGCAAAATGTCAACTGAATTCCTTTGCAAAACTTGTTTGAAGCAAATATCAATGTATCTAACAATCTAACTTTATAACGAACTACAATGCATTAAAATAGGTTCCATGATTACTTTAGAGCTATAAAATGACTTAACAAACATTAAACTCAACTACAATACTTTTTCTTTATATGTAAAGGCCTAACAAGAAGTGTTGATTAAGTAATGCAATTTTATGCAATGAGCTCAAAACATATCGAAAAATCTTGTTTTTGACTGTTACTACCTCATGATATGGAAAATACCATGGGGTTACCAATAGTCATTCATAATTTATGAATCATACATCATTTTGTTGGGAATTGAATTATCCTTCTAATGATATATAATTTATGGATACTTCCAACAGATCAGCAAGGATATTATAAAAATAAAATTGTGGACGTTTTTTGGCCCACCCTGTATTTAAGAGCCTGGCCACTCATATTTTTGAAATCCAATTACAAACGTTTTTATTCCATTTGAATGGGTTCGCAGTTCTGATGCAATAAGATTTTGTTTTGTCTCTCATAGGCTCATCAAATGAATGCCCGCAGACGTGCGCCCAATCTCAAAACAAGGGGACATGCGTGAAAAGTGTTTGAGTGACGCAACTGGCTATTCAGCAACTCTCTTTTTCCTCAAAGGACACATGCCTTTGAATTTTGTTTCCTTATTACAATAATTACCAAAAAGATGAGTTTGATTAACTTGTAAACAAACGTAAACAGAAGAATGGTCAAGGGGGAGGGGGGGGGGGGCTTCTCACCATGAGCAAAGAGGTTAAAAGAGGTTCTAAACTAATTTTAAGAAGCAAAGTCAAACGAATGCAAAGGGTAGTACCTTCTCCAAGTTGCCAAACTTCCCAACGGGTGTACACCGTCACAATCTAGGCGACCAATAGAAAGCTTGGCCAGTGCCTGATATGGAGATAAAACGAACAAATACCTACTCTAATCAGTTTACTTCTCAGTTTGATAATCACAGTTTAGGTAAACGGACAATATTGATAAAGTGCCAGGCCAAAATTTTATGTTTTATAGATAATGTCTCTACTCAAGGATGTGTCCAAAAAAAACTGTCCATTGACTCTGTCATAAAATCACGAACTTTGAATTACTTTTTCTTTTATGATGTATTATCATTAATGAAGTAATATTAAAACTATTTATACTGAACGAGAAAAGCATAAAAAATAATGATTAATTGTAACACGCATTGAATTCTCTTGGATTTGTACATCTTCTTTTCGCTTTACACTCATGTTTGCAAGTGCCTTAGTTCGTGCCAGGATCGAAATATAATTTTAATATTCGCTGCATCCTGAATTACATATACGCGAATTCAAGATGTCCGCGCGAAGTTATTGTTTTTTCCGTTTTGCAGTATATAGCTCCTTAAAAATATTGCAAAAAAGTTTGGAAGAATCTCGTAATTAGCGTGTTTAGTCCCTTTCCCCACGGTCAAAAACACCAAATGCATCGCCTATTAGGTGGTTTCCCGACGGAGTTCCACTTACACACGCAAGATTTCCAATTTTCAACTGAGTCTATAGAAAGATGGCAGTAGGAGCTGAACTTCAAGTTTGCAGCAATATCGATCCGTCGGTGTTGACATAAAGTTTTTTTCAGTTCCACTGTAAAAGAAATTATGGTCCCCTGGGGATTATGATCCCATTACCTTACGGTCCTTGCCCTGACTGTGTATAAATAAGCCTAATAAGGAAAATAATTGTAATTAGGTCATCATGTAAATAAATAGAGAGTAGGACCAAAATTTGATAGAACCACCTACCCTTTTACACCACTACTAACTACACAACTAAATATGATTCATTTAAGAAGTATATGAGATTATTGGTTGGCTGAACAAAATAGTCTGGCCGTGACAGGCGGAACGCGTGTCTTTTACAATCGTATGCGTGGCTTACACGATTTTAAGTGTAAACTATAGATGACGTACCTAGTGTCATGAACTTTTATTAGCGTACTGAAAGATGGATAGTGGATACCCGGGAACAACTGATGTTTGTCATTGATAATCAATTTAAACGTTAGTACCTAGGTTAGTACCGAGTATCATGTGAGAAAAAAGTACTGAGAGGTGGATACCCGGGGATTTGTCACTGACTCACTGCCACAGTCTGGTTAAAGGATGTATATAACTATCGATGCCTTAGAAAACAATAAAAATTAGTTTTTGGAACATATCATAGTTTCATTTTCATCAATTGAATGCAACAAATACACTTTCGCTTTCTCCCCTAGCCTAATTAATCAAACAAAAGGACGGAAACATTTTAACTCACTGTCACTTCCCGGGTTAAGTTCAATGAATAAAGCCAATTTTCCAAGAAGAAAATTTTCTATGTATGGATCAAGTCGCATTATATTCATTTATCGTAGGTTGTATATCCGTAAACGGCGCACAACATTTGGCTTGAAGTCCATAACAAATGTGGATTATGAAAATCTATTTCACTGAACGAAATTAATATCGTCTACAGTCTTTTCGTGCAGTGTTACCCACAGTGCTTTGCGCTTTGAAGCCATCTTGCATCCACCAAAAAAGTTTCAGGAAATCCTCTTATTTTTATGGATTTATGGATATAACTAAACAAAACCGTCATAAGTTTGCATTGGATATGATATAAGAGTCAAAATGCTACAGAAACAGGTCACACTTCACGCAATCGAGTGGAGTTTTCATTGTAAAATGACAGTTGAAAGATGACAAAAAATATTCTGGGATCGACCTCGTCGACTCAAAATATGATGGCAAATGACGAGAAAAGTTCTGTACAAATGATTACAGAAAACATGGCTGTCAATTCAAATGAGGTGAACGTTTCAAACCAAAATGTTGATGATGATCAGGGCTCTAAACAGGACCCAGAAATGTCTGGGGTTAGTAAACTTGATATCACGAAAAAGAAAACTGCCTTCCAGATTACAAGTGTGCGCGTTAAAAATATGTCAGAGGTCGACGCTGACAGTTATAGCATGGATGACCTTGAGGAGTCCCATACTGAAGATGTCAGTTCTGATATGTTGGATTATTCTCGCAATACAGATGTTGAGCCTGATGCTGCATCTGTGGATACACTTCACAACTTTCCGATCAACCCCAGTGATAGTTTTAACGAGCACATACTACGCAATGATTCTGTTTCTAGATTTAGAGTTGTAAAATTAGAATCAAAGGAGCCATTCAGGAAAGGGCGATGGCAATGCCACGATTATCTTGAACCAAATGTCGAAAGATCGGATTCCAAAGTTGAGCAAGAGGGAGGCTCTGGAAACTCAAGTGCAGCTAGCTCTGTCCATTATGTCCCTGGAGTTGACGACCCAGCGAAGAATCCGATTACGATATCTAAGCAGCTATCTGATGGTCAAACACTGGTGGAGCCCCAGCCAGTATACCCAAGTCAAAGTATTAACGGACAAAGTGATTTACAGACCTCTGGTGGTCAAGTCACAAATCAGTCTATTCAGCAGCATTCACAGTCTACTTCACACTATCAATCCAACACCCAAGAAGTGCAATCAACAAACATTGTGCAACCCCAGCCTCCCAATATTTCACAGCCCCCTGGCCCACATGATGACATAGGGCTGAATCAATCTGCGTATGATATAGGTCAAAGCCCCGCTAATGTTAGTAACAATGAGTACACTAATATTGATTATACTATACAAGCCCCTACCCCACAGGCTGATTTATCACATTCAACAGAACAACAAGCTCAAAGTGTATCTGTTTCAAAACAAAATGTTCACTCCACAACCACCCCTCCAAGACAGGAGAGCACGCCTCCTATACAAACGCAAGCACAAGCCCCTTCTAATGCTCAACAATCTAGCGATCAAGAACAAAGATACGACCATGTAGCGAAAAACGGGACATCTGACCTTAATGTTAGCCAGTCTCAGCCTGAATCAACTGCAGCCCTAGATAGTTCCACGAGTGTTCCTGATTCGACTACCGTTGCACCGGCAACCCAGCCCTCGGTTACACTCAGCACAGCTTCAGTGACTGACCAAGTTATAGATAGCAACGTAGGAGGAGCCGTAAGCACAAGTGATGTCACTGAACAAGGAACAGTGGTACCACCCCGCAATAGCACAACTAGTCCAGATGATGACGTCTTCACAAAGGAGACAGACCCTCCTACCCCAGCAGGAGTGGCAGGGCCAAGGGATATAAAACAGGAAAAGGCGGCAAAACCTGTCACTGTGGATACAAATATTCCGACAACTCAGAACACACCATCAGTATTGCTCTCACTAGGCAGCAGTCGTGGGACCGCACAGACCCTACTCACGCCCCCTCTATTGGAAATCGTCGGCGGTTCAAGTTTAGATGAAAAAGAAGGGGCTGAGGGGTAAGTTATCCGATTTTATCCGTGTAAAAATTTCAGAGTTAATTCTCATATTTTGCCACATTTTCAAATTCACTTCAAAAGTGGTCTGGATATATATTATTTTGGGCTATTCGGGGTACCTTTTCATAAAATATTTCAATGAAAATTCTGAAATGTTTGCATAAAACAATTAAAAAATCAATGTGTGTGTGTATATTTGTTTTGTTGATGGTGAATTACGATCTGAAAGTGTGAAAGAGGGATAAATGTTGAACATGATTGAAGATCATGTATTCAACATTCTGAATGGTCTTATCCTGTATAGCTTTAGGCTTTAGTTTATTTACTTTCTGCATGGAAAATGTTCGATATATGTATGAATGATGCGTGAATGATGTCAGGGGATAAAAATGAGAATTCCAATGTGAAAACATCTATTCTGTCATGTACACGTCACTTCCAATAAACTCCAGCAAAAGGGATATAGACTGTAGACATGTAATCTCCACAGAACCCAATCAGTTCACCTATTTAGTCTAGCCAAAAGCCCTTGTAACCCCCCCCCTCACTTCGCATTCAAACAAGTGGGAGATAATGTGTAGAAGTAGAAGGACATGGGGGGGGGGGTTACAGGGGCTTGTAGCTAGACTATCACCAGCTGAAAGAGGGGGTCATGATTGTTCATTACAGTAGTGTGACATTCAAAAAAGAGCCCAAAAATTCTGTATTTTAGCTTTCTTGGATGGTCTACAAAGATCACTTGTTTCGTATACCTTGTAGGACATATACTTCAACTTTGTGGCTTGAAAATATATGTTAGGGATAGTGGCCACAAGAAAATGTCTAAATATATTACAGTAAAACCTGTCAATAATGAATGTTATATCCCATAACTCGTACATGTTTGAAGTTCATAAAACAGGGTTGCAAAGCTGTATTTTCATCAGTGGGCAAGATGTAGCATTTCATCCCAGCTTAGTCAAGCTACAAGCCTCTGTGAGTGTGACTAAACACCTTCTCACTCAGTTGAAGTGGGGGGGGGGAGCGTAACAAGGGCTTGTAGCTAGTCTAGTCCTTGCTGAGTGGGAAGATATGGCCTTGGGATAATTCCAATATCCTGAACCTCATATAGGATATATGTAATTGTATGTTTATTTCAACCAGATCACAGCACTCTACTTATTACCAAATGAACCTCTTCAGCAAATCACTTGGTACATTGTAATTATTTAGAATACAATAATTTATCAGCACAGTTATGTTTGCTCCAAGGTTTGCTCATGATTAATTGAATCATAAACTGACTAACAGGTTGGGATTAGTAGAATAGTGTACATAAAATAAATAAGTTATGTATTGAGTCAAATTGCCAACATTTGTTCGATAATGACATAGTTTTTTTTATGGGGTAGGGGTAAACAATGATTTTATCACATTTGTGAAAAATGTTGACTTTTCAAGTGTTAGCGAATCATTATTTTCAGTGTTTGCTTAATTGGGAGTGGGGGGGGGGGGGGGGGGTATTAAACCATGACAAAATTTATTTATTTTTCAATAACAATTACTATTAGACACCGTCCTTCAGATAGTTGAAAGAATGCCTAACCCTATATGCAAAGATACAGTTGATGTGAAGATAACAGTTACTAAATAGGGTGCCAAAATATTCTTAACTTCTATGTTTTGAGGATGTGTTTCATTGAAATTTGTGTTATTTTATTTATTAAACTGATAGGATGCCAAAATATTTTGAACTTTTCATTTTGAGAATGTGTTAAATTGAAATATGCAATCTTAAAGTATATATTATAAATTTTATTCCAAAAATAACATTTTTTGGTTTAAGTATCAAAATCTGAACTAACTATCATCTCAATAATAAATATTTTTGAGTTAAGGTAGGCCTTGCAGGTGAAAAGTTGAAGGTGAAGTGAGTTAAGGTGTACCTATAGGGATATCTTTTGAACTGTTTAGACATGTTGTATTTAGACTAAAGTTTACTCAGTAAACCTGTATATATTGAACATTTTTTGCAAAGAAGAAACGTTCAGTGTTTGTAGGTGTTCACTACAGAGAGAATAATTTATAGAGAAGTCAGTAGAGTATGAGTGGAGGAAGGGTGTCTACTAGAGACAGGTGTTCACTAAGACAGGTTTTACTGTACACTAGCCTAGTCTGTAATATGTTAGTTACAAGTTAGCTGGATTACAATGACATTGAGTCAAGGAATGTCATTTCATTAGTATAGTCCTTGGCCAATTATATGAGACCTTGGGTATGGAGGCTTGGAAACTGACATCATAGTAATACAATTTCAAACTGACATCATGTTGATACAATTTCAAGGTTAGAAAACTCAACATTCTTTAGAAGAGTCTTTCTTCTGATGTAGACTACTGCTGTTTGTGTCGGTAGTGCAGTACATTTTACCATTTCAAAGTGAAGGAGTTTATAAAGATTTTATGCTTATATACAGCCATAAAAGTTAAATTCTGAAGATGGGTGAACTACAGTATAACCTGTGTAAGTGAAACACCCTTGGGAACACAAAAGTTCCACTTGGGAGGTGTTCCACTTATAGAGGTTCATTAGCATGGAGTAGATAGGTCATGGGACTTTAAAAACACTTCCACTTGTGAGGTGTTCCACTTACAGAGGTGTTCCACTTGGCAGGTTCTACTGTACTAATATAATGCACCTAAAAGGTCATCAGAAAAAGGCCATCTTTATGTTACTCTTTATCTAAGATGTAAATGTTAAGGCTGATCTTAATTTTAAAATCTGTTTTACACTATTCCTTAACCGATTCCTTTCTTTTCCTCTTTATTTCATATTACCCTAAGGTCACATATAAGCGTGACTAGATTATTTAACACATTGTCTTGGTCTTGAAACATCCATAAATCTTGAACTTGCTGTTTAATCCTTAGACCCTTACAAATTGTTTGTCTTGTTGACATATCTGAAAATCATTCTCTTCAAATCTTTTTCTTTTTTTTTTTCATTTTAATTACATGTTATTTTTCATTTTGGTAAAAGTACAAGGTGCCAGGGCATCTTGCTGTTAATCCTTAGACCCTTACAAATTGTTTGTCTTGTTGACGTATCTAAAATCGTTCTCTTCAAATCTCTTTCTTTTTTTCATTTTTACATGTTACTTTTCATTTTGGTAAAAGTACAAGGTGCCAGGGTATTTCAAAAATAATTTTTGCAATAGAATACACAATAATGCCTCTCAAAAGTATGTTTATTTCTCACATTTTCCTCCAATACTTTGTTTTTTAAGTACAGTTTATGGAATTTGGATTATGTATACTGCAGAATAATATCCATTTTATATTGGCAGTTTTTCTATTTTCACTCGCTGGCATGTGTTATGTTATAAAATATGAACTGGATAATTGATTGTACTTTTAACATCCTTACCAAGAGATTGGACTAGTCTTTACTCTTGAATTGGAGATTGTTTAATCTAGCCTCTATCCAATCAGAACACATGAAGTCAGACAACATCAAATCACTTGTAAAAGTCAGAGGGAGTGCTTGGCTGATGGCAATTCAGGGTATACCTTTGCATGATGAATTTACTTAACTCAATTGTACAAGAAGTAAAGCAATTGGTGTCTGTATTATATCATGATTTATTTTTGTTAATACTTATTTTCATAGATCAAATAAATAAATAAATTCCATAATTCCATGTGGATTCCCAAACTTTGTAATTAGCTCTATGGGTTCTTAACTCATTGTTGAGAGTCAATTTTTGCTTACCACTGTGTCTTGCTTGTTCTAAAAGGTCCAAAAGTTATGACTTGGTTCATCCTTATCAGTGTGAGAAATTTGAGCACTCAACAAATGTCTGTTTTGAAAAAGATTTGTTATATCTTCTTTTTGCAGATAATAGAATTAGGACTATAACAGAAACTTTGGTCGCTTTTTAAAAATATTACTTCATTAATGAAAACACAGAATGAAATTCTGCACAAAGGGCTGATGTGAAAAGTCAGTCTACCCCAGTGGGGGGACCCGTGACCACTCATTTTCTGGATGAGTGCTCTACCACTGACTTATTGAATATTATACACTCCGCTGCAGCATGCTGCTACTTTGAACTACAACTTTTTTTTAAAAAAAGAGAAACGATTACAATTGATGATAATAGGTCAATATAACAGTTAAAACTGTTTAAATAGAACACTGCTGTTAAGACCAGCCTTAGGTGTTCACACAGATATATTTTCATAATTTTATTTTAGTGTGTCATATTGGTGATGTAAGCAGAATATCTAAAATTTGACTAAAAGTGTTCACATTTTAAGGTCTTTATTTGGAAAGGTGTTTTTATGTACAGTGCAGTATAACATGCATGACGATGAAATCACATAAATTCAGATTTTATTGTGGGATTGTCGACTATATAACTATGAAATATGCCATATTTATAGATTGGTATTTAACTAGATATCAGACAGTCTGAATAATGTTGTTTCATTTTCTGCCAATTAAAGTCAGAAATATTGGCACAGGTTGTAGCAAGTACTAAAGAATACAGCTTATTGAAAAAAATCTATTTCTTAACTTTTTCAACTGTAATTCTCATTTTCTCAGTTTTGTTACCTTTCTTCAAATTGTCAAGATTCTGACAATTTTTTTCTTTAGATATCAGCACAGTAAAACCTGTGTATTTAAATGAACATTTTTGAGAAAAAACGTTCAGCATTGGTAGGTTTTAATTTCAGAGAAAGAAATGTACTGAAGTCAGTGGAGTATGTGTGGAAGAAGGGTGTCTCTTAGAGTCAGGTGTTCACTAAGACAGGTTTTACTACAGAGACAATTTTTAAATGAAATTGGAATTTTGCATGTTAATTGATAAAAATTCCCAGAAAAATTTCATTTAGTAAAATGATGCTCACTCATTTATAGCAGATAAGGTCATGATGATTTATAGTTCTACAAATGAAAACAAAGTGATAATCATTTGAAAAGCTTTGAGAAAGGATAAAGTTCACCATCATCAATAATTTATCTAAAAAATAGAAACTGCTAATGATGGTGCTAAACACTCTCTGGGGAGGCTTTAACGTTGCTTAAAAATGTCATGCGTGATTCTTGTATGTGCTAGTTCTCTCTATATCTTTTATCGTTCCTAAAAGATACCAAAAAATTGTCATGAGCTTGGCATAACTGAGTAGTATCTCACTGTCAGTACATTTCCAGATAAACTGCCTGAACGGATTGATTTAAAATTTTCAGGGATGTTGCTCGGGTTGGAAATCTAGAACTGATTTGATATTGAGCATGCACTCTTTTTTCACACGAGTGATATTTTTCTACGAAGGTATTGGTGCACTTGGCCTTGGTGCATTTTACTCATTGACAAAGTCCTTATAGTTGGTCAACTTGATCTTA